AATTAAACTGAAATTATTGTTAATATTTCGCGGTGGCAGTAAAAGTTAGTAGAAGAGTTTTGAGATAACAGTCATCATCTGGATGTACAATTTATTGTATTAAACGATTGTTATTGAATAACTTATTAAATATTTAATAACTTATTTAATAAGAATAATAAAAAAGACATTCAAGTTTTACGTGACAATTTACATGACGTACATATTTTGTGAAATGTAACAAACTTTTTTGTTTATTTTGAAGTGTATAAAATGATCACTAACGAAGTAATAAATAATGTTTATTAACTTTGTGATCTCGACTTCAACATTGCGACTTATTCAGGTTCAAAACCATCCCAGATCCCACTGTCCTTAATATTATCATGGAAGAAACGAGAGGTATATATATACGTGTGTATGAGTGTGTAACGGAAGACTTAACGGGACCCCATTCCAGCCCAATATTTATTCTTTTCACTGGAATTCACGTCATTGAACTTTTACCGATTATCCAATCAAAAATAACATACCTTTATTTAGCATTTTTGCAAATTTATTCTCATTTCAAAAATTAATTAATTAGAGAGAGAAAAAAAAACGCAGAAGAAAGTAGATTATAGCTAAAATTTATCGAGTAGCATAATTTGCAGTAATTTTATTTTTCACCGTATTTTGAAGCAAAATTTCTAATGGTGCAGAAATGAATTTTCTTCTTTTTCTTCTTATTGCCAGTCGCATTATTTTAATGGGCTTTTAACTACACAGATTTTCATAAAGATGATTCTTAATGAATTATTTTCATCTTATTTCGTGACACTTTCACGGTTAACTCGGCTGTGCTCGGCTGGGCGAAAGTCTAATGACGAAATAACGGCGATATCATTGACGTTTCTAAGTAACATTTCTTTCTTACTCAGAGAGCATATATATATATTTTATTGAATCCAGAATTTTCTCGAAATGGAAAGTGTATGAAATTTTATATTTAAAATATATTTTCTGCAAAAAAGACACTATGCGCCCGTAGGTATACAGCTTGGATATGTCATAGCTTTCTCCTTTGTCATTCGTTTTGACAGGGTTATTGCTCTTTATGCATATGTGCTCTTACATGTTGTGAGCTACACGTTTGTTCAGCGAACGATTTCTAAAAACACATCCTTTTCTATTGCAATGATAATAACGCAATATTGGAAAAGATTAAAATAATCTAGTTTCCATAATGGTGTTATAAGAGAGAAAACTAAAAGGAATTGGGAGTATTATTGTAAAAGAAGGATGTCAAAAAGATAAGCATCTTTTATTGTTAAGAGAGTGGACGCACGGTAATTTTTGAAAGCGCTACCAGAACTTATTTAGTCGTTCTATAACCCGGATAGAAAGTGTTTTTTAAGAAGCTCTCGATGACTGTTCATTCCAAATGCGTGCGTAAATTCCCTCCATGTATAATGATTAATATTTTAGAAAGCAAAAGTTTCAACTCTTTTGTCTTCGTCTTTTGTATAATTGATCCTGCTGCTTTTTTATAGTTTCCCAGGTTGTGTGACTGTATTGAAAAAAGTATAATATGTTTCTAAATTTTCATTCTTCGAGGAAGCAGTTCTTCAAATTTTACCCGCCATAACTTTTTACTTATAATAACTTTCTTTGCTTTTACAACGTTTTTATGCCCCGCATACAATATAGACTCTGCTTCTGAAAACATCAAAATTTCCTTATTTAAAAACAAACATTTCCTTTTTTATTAATTTAATTTTATTAAAATTTGTTTGCTGAAAATTTTATTTTAATTATTGTTCTTGTGGCTTGCCTGGGACAAAATAAATAAGTTATGAAATTAAAATATCTTCCATTTAATAAATTTATACTTTTTGGTAAAAGAAATTATTGGAGTAAATATAAGAAGAACTGACGGTGAAGTTATTTAATGTTTGAAAAATGTAAAGCATAATGTCACGTTATTTGTTAAAATAAGCTTGAATTTCAAAGGAGAGGTCATGATTCCGGTTTCACATACGAGGTTAAGAATGTAAAGAATGATCACTGAAATACCTAGTAATACACCTGAGTTTATGTATGTACAGCTATATAAGTATTATACGTATGGTATCATTGCATGTTTTGCGAAATTTTAATGAAAACTAACAAAAGATACTTGTATTTTTCCAAAATATACGTGAAAAGTGGATCTAGATACAGATCTAATTTCCATGAAATCATAAATAGACTGCTGTTATTTGAAAGTATGTTTTACATCGTTCACATCCTAGCGAAACTCTTAAAAATGATGATTTAAAACTATTTCTATTTTAAAACATTAAACAATCAGTCATTATAATTTTTGCATATAGGAATTAAAATTCTTCAAAAGATTCAAATTCAAACTTTTTTGAAATTAAACAACTTATAAAAAATTGTTATAAAACATAAAGAAATCGATCACTCCGAGTCTTCGACTCGGAGCAATCGATATCTTCATGTTTTATGAATAATTAAAAATGACCGCGAGATAAAATCATTTTTTTATATTATTAGAATATTGTTACTGTAACTTATTCAAAATTACTTTCATTACTTTCATCACTTCAATTCAATTATTTTTTTCCAGAATTTTTAACTAAAATTCTTCTTTAAATTAATTATTCATTCATTTTTAATAATTTTTGAAAAATGTCTTTGAGAATTTTCAAATCCATTTGTTTACAATTCAATTTTATGAAATTTAATAGATTGTTTGGAAATTCTTCAATTGTATATTAGAAAATAAAAACTTTAAATAACTTAAAAAAAATTCAATTAAACTTTGTAAAAAAATTAAATCTGCATAAGTTTTAGTTAAAACTTAAAAGTATGAAAAATTGAAACATTCAAAGATTATAATTTGAAACCTTATCAAAATTCAATTATTTCTCAAAATTCAGCTCTAATACTTTCCCTCTAAATTTGAATTAGTAAAAATATTTACAAATTGGAATTAGTCACTGACTTTTTGCTTTTGAATTAGTAAATTTTACTAATAAATTAGTAGAAAACACTATTTATTAGTAAAATCAGCTATTTTCAAATTTCAAAAGCAAAAAATCAGCCACTAATTCAAATTAAAAAACATTTTTACTAATTCAAATTTAGAGAGTTTAATATTCAATTATTATCTAAAATTTTAACTGAAATTCATATTTAAATCAATTTTTATTCGAAATTTCTTCGAGAATTCAATTATTTAAATACAAATAAAATGCAAATAAATAATTTATTGAAGAATTGAATTTTTTTTTAAATTGAACTCTCATAAAGAATTTTATCAACAAATTTTTAAATTGACTTAAAAATCTTTTCACGAATAATTTTAATTTTCGTGAAAATAGATTAAAATTGTATGAAAAATAATTGAATCTTTGTAAAAGAAATTTGATTGAATTGAGAAATGTTTTTGAAAATAATTACAATTTTGAAAGAATTTTATTAAAATTAAAATTTGTTTTTGAAAATAATTGAATTTTGGAGAAAAATTTTATTATTTATAAAGATAATTGAAATTTTTAAGAGAATTTTTTTTTAAACTTTTGACCATAATTAAATTTCTGCGAAGAATTTTATTACTTTAGAAAATAATTGAATTCTTAAGACAAATTTAATTAAAATTTCTTTTTAAACAATTGAATTCTTTTGTGAAATTTTATTAAAAAATAATAGATATTGAAAATAATTGAATTTTGATAAATGATTGAGATTAATGATGAATTTTAATAAAATTTTTAAGAAATAATTAAATTTTTGAGAAATAATTTCATTAAAATAATTCTATTAAAAATAATTGAAATTCTGTAAAAAATTTGATTGAATTGAGAAAAGTTTTTGAAATTTTGCCAAGAATTTTATTAAAATTAAATTTCTTTAAAATTGTATTAAAAATAATTGAAATTCTGCGATGAGTTTTATTATTTATGAAAATAATTGAATCTCTTTAAAAAAAATGTGATTATTTATCGAAAATAATTGAATTATTGCGAAGAAATTTATAAAGATTTTGTAAATAATAGAATTCCTGTGAAATTTTTATTATTTAATTCATTCAAAATTGAAATATTTTACAAAATTTCAAATTACAACCTTTTGAAAAGTTTATCTATTTATGAAAATTGTAAACGCAACTCTTTTAAAATTGAATTAATTTTGAAATATTTAAGTAAAATTAGACTTCAAGAATAAGCACAATTAGAAAACAATAATTTTCCAAGATTTCGATCAAAATTCCCTGACTTTTCCAGGTTTTTTTCAAGGTTTATAAAATTCCCTGACATTCCCAGGTTTTTCTTGTTGATAGTTGATACACTAGTTGTTTAATCAAACATTTTTGCAGTCTTAACTTTTGAGAAATCTGACAAATAAAAATTTGTATTTCTATGTATATTGAAAAGTAATAATTGAGATGTGGAGACTGCTGCAAATATTGCTGTTCATTTGGGGAACTGTTAAGGATCAGAAAGTAGACCTGCACTAAAGGATTACTTGTAAATCCCGTCTGGCTTTTATCTTTGACGCCTATTTTTTATGTTGAACCAGTCTGGGGTGTAAAATAACTAAATAAGGTGTCTCTTCTCTATTCATTTACCTGTATTCAGGTATATGTGTGGGAAACGGATGTTAGATAAATAAACAGTGCTTTTGGGAAATTTTACACGTGTAAAATTTAGGCACGTGCAGCAGTCAACTGGTCAGTATTTAGTACACATAATTTACTGACTAAAATTCGGCGACACTAATGGCCCAGTCTGTCGATGTCGGTCAAAAGAAATACCAATAAAATATATACTTTTGCAGAGACATTAAAAATTCATTTGCGTTAGATTTCACTCCTTAGTGACGCCAATAAATATTCAAAAAGGGTTTATTAGGCAGAACAAAATAATATTGTTGTAATATTAATTTTTTTCTAATATTGTTCTAATATTGCAAATTTAAGTGTTCGAGTATTGTCAAAACCAAATTTAACTTGAGTGAAAAATTCAATGGCTTACCAACGATTTTGTAGATCGACAGTGTCAGAAGTAGTGGAATCACTTTTAGCACTGCCATTTGGACTAAATTTCAAAAACTTATGCACCGGCAAAATTTCGCGGGTCAACCGACCGCCGCCATTTTGCAAATCAAATCACTGCTTCAGGAGCACAAACGTAAACCATCGTTATAAAAAACTGATAAACTCCTTCACTTTCTTCAACCATTTCTTCTTCAGTCTGTTTTTTTTGTCACGAAAATGTAAAAAACATTTATTTTCCTCTCTGGATTATGTATGCGTATGTTGCTTTATTTCTCAACTTCTTCACCTGGTTTCTCTCTTCTTTCCTTTTTCTTCCGGTTCCCTCCTTCTCTGACCGGCTCTTCTGTGACCCACTTATGCGGAACCGTTCAAGTCACCAATATATTATTTCGGTTCGGTCTTCTAAAAGCACACATTTTTTTTGAGAATCTATGTATTACACATTTTACTGTTATACATTTTTTTTACATATTTATATTAATTCCATCTGTATAAATATGTAAAAAGTTTTATTATTAATAACAAAAAGTATCACAAGTACTAAAAAGTTGAAATTATTTTAATTATCATATTTATCTTATTTTAAAAAAATATATATGTAATAGTATTTAATTAAAATAAAATTTTTGAAAATTGTAAAAAATTATATTAAAAAAAACATAATAAATAATTTCCAAAGAAAAAAATTATACCATTAGGATCTCAGTACACTTTAATTACTCAAAGATTAAAAATAAAACTGAATTTCTATAAAAAAAAAACAACGAATTACGATCACAATCACTAAGTTCACTTCCCGGTCGTTCGCTCGAAACTGACCAAGAATCAAGAAAAGGTAAAGGATCATTCACGGATTCTCCCACTATCCCTGCGAGCCAAACAGGTAAGGCAGGGAAAACTAACCAGAACATCATACATGAGTACTTTTATGTGTTTTTATGTACACTCCTATAAAAATGTTAAAAAAAAAAATTTAGTTGTAAATTGTCCTGATGCATTTAAAAATGTATTTTATTTATTTATTTAATTAAAGTTCCTTTAATTTAATTATTTAATTAAAATTCATAATATCGTTAAAAATTTATGCGATATTTTTAATTTAATTGTACTTTAAAGAATAAAAAATATAATTTTTAATAATAAATTATTTTTTCTTAAATATTCTTCTTGCCGTACAAATCCATTAACAAATTCCGTAACAATTAAGATTTCAGTTCTTAATTTTAAAGGTGAAAAAAATACTCGAGGAGTCCATTAAGGAATGAAAAGAAAAAAGTAAAACAGCTATATATTTTTTTGATCTCAAGGCAGGTCAAGTCGGCCTTTTTATCAGAACTGGATTATTCATTCAATAAAAAATACAGGGTTGCCACAAAAATTTAATTTTGTTTTTCCCTGATTTCCAGACTTTTTCCTGACTGATTTTGCCTTTTTCCCTCACCCAAAAAAAATATTCTGATTTACTCTAAAAATTATTGGCTACTCAAAAAAATTTTTTTCTACATTTATTTACAAATTTCTTATTCAAAAAGTTTTTAAATAATTGAATTCCTGTGAAGAATTTTAATTGTGAAAATAATTGAGTTCCGGAGAAAAATATTATTATTTCTGAAAATAATTAATTTCGTGTGAAGAATTTTATTCAAATTTTTTTAAATAATTGAATTTCTCAGAATGTTTTAAAACTTTTTCAAAAAAAAATTAAATTCCATCGAGAAATTTCATTAAAAAATTGAAAATAATTGAAATCTGACGAAGAATTTTATTAAATTTTTGTTTAAATACTTGAATTCCTGTGAAAATGTTTATTTATGAAAAGAATTGAATTCTTGGGAAGAATTTTATTAAAGTTTCTAAAATAATTGAATTGCTTCGAAGAATTTTATTTTTTTCGAAAATATTTGAATTGTTTCGAAGATTTTCACAAACAATTTTGACAATAATTGTATTCCAAGAAAGAATGTTATATTTCACGAAAATAATTATATTCTATGATCAATTTTATTATAATTTTTTAAATTTATAAAGCATTTTATCAAAATTTTTAAAAATAATCGAATTCTCGAGGAAAATTTTATTATTTATGAAAATAATTGAATTCACATAAAAAAATGTATTTTATTTGTGAAAATAATTGAATTTTGTCAAAATTTTTTTAAATAATAGAATTTTTAAAAGAATTTTATTGAAATTTTTCGAAATTTTATTGAATTTCTCAGAACTATTTTTTTTCCATTCTCTGAATATATTTGAATTTTTTCGAGAAATTTCATTAAAAAATTAAAAATAATTGAATTGGTTCGAAAAATTTATAAAAAATTGGTAAATAATTGAATTCCTGTAAAATTGTTATTAAAATTTCATTTAAATCATTGAATTCTTTTGGAAAATTTTATTAAAATAGTAGATATTAATAATAATTGAAATAATTTCTAAGTAATAATTTTATGATAGTTCTTGAAGAATTAAGTTATTGAAAAAGAAATTATTGTCATAGAAGTAGAAAAAATGGAAGGTTTTGTATTAGAATTCTTGACAATTTCATAGTTTATGAAGGAAACAAAAAAGTCTTTAAAATTCAGAATTTTTTTATAAATTCTAAAAATTTAATTTTTTCCAGTACTTTTAATAAAAATCCCTGACTTTTCCCTGACCTGTGGCAACCCTGAAATAATAATCGAGAAATTAATATCATAAAAATATAAACTAAATTCCGTAGAATAAAAAAATTAACCAAATAGACTCAAATATGGAGGATAAAATCTTTTTAATGCAAAAAAATGATTTTTTTTTAGTGTCCTAATTATATAATATAAATCCATCAGCATATGTTATGACTTCTGTTTTAAAGTATTTTAAAGGATATGTATATTTTACCGGAAAATGTAATTATAAATATAAAGTAAAATCACGAGAAGTAGATATTAAAAATTTTATCTTAATAAATAAACTATAAATGAAATAATTCTTCTTTGTAAATAACGGAAAATAAATGCACAATTAATCATATCACATATAATAATCATATCCGGGAAATTAAACTGACAAGTGATTTTTAAACGTTTCGAAAAAGTATATAAATTCAATATATAATAATTTATCTTCTAGTTTTGTCTTCAAATTATTAACAATTTACATACAGAAATGTTACAATTTCTTTTATTATTGTACGTTTTTCATATGTTAAAAATTATAGTGTAAAATTTACTACTAAATTAACTGCATTTTTAATTAAAAAATGTATTATTATTATAAAATGAAAAATTTGTTTATAATATAAATTAATTAAAATTTATTTAACAGCTCTATTGTGGATTTATCATCAAGTTTATTAAACTGGAATGATATTCTGAGTGGAAGTCATCAAAATCGAATTGATGACAAGAATGGAGAGTGGCAATTTTCCAAGAGAGGAAAATTTAAAGGATCTCAATATGATGTATGTCGAACAAAGGAATGTTTTAAAATTGGTTAGTTTTATGCACAGTAAAAAAATATGAGTAATTTGAAAGATTATTAAGATTTTTTAACATACCTAAATAAATGTAGCCGCAGAATTTTGGCAAAGCATGAATAAATCTGTCGATCCTTGTGAAGATTTCTATGAATATGCATGCGGCAGTTATAAAATTTACAATCCAATTCCGCCCAGTGAAATGTTATGGAGTCCTATTATCAAAATGCAAAAAGAAGTACATAATAAAATTCGGGGTGAGTGCTCAGCAAAATAATAATGTTGATTACTTTTTCAAATAACATTCCTTTGTTCCACTTTGTTGGATTTGTTCCTAAATATTTTGGGGTTATGTTCTTCGACCGTGAATTAAGTTGAACTTATTTTTGTTTTACTTATTAATCCTGATTAGTAATTTAATAATGTAGAAAACTTGACAATTTTATACTTAAAAACCGATATTAAAACCATTAAAAAATTAAAAAACAAATGAAAAATGAAACATACAAAAATATGTATTAGACGTGGCTGCAGAAGTGCAAACTATTCAGGATCCATCAACGTTTTTTAATTGTATTATTAGACATTAAGGACAGATGGAGCCACTTTTCGGTAACAATGCAGAAAAGTTTTGAGAAATAGAAACGAGCAATTTTCTGCTCTGTATTGTTCTGCTAATTTATAATTTAATTTTTACTATAAACCCATTTAATAATAATAATACCAGTAAAATAATGAATAATTTTATTAATATTATTTATTTAATGAAATCTGCAAAAAGATATTTTGGAGGAGGACATAAAACCAAGCGATATTTTACCTGTAAAGCAAGTGAAAAAGTTTTATCAGTCATGCATGGATACAGGTAAGAAATAAGAAAATTTACAAAGTAACTAATAAATAATAATTACGTAATAAAATAATTTAAATTAAAATTTCTATTATTAGATGCTATAGAGAAAATAGGAATAAAACCTTTAGATGCAATTTTAACACAAAACGGTGGATGGCCAATGGCAATGGAGCCAATTGAATGGAATCAGGAAGAATTTTCTTGGAAGCAAATACATGATTATTACACTCAATTAGCAAATGTTTCACCATTATACCAAATTTCAGTAGATACTGATAGTAAAAAAATTGTTAATGCATCTGATAAAGTGAATAATAATGAAAAAATTAAAATCATAAAAGTAAGTGATTAATTTAAAGTTTTTAATTTACAAATAAAAGTATACAGAAGAAATTCATTTTCTTTAATTATAAAGAAGACAGTTACATATAAGAAAAATATTGTGCGAAATAAAAAATTATTGTTTTAGTTGTATAGACCAAACTTGCCGACTGTTCTTTTCGATCCAAATGAGTCGTTTGATAGACAAAAGATTTATGACGATGGCAGTTATGCAAAATTCATTGTTCAAGTTGCTAAAATATTTGCCAAAGAAAGAGAAGCGAATGTTGACGAAGAACAATTGGAAAAGGACGCGCAAGATATTATTAAACTGGAAAAATTAATACACGTAAGTTTCATATTAGTTAGAAATCAAAGATAAATAATTTTTAGCAAATACTTAAATATTTAAATATTTACCAATTAATATCAAATAATTTTTAAATATAAATAGTAATTTGGAAATTTACATTTTTTTATTTACAGAACAATAAGTTTAAAAATTACTCAATTGTTCACTTTACTTTGCAAGAATTTCAAGATTATTATGATGAGGAAAGTAAAAAAACTAAAGACTCGAGGGTAAGACTAAAAGTAACTCATATTTTTACTTGCCAGTTTATTAAATAATTAAAAGTACTATATTAAAAAAAATTTTAAATTAATTTCCTTTCATTTTACAGATAAATTGGAGAAAAACAATTATGGATCTTTTTTCGATAGCTAACATTCATTTGGATGATACCCAAATTGTTTCGGTGGTACCATTTATATTTTTTAAAACTCTTTCTAACATTCTCAATGAAATAAATCCTCGTACAATAGGTATTTATGATTATTTATGATTTATTGTTACGATTCTTGAAAACAAATTTTGGCAAACTATAAATTTTAATTTCAGTAAATTATCTTCACTGGCATTTTTTGACTAACATGTTGCCTTACACACATTCGAGAATTCAAGAATTGATCTATGAATTTAAAAAGAAAGAAGCCGGGGTAAAAGAAGAAACACCAAGGTTTTACATAATTACTAATTTTATAAAAACTAATTTAAACAAAATTTAATTTTTCCCCATTTTCAGATGGCGAACGTGTGTGAAAAATGTGGGAATGAGAGACGCGATTTCTTATATGTTTGTCAAAACATATTTCCAAGACAAAATGAAAATCGATGTACGTCTTAATTAGTCTTAATTAGTTAATTAATTTTCATTTTTAAGTAGTTAAAGTTTTGTTATAAATTCTTTACAAGTTTCAGAAAATTTTTCTTATGTCAGGCTATGGCGAAATTTAATTAAAAATAGGTATTTTATTTCTTAAGCTTATCATAGATTTTTTTGCAGACTGAAAAAATGATTTCTTCCATAAAAAGTGCAATGACGAAACATATTTTAAAAGCTGATTGGTTGGATGACAGTATTAGGAAAATGGCATTTCAAAAATTAAAGAAACTGCAACACAATATCGGATATCCCGATTGGTACAACAATGTAACGGCGGTTAATAATTTTTATCGTGGTGTAAGTATTAAAATTTTATTCAAATTACTACCTGTATAATATGCAGGGCTCGAACCAGTGAAAGTATTTAAAAATACGGACTTTACGGACCAAAAATGAAAACATAAGGACCAATTACTGACAAAAATATTAGTTAAAAATATTAAAAATTCAGATTTTCAAAGATTTTAATTTGAAACCCTTTCAAAATTCAATTGTTTCTAAAAATTCACACTCTGAAGCTTTTAATATTCAATTATAATCTAAAATTTTAACTGAAATTAATTTTTAAATCAATTTTCATTCAAAAATTCTGCGAGAATTCAATTATTTAAATACAAAAATAAATAATTGAAATTTTGACGAGAATTTTTAAAAATATTTGAACATAATTGAATTTTTGCGAAGAATTTTATTACTTTTGAAAATAATTGAATTTCTGCAATCATTTGTAATTTCTCTAAAATTCTCAAACTTTTTCTCTTTTCTCAATCAAATTACAAACTTTACGGACCTTTTTTAAAAAAAACGGACTTTTAGTGACTTGAATCAAATTTACGGACCTAAGTTCGAGCCCACAATATGTTATACTTTATTAACTAGTTTAAATATTTAAATAATTTTTTATCATCTCTAATTTAAAATAAGTTAATTTTCCTTTTTTTCAGCTACCAATTGGACAAGACTTTTTCACTAATATTTTAAGTCAAGAGAAATTTTCTTTAAAACAAACTTTAAGAAGCCTTCACAGTAAACCCAAGACAAATGTGTAAAATCATTTAAACTTTAAAAAATAATTTTTTAATTCCCTTTAATCATATTGTGGTATTTTTTAAAATTTATTAAATTACAGATGGTTTCTGAAGCCAATTGTTGTGAATGCTGTCTATTTGCAAAGTGCAAACTCGATAAGTAAGTTTTAATAAAAGATTCATTAATCTAAATAGTAATTATTATATTTTGCTCAATTTTAGCTATTCCGGCTGCTGATTTTCAACTCCCTTTATTTACACCTGAACAAATTGAGTAAGTGTTGTATTTTTATAAACTTCTTTTATTCAATATTTTTTTCTCATTTGTTTTCTTATTTAAAGGGCAATTAATTATGGAGCTCTGGGTATGGTAGTAGCTCATGAAATGTCTCATGGTTTCGACGATTCAAGTAAATAAAGTTTTTCTTTATCATTTTCCCTCATTAAGTTAGAGATAAATTTTTAATTTGAAGAATTTGAGAAGAAAGATAACAGTTTTGCAAACATTCTAAATTTTCAAATTTAGGAATATTAAATTAAATTGTATAATGTTTTTCTAGGCATCCAATATGACTCAGAAGGAAACAAAATTAAATGGCCAACAGAAGTGAAAGAAGCTTATGATAACAGAGCAAAATGTTTTGTTAACCAATTCAATGATATCAATTTCAATAAATCAATAGAGGAAGATTCACCCGAAGTAAACAAATTTTTTTAATTTTAAACTTAACACAAATAGCCAAATCAACTAGAATTTAACTAATTGTTCCCATTTTTGATAGAATATAGGCAAAATGAAACTAGGTGAAAATATTGCTGATACTTTGGGAATCGACGTATCATTTGATGCTTTTGAAATTCTCGAGAAGGAGAAAAAACAAGCAAGACTTCCTGGTTTTGAAGACATTACTAGTGATCAACTATTCTTCTTGTCATTCGCAAAAGTATACCTAAATTTCCAGATTATAATTCATTAAATAATTATTTCGAATTTTTGACACCAAACTAAATTAATATATAATTTACAGTTGTACTGTGAAAATGCAACACCAGAATTTGAATCAATGTCAGTGAAATATGATACTCACGGTTCAGGACGTTATCGAGTGACAGCATCACTTAAAAACTCGGAGGGTTTTTCAAAATCTTTCAATTGCCGCGTTCAAAGTCTAATGAATCCTAAAAATAAGTGTAAACTCTGGAAGTAAAAATAAAATATTAAGATTAAGGTTTTTTTCCGTATAAAGAAACATGTGAAAACTGTTTTTCTATAATTATATAACATAATTTATTAAATAGTTACAAGTGTACATATTTATCATATACTCCCACTTTTTCGTCAGGTATTTTTTCTATTTTTTTCCCTAAGTTGATTCTTTAAATTACGATAGAATATCTATCTCAAGAATCAAAGTTTTGCTCCAATTTGTTGACATAAATTAATTTCTCTTTCAATTCGCTAGCTTCCCCAACATGTCTAACAATCTTAACTGTACCAAAGTCTCAATGTGATTCTCATAATATAACATAAAATATTAATTAAATATTAATATTAACCTATCAATTAAATCAATTAACTCTTTAAAAAAAATTTTTTTTCTACAAGAAAATCTTTTGTTTGTTTTTAAAAGTCAGAGATTTTTGAAATTGATTCACATTGAAACTTATTATCAACAAATTAGTTTTAATATGTACAATTAATTTGCAAAGCAAATCAATTCTTTTTAATAATTCGGGCATCGGATTTAGTGAATATATTTGACTGTACAAACATTGCAATTCTTCTTTTCTCTAAATTAATGAAGATTAGATGCCTCGGTGTGAATTTTTCCTAACGAGAGAAGCGTGCATAAATGGTACTGGCACCTTATCAATATGGCTCTTCTCATCCAGTCTTTCGCGTCTTGTAAATACTTTCAGCTAAATTTTTTCCATTATTTACTTTTTTTTGATAAATTCTAAAAAGAAAAATTGTTTTCTATTCAAATTAATCTAATTTTTCATGAAATTAAATTATCTAAAACTATGGAGTTCATTTAACTATCTATTTAATTTAAAATATTTCATCAATGGAAAGTAAACTGTTTTTGAATAAAAACTAAAAATTATTTTTTGCTTACAGGGCTCGAACTAGGTCCGTAAATTTGCTTCAAGTCCGTAATAGTCCGTTTTTTTAAAAAAGATTCGTAAAGTCCGTATTTTGATTGAGAAAAGACGAAAAATTAGAAAATAATTTAATTCTTCTACGAAATTCAATTATTTTTCAAAAATTTTAATAAAATTCTTGGAAAAATTTCAGTTATTTTAAAATTTTTCCTCAATTTAATGATTTTTAATATCTACTATTTTAATAAAATTTTCCAAAAGAATTCACTTATTTAAAAAAATTTTAATAAAATTCTACGCAAACCTTTAATTATTTTTATAAAATAATAAAAATTTCATGGGAAATTCAATTATTTACAAATTTTTTATAAATTTCTTCGTAATCATTGAATTATTTTCATAAATAATGGAATTTTTACACGGATTCAATTATTTTTGTAAATAATAAAATTCTTTTAGGAATTCAATTATTATCATAAATAATAAAATTCTGTTTCGAAATTCAATTATTTTCATAAAAAATAAAACTCATATCAGAATTCCAATTATTTTTAAATCAATTTTAACCGAATTCCTCGAAAAATGTAATTATTCTTATTTATTTATTTCTCCATTGTACACTTTACATAAGTTTTACAATATACTTTCCCGCAATACTTAAATAATGTAATTATTCTTAAAAATGTTAATTTTTTTGATAAAGTTTAATTGAATTTTTTTAATATTATTTGAAGTTTTTATTTTCTAATATTTATTTAATTGAAGAATTTACGAATAATTAAAATTTCGTAAAATTGAATATTGTAAACAAATGGATTTAGAAATTTTTAAAAAACTATTTCCAAAAATATTAAAAATTAATATAGATAATCGATTTAAAGAAGAATGTTAGTTAAAAATTCTGGAAAATAATAATTGAATTGATAATGATTTTATCACTTGGTCGTCTTTAATTATTATAAAACGAAAAAATCGATCGCTCCGAGTCAAAGACTCGGAGTTATCGATTTCTTCATGTTTTATAGTTAAAAATAAAAAAATTAATTTGTAGTTAAGTAAAATATTCTTTTATTTGACTGGATTATGTAGTTAAATTATTGTCCGTAAATGGTCCGTAATTTTTCATTTTTGGTCCGTAGAGTTCGTATTTTTAAAAATTTTTAAATACTCTCAGTGGTTCGAGCCCTGTGCTCAAATAATTATATAGAAGAAAGTGTAAATTTTTAAAACGTAATAAATATTAAAATACGTACTAAAGCAACATGGTCGAGGGATTTTCCATTAAACTCTTGAAAGCCGAAAGCCATTGAGCTCCTACGGCACCATCGACTGTGCGATGATCACAACTGGCAGTGACTGTCATAAATTGACCCACAGTGTATCTGCGAAATTTTCCACATGAGAGGAATATATTTTCTAATTACTGCAAGTATTGAATAAAATTTCACTCACCCTTTTTCATTATTGGAAGGTATTAACCTCGGTGAACTCGTGCCAACCGCAAGAATGATGGACTGAGGAGGATTGATGATTGCCGAGAAACTCTGAATGCCAAACATTCCAAGATTCGAGATAGTAATAGTGCCACCTTGGAACTCTTGGGGTTGTAATTTTCCTTCCCTTGCTTTCGCTGCAAGGGCTTTCACTTCCTTGCTGATTTGTGCAATACCCTTTGTATCCGCACCGAAAACTATTGGTGTAATCAGTCCATTCTCTGTACTTACAGCTACACTCACGTCTACATGATCGTACCTAATTTAAAAACAATGTTTCTTAAGAATAAATCAATTTTTAAATTTAATTTAAATTTAATTTTATTAGCAATTTAATTTAATCTTACTAGCATTTTAATTTACTTTTAGTTTAGTTGTGAATATTAACAAAATTTCTTTTCGATTATTCAAGTGCAAATTAAGGAATTACAAAACTTACTGTCTGATAATATTTCCGAGCCAAGCACTATTGCCTTCTGGGACTTTTAAACAGGCCATAGCCATTCCCTTGATTATGATATCATTGACGCTGATTTTCGTTTTTTCTTTCTCTAAAATTTTGTTGAATTGTGTTCTCATTGCCAATGCCTCGTCCATCCTAATGTCCATTTGTAGATAATAGTGAGGTATAGTTTGTTTACTTTCCAATAATCGTTTCGCTATTACACCGCGGACATTGGATATTGGAACATCAACACCTCCTGGTGCCATCAAACCTCCAGAGCTCGCAGCCGATGCGCCATCCAAGTCCTTTGCTGTTATCGATCCAAATAGTCCTGAACCTGTGAGGCCCTGTTCAAAAATTTATTCTTTTAAATTCCGTTTTACTTGATTCAAAATCAACTGAAAATATTATTGTTTTTAAAGAGAAAAATCCAAAGGAATAACGATTATTTTTTCCTATTTTCAAAATTGCAGGCCTCGGATCGACTTTATTTTGAAAATAAGTAGAAAAAAGTCGCATTTTTTTTTAAATAGTCGAGAAAAAGTCATAATATCCGAGGCCTGAAATTGATAAACTTACTTGTAAACTAAGACCTTTCTCGGCAGCGAGTCTTTTGGCAAGAGGAGAGGCGAAAATTCGGTCACCAGCACTTTGGGAAGGTCGTGGAGGAGCGGCTACAGGAGATGGTTGAGGGGGTGGAGGTGCAGAAGCTGGTGCAGGCGCAGATGGAGTAGGCGCGGAAGAAGGTGAACTTGGAGGAGTAACATCGCCTGATCCATCATCCTTAAAGTCCTTAAAAGCCGCAACACTCGCCTGATCAGCGACGATAATACAAACAAGTTTACCAATCGGTACATTCTTCGTTCCCGAGGCAATGATAATTTTCGCCAAATAACCCTCTTCAGGAGTTTCGAAACCCATTGTCGCCTTGTCCGTCTCTATCTCCGCTAACAAATCGCCTTCATTTAATTTTTCGCCTAGAAATTTTCAAAATTTATCATTTGTGTATAATTAATAATATTTATTTAAATTTTTTATCTCTAGGTATAAAATGTTAAAAATTGTTGTATCTAGTCTAGATATAAAATATTAATATTTTTTTTTTGTAATTTTAACAATTTACCTTCTTTTTTCTGCCAACTGACTATAGTACCGGTTTCCATAGTCGGTGACAACGCAGGCAGAACAACTTTTACGTGATCCGGAAAATCTGCATAATATCTGACTGGCTGTTGTTGGTACACCATCAACAATTGTCGTTGATTGTTTCCTACATGAAGCCTGAAATTGTTACATAACTTTCAATACTCGATTAAATAACAAACTAGCAATAATGTTAATATTATTTATTATTCCTTTAACAGTAAGACAAATATGTACATGTTGATATTAATGTTCTTCTCTTTGCCAACAATGTAAGGTAATATAAAAGAATATAAATTTTCCATTAAAAAAGTGTGTATAATAAGAAATAAATGAATTACTTAATAATATTGATCAAGAATGAGAATATATAGAAATTGTGAAACCTAACCTAACTTAACACCGACAATCATAGGAACAAGTAGAAAAACAGTAGAAAATTAATGCAAATAACCAAAATAACTTGATACTATAAAAGATACTTACCTCTGAAGATATTTTCTGTGAAGACATTGTGTTGATGCACATCTTAAAACATTAATTCGAACAATATTTCGAAGTGTCATGCGTGCCAAATCAGAACGTAACAAAGTCATTGTCGTCGGGCGTAACATGATTTATTTTTAAAAAAATCTTTGGTTCTGTCTTGAATTAATTTCCTCTAGAAATAACAATAATGTGTATAAAAGTTCCCTTCAAGAAAATAGATACTTTGTTACGAAAAAAAACAAAAATTTCGAAGACTCTGAAGAAACGGAGCAGACACTACATTAGAGGTCGTTTCCAAGGTCAGTTAATGCATTTTAAAGTGCTCTCCACAATAGTGCAACGAATTCTAGGAAAATTATTTAAGAATATAAATTTGATTGGTTGATTTAAAGTTGCTGAAATATTTAAAAATAAAGAGTGAAATAAACATGGTTAAAGAATTAACATTCTATAATTAGAGATAAATTTATGAATCATTAGATTTAAAGTATTGGTTTTTGAAAATCGTTAAATGTTTTGTCATAATATATTAATATTAACAAATTAAAATCGTTTTTTTCTTTCGTCCGCACAAATTTAGTCACGTGACTATCAAATACGCATGCGCAGTTATGGAAAAATATTTTTCGCGCTATTATTATTATCATCATCGTCTTTAATTTTTCTTAAAACATAATTAAGTTATGCGAATAAGTTTATAAAAAACAACTACCTAGTCAATTACTTGGATTACTTGTAACTTTCAGTAATATTTTCCTCTTTAAAAACATTAGTAAACTAAATTTTTTTGAAAATGGCGCCATTTGAGGAAGGTATCGAAAAATAAGTACTAAAATTCAGAGAGTCGTATCTACCTTTTATTTTTCATGCTTCATGCATTTCTGCTAAAATCGGGCAAAATTTAATTTGAAAAAAGTAATAAAAAATGTACTTAAACGTGATAATGTGTCTATTTAAATGTGAAACTAGTGTCGATTAATCTCAAAGATTAAGAATGCATTTTCACAATAAAATTTTCAATCATTTTCAATTAACGATCAAGAAAAACATCTGAGGGGCGAAAACAGTTGATTACGGTCTTACATCTTTTTTTAATTCACGAATTCAAAATGGCAGATTCGAATATCATACGCAAATGCTGACAGAAAAGTGCATTCAAAGATAGTTAAATCGCGTGAATACAATATGTGAAAGTTGAATAAATAATATGAATTGGATGTGCGCCGGTAACGAAAGTATATATTTTTTTCATAATATAAATTTTATGTCTTTGGGAAATCGATCGTGTTGCCCAAAGCACCGGAATTCATCGAACCATTATCGCGGTCTCGACGTCTCATTTGGTTTTGCCCTCTTTTTATCTTATATTTGAAGCGACAGTGAAGTGTTTTGTCTTTTTTCGCGTTGCTTTAAATTGTAACATGCAACCGCCCTTTTTGAGATAAAATACAAAACTTTTTCTAGTATCTCGGTGAACTAAATAAAACCAAGAACAATTTTTTTTAATATTGGCCCTCAGTGAAATAGTTTGCTAGTTATACACATGTAATGTATAGTTATACATATATTTAGAAATAGGTAGAAACGTTAAAGTTGATAACTAGGAAAGAGTTTAGAAGACTATCGCATTATGGCATCTTCCACTGTTGCTGTTCCTTCGGGGACGACGTCAGTTTCCCCTCAAGGATTCAGCCAGGGTTCTGATAATGTTGATGGAGGCGATATTTTCACCGAGAGAAGCATCAATACAGTCGCTAATTTCACCAATAGTAAGTTGTAAAAATTAATTTCAATTTATTTTATTTACTACAAAAATAGTTTCCTTTAAAAATCGATTTCGAAAATCTAATCTTTTTATTTTTTTAATTAAACTTTGCAATTCTTTTTCTCTTCTGCAAAATCAAGGAATTTTCGCCAAAAGTTTGTTATGAAAATAGAAATTATATTTCATTGTTCTGAGAATAAATCTGCCTGAAAAATGTATGTTTGAAATGGGTGCTTGGGTATTGATTAATTGATTAAAAACCCTGGGGGCTTATTCCGATTTAGAAAAGTTTTATTTTGTATAGATTCTTTACAAAGACAATTTTTTGAAAAAAAGAAACAAGAAAACGTGAATGGAATTTTTTCGCTACTTTCTTTTTTTTTAATTTGAAAAAGCCCCTCTCCCTTGACACTCTGAAATCAATAATTTTTTTTGTCTCAATGTAAATTAAATTTTTTATCAATTTTCTTTAATTCTTTAATTTATTAGAAAGAATTAATAATGTAAAGAAAAAAATTTTGTTTTAAAGACCCTATAAAAGTGAAATCGTCCAGGTAAAGTTTGCAATTTAATAAAAGTCAAGTAAACAGTCAAAATACGAGAATCGAAATTTATAAAACTTGGCGCAAAGGAAAAAGACGTTTTTTCGAAATTTTAGGCATATTTATATTCCTTATTTGATTGGAATTTTTTTAATTTTTGTAGATAAACCCTCGGGAGCATTGGAAGAAATGTCGAGTGAGTGTGGACAGCTTGAAGAGGAGAAATGTCCACTGTGTTCCAACAAAGTTTGTTTGCCCCGCGTGCTGACATGTCTTCACGTTTTTTGTGAAGCTTGTCTTGACAAAATTTTGATTGACGAGGCTGGCGATTCGAAGGTTGGATCGATTTTGAAATGTCCTCTTTGTCAGCAAGAAACAGTCGTGGGGTCGAAAGGCGCAGCATCATTACCCAGTGATTATGTTCTCACAAATATTCTCGACATGACCGCTATTGAAAATATGTCAGTGCTTTGCACTTCCTGTAAAGCCATGGAAAACGCAGTAGCACGTTGCTCAGATTGTGCGAATTTCTTGTGTCCGAATTGCAATACCGCACATCAATTTATGCGATGCTTCGAAAGTCATAAGGTTGTCTCGTTCGAGGACTTGAAAAAATCAAATGATTTGATACCTATTCATAAGCCTATTTTCTGTGAAAATCATCCCACTGAAAACATGAAGTTCTTCTGCAATACGTGCCAGGTATGTAACGTAATCATTGCTTCAAACTTATACACAAAGAAAAACAGAGTTGCCAAAGATCTGGGAAATCAGGGAAAAGTCACGGATTTTTATTAAAAGTACTGGAAAAAATTAAATGTTTAGAATTCAAAAGAAAATTCTGAATTTCAAAAGGTTTGAATTAGAAACTTTAAAAATCTTAGTTCCCATGGAAAAAAATAATGATTAAATATCACCAAGTAAAAAAATAAAAAAATGTCTGTGTTGATATATAAAATTATGCAAAATCGACTCTGGATCGTATCTTATTATCCACGCCATATGAATAGACAGTTTTTTTAATGAGCCATTATAATATTTATCAATTAAAAAACTCTGCTTGATTTGATTATTATATAAAATAATATTTTGTATTTAACTTAAATAATACTATTTTATTTAATCTCCAATCAGCAAACTTTGGTGCGATATAAAAATCTTATCACCACTGACACGTATTATTATATCATCATTTGTAATTTTTATTCTTTTACTTATATGAAACTTTATAGCTTCACTTGAAAAATGCGAATAATTTTTTTAATTTACAAAATTCCTCAGATTTGTTTTTCGGTTATTTGAAAGTAAAAAATTGTAATTTTATTATTTTTTCATGACATTACCACAGGAGCCGATATGCAATGAGTGTTTATTACTGGAGCACAAAACACCAGATCACCAGTACGAACGTTTGATTGATGCAGAACCACGATTAAAAGAGGAGTTACTGAATTTATTAAATGAAACTAAAGCCAAGATGTCGGATTGTGGCCAAACAACGAATCAGCTAGGAAATGCTCTTAGCGAACTTCAAGCTCAACGTGATCAAGCCAAGGACTTAATAATGGAAAGCTTTCAAAGCTACAAAGCCGTTCTCGAGAAATTGCGCGACCTCTCTCTATCAGAACTCGAATTGTTACACTCCGAAAGGGAACTTGAAATAATGGATTCTTTTAACAGGTCAAGACACAATTCGATATTTATTATAATTTAATTTCAAGTGCCTAATTACCTAACGATACTCATCTTTTTATTCTAGTGTGGATAAAACCTTAGAAAAAATAGACGCCGCCTATTGTTTTACATCAAGACTCCTTGAACATGGCGATGCTGTGGAAATTTTATCTCTCCGAAGGATTACAAATAATCAATTGACAAGTTTAATAACGAACTCACCAAAGCCCAATGTTTCATTCTCCATCGAATTTCAGACAGATTTTGATCATTTTGAAAAGACTGTGAAAGTACGTAAATTTAATTGCCAATTTTATTGGCATTACTTGAAAATAAATGTATATTTTTTTTGTATATTTTCTACTTTTGCAGGAAGCATTCGGTTCATTTCGTACGGAGAGTACAGTGTCGAATGCAGCCTTGGAAAACGCAGCGAATGTTCCAGGATCAATGGCTCCTCAAATGGCTCATTCATCGATTGGTTGTCCGAGTTCGATTAGCACGACTTCTCCAATTTCATTACCAACTTCAATGCAATCTTCCTTTGAAGGTGAACCTTCCTTTACAGTTCCTCCACCATCTAGTCCACAAAATGTTCCTCCTCCACCTCCTCCCGTTACTATTTCTCCAGGTCCGATTCACGGTTTCACCAGTATCCAAGAGTACAATCTCAAGCAGTTAGCAAGTCTCGCCGAAAAAGTTGATATTGTAGGCGACACTAGTGTCGTCGGCTCAAACTCAAATCCAAGCCCCACTCCGTCCTTCAACATTGCTGACCTCTTCACTGGTGATCATGCCATTAACAATCTTCAGGCTCTTGCCAAACTGGGAAATAATCTTGGAAACCATGGTAATTTTTTTTATTTCTTTTATTTTGTTTTATTTCATTTTTTATTTTAATTCAAGGAAAATTTGAGAAATGTTCTAATTTTCACATTTCATTTCAGATGTGAGCAATGCGACTTTAAACGGTGGCAATAATTTCATAATAGGACGCGGACAGTCACCAGGAATGGTTGATGCGCAGAATTTGGGAACACTTGGAGTCAATGGAATGTTAAATGGCGGATATCAACCATTGTCAACTTCTACCTCACCAATTATGCCACCAACTCCAGGAGGTATGAAGTGTCATTTGAAAATGTTCCATTTTTAACAATTGTACAGGGGTTCCACAGGTCAGGGAAAAGTCAAGGATTTTCATTAAAAGTACTGGAAAAAATTAAATTTTTAGAATTTATAAGAAAAGCTCGGAATTCAAGAGTCTTTTTTGTTTGCCTCATAAACTATGAAATTGCTCGGAAATTGCCAAGAATTCTAATACAAAATCTTCAATTTTTTATATTTCTGACAATAATTTCTTATTAAATAACTTAATTCTTGAAGAACTATCATAAAATTATTACTTATAAATTATTAATTGAATAATTTTACTTAAAAATTTCAAAATTATTTGGATTTCAAAAGAGTTGCATTTATAATCTTCATAAATAGATGAACTTCAAAGGTTTTAATTTGAAATTTGAGAAAATTTCAATTTTTAATAAATTTAAATAGAAATTTTAAAAACAACTGATTACAGAAATTTTATTATTTTCAAAAGTGATAAACTTCTTCGCATAAATTCAATTATGATCAAAAATTTTTTTAAATTCTCGTCAAAATTTAAATTATCATTATAAATAATAAAATTCTTCTCCAAAATTCAGTTATGTTGAAAAAATTTAATAAAATTCTTGGCAAAATTGCAACTATTTTCAAAAATTATCCTCATTTCAATTATTTTTAATATCTGCAATTTTAATAAAATGTTTCAAAAAAATTCAATTATTTAAACAAAATTTTAATAAAAATTCGAAAAAGAATTCCACTAATTCGATTACTTTTAATTTTTTAATGAAGTTTCTCAAAAGAATTCAAATATATTCAGAGAATTGAAAAATTTTCGAAACAATTCAATTATCTTCGTAAAAAATAAAATACCTACTTCGAAGTAATTCGATTATTTAAGAAATTTGAATAAAATTCTTTCCAGGAATTTAATTCTTTTCAAAAATAAAATTCTTTCCAAGAATTCACTTCTCTTGAAAAATAAAAATTCTCACAGGAATTAAATTATTTAAAAAAAAATTTAATAAAATCCTTCGACAGATATCAATTATTTTCAATTTTTTAATGAATTTCTCGATTCCTCTGTAATTCAATTATTTTTGCTAATAAAATTCTTCATAGGAATTTTTCTTTAAAAAAAATTTTTAATAAATTTCTTTGCAAGCATTCAATTATTTTCATAAAGAACAAAACTTATCGCAGAATTTCAATTATTTTTTATAAAATTTTAAATAAAATTATAGAAAATTGCATTTATTCCTACATTTTTTTTTAATTCGCCGAAAAAATTCAATTATTTTTAAAAATTTTGATAAAATTCTTCATAAAAATTCAATCGATAAAAAAATGAATTTCACTTAAAATTTTAAATTATAATTGAATGTTAAAAGCATTACAGCGTGAAATTTTAGAAATAATTCAATTTTGAAAAGGGTTCAAATTAAAATGTTTGAAAATTTGAATTTATATCACAATTTATTTACAATATTTATTTAAAAATGAAGTTATTGATGTTTTCGAATAATTTTACTTTTAGAGAAATTTGCAAATAAAAGTATTAGAACATTTTTTTGCGTATCTAATAATTTTTGAATTGAATCAGAATATTCTTCAGGGTCAGGGAAAAAGGTAAAATCAGTCTGGAAATCAGGGTAAAACAAAATTAAATTTTTGTGGCAACCCTGTTGTCTAATTATTATTTCAAAATGCGTTCAATATTTGTTACCTGCTTTTAATTTTTAAATGAATAAAAAAAATTATTTCAGAAGATCTTGGAGATTCTGTGCACAATATACCCGTAATGATAGGAAACTCGGTGAGTAGCGGTTCAGGAAATGGAAATTTTGCACACATTCGTTCATCTAACGGGAAACCCACGCCAATGCAAATTCGATGCAAATTTGGTCAACTCGGCCCCAGTAAAGGTCAATTCAATTCTCCCCACGGCTTTTGCCTAGGAACAGATGAAGATATAATTGTTGCTGATACCAATAACCACAGAATTCAGGTAAATTATTTTTCTCGAACCATGATTTACATGAAGTTTTTTTAATAAATAAAATTTAATATATAAAAATATATATTAAGTTTTTTAAATTTTGGAAACTTTTAGTTGAATTTCTCCTCTTTTTCAGGTATTTGAAAAGTCAGGCGCCTTTAAGTTTCAATTTGGAATTCCGGGAAAGGAGGAAGGTCAGTTATGGTATCCGAGAAAAGTGGCAGTGATGAGGAATAGTGGGAAATTTGTTGTTTGCGACAGAGGAAATGAACGTTCAAGGATGCAAATATTCACGAAAAATGGACATTTTATTAAGAAAATTGCAATTCGATACATCGACATTGTTGCTGGATTGGCAGTTACTGGTCAAGGACATATTGTAGCGGTCGATAGTGTTTCACCGACTGTTTTTGTTATCAGCGATGCAGGCGGTCTTTTAAGATGGTTCGACTGCAGTGATTACATGAGAGAACCAAGCGATATTGCCATTAGCGGTATTAGAATTTTTCCATTTTTCAAATACTTGAATTTTACATCTAAATATAATTAATTTTTTTTTCTCTATCTCGCAGGAAAGGAATATTTTGTGTGCGACTTTAAAGGCCATTGTGTAGTTGTATTCAATGAAGATGGACAATTTTTACGACGCATAGGTTATGAAAATATAACAAATTTCCCGAATGGAATAGATATCAGTGACGCGGGCGATGTTCTCATTGGAGATTCGCACGGCAACCGTTTTCACGTTGCTGTTTTCTCAAGAGATGGTACCTTAATTTCCGAGTTTGAATGCCCCTACGTCAAAGTAAGATTTTAGTTAATATTTGTTTTTTCAGGTATAAAAAAGTGCTTTGTAAATAAGACCTTTTATTACAGGTGTCTCGTTGTTGTGGTTTAAAAATCACCTCTGAGGGCTACATAGTAACATTGGCAAAAAACAATCATCACGTATTGGTCCTCAACACTCTTTACATTGTATGAGGTGCAAGCCGATGGACTATTTCTTCCCAAACGTGAAAAACCTCCCGGAATTGGATTACCATCAACGAAAGGTAAAAGGGTATGTCATTGGCCTTAGGCCATTCGATTTTTGGGCCTATAAATTTATTATTATTTTAAAGAAAAGCGCGACATTTATCTTCAACGGTCTTTTAATGTTAGGCAACCTTATTTTATGAAAGTATAAAACTTTGTCTAGCAAAAGAAGGGCAAAATTGAACATCCGACCAAATGCTATTTATAATAGCAACTCGTGCAGCTCCTATAGGACATACTGCCATACTAAATTTATTCTATTGAAAGAAAATTATTATTCAAACCAAAGGTTACCATTTTGGTAGATTCAAGATATATACATAAATATATATATATAAATAAATATATACATATTCTTAGGAAACGTTTAAAACGATTCACTTTAAGAATCTTTCTACTATTAACTTGCTGCAAATACGAATTTTTAAATTCGATCAGTATTTTAGATTTTTTTATATTTTATCCTCATCGTTTAGAAGAATTCTAAATCTTACAAAAGTCGAATTTTTTACAAAAAAAGCCATATTTTATTCCTAAAACATTTATTCTTAAAAAAATCCTCTTCAATAAAACCCATTATTCTTAAAAGAGCTTTTATTATAAAAAAAGAACCTTTATTCTGATGTATTTATTCCTAAACGTCATTTTTCTGAAATAACTTTATCGCTTTGTCACATTCCAAAAAAAGAAGGAACAGAAGCAAACATTTGTTGCCAGAAGCATCTCTTTACTACCCTTTTCTCTTAAAAAACTATAAATGAAAAAGGAATCAAATGTTATTATTATTAATTAAAAAAAAATTGAATCCTATTGTCGGAAAGAGACGCGAAAAGGTCACAATATTTACTCAGGATGCTTTATTATGGTCCACCGTTAAAAAAAGAAAGAAAGAAAAAAAAAGAAAAAAAAGACGCATATGAATTAATTATTCATAGTGCTATTTCCCGATTACCTTGTAAATGTATTTGTTATGAAATTACAACAGGTGCTCTCTCTCTCACAATTCTACAATGAGGAGGTCCACTATGTTACTATATAAAGAAAAAAAAACATTTTCAGGAGAAAAAATATATTATATACACATATATTATATATACATACATACACATAATAATGGAATCATACGGAGTGTACTTTGTCTGTGTAAAATAATGTTTGCTAAACAACTTCTATTTATGTAAATACTGACATATTTCGTAAAAACAAAATAAGAAATGAAAAACAAAACTAAAAAAGATCCGTATGAGACAAAAATATAGAAGATACGCATATTTTGTAGGGTCGTTTACATCAATAGCCATAAATTACTTATTTCAAACTGAAATGAAAAAAAAGCGAAAAAAAATAGACTCAATATGCAAGCGACACGTATGCTCGTCGTCATTTGATAATTCGGTATACGAGTAACTTCATATCTATCAGTCGAAAATTCTTGACCGACACTCTTGCCATAACGCTATATATTTAGATATGTATATGTAAATTATACAATGCATATACATATCATTAAAAAAAAGAAATTTAAATAGCTTAATCGGGCTTTAATCGCATACCGAGTCGAATTAACAAATCGACGAATATTAGTGTTGATTGCAATATTTTTAATTAGGCGAGGCAATAAATAACAAGTAAATGAAATAACTATCGATTAAATAAAAAATAATAGTGAAAAAGAAAAGGGATACGAGATAATAGGCCGTGTACTTCGGTACATGACAAATTAGCAGTCTCGCGATGCCTATCTATACTCTTAAGTTTAACCAATAATCGTCTAAATATCACTAGTGGTCTGAATTTTACGTTTTGAAGTGAGAAAACATTTTTTTAAAACGATAAAAAAAAATCATCTCATAAAAAATATTAAAAAAAAAAGAAAATGCAAAAAAAAATTACGTGTACGAAAAAATTTTAATAGATGTGGTTTAGCAGAGTTTTATGACTAATGCCTGTGATAATAGAATCGTCATCATAAGTTGTATTCTTCGAGAGTCTCTGATGTTGTTACTAGTTTAAAGATAATTAGAACTATCTAATCCAATACAGGTGTTGCCTCTTGCAAAAAAAAAAGTGTGTTTTGTCAGATGCACAACGACCTGAACACGCATCGTCTTCGAAATGGCACACAAGTGGAAAAACAGTATTTTAAAAAAATTATTACAAGGAATAATTATTAACGAAAAAAGGCAATAATTATCGTATCCCCCTTTTCAATAATTACTATATTGTGGAACATTTTTTTAATTATAATAGTTACTGAAAAGTGGGATAGACTAAATTTTAATAATTGAGAAAAAAATGAATTTAAAAAATATAAAAAATTAAGAAATAATTTAAAAAATTAAAAAATAATTTTCAAAACTAAAAAATGAATTCGAGTTTAAAAAAATGGTTAATAATTATTTTCAAAGAAATAATTTTTAATTATTAAAATTAAAGAATTATATAGAAAAGAAAGAAAACGAAGCGAAACTTTTCCAGCCAATTTATTGAACAACTCATAGTGTATCACGTGCAGATATAAAAAAAAGGAAATGAGGAGATAAAAAAATATAGATATATAAAAAGATGGGAGTCTTTTACCTCTCATTATTACGTTATGCTCATCCTAGACATACTTGAATATTTTAGTATAGATATACTCTATTTACATATTTTTATCTGTGGAGAATTACTTGGCTAATTTTAGGCCACTGTTGAAATTCACCTCTTTTTTGCCTTGATATTTAAATTTCAATAATGTTTAGAACGAAAATGTCAAAAAAAATACAAAAAAAAAAATGATAGAGAAAGAAAGAGATGAAAAATAGGTCACAATTACTATTATATTGATATGGTAATTGTGATTTTTTTTTTGATGATTTTTACAATCACAAAGGTCTCATTCTTACGAGTGTATATACACTACAAATTAAAAATACACACACACACAACACATATGCGTATGCGTACATTTAATCGGTCCTTAATTTTATGTGTATACAACTATCAAACATCTAAGTAATCGCTTCGTGCGTAATATACATGCGCTGCTTATACTGTTTTACTTATACATATTATATTATATATATAAATATATTATATATGAGAAAAGTGTATTTTACGAAATACGTTATATTATATAGTACGAATAAGGTTGTTATCGGCACGTATCGTTTTTTCCCGTGTGATGTGTGTTAAGAAAACGTTTTTTGAAGTGATGACAAAAAAAATCAAATTTTCAGCGTAGATATTAATCTCTGATAATTAAAAATTAGAGGGGAAAAAATCGAAAAGTTGCTGTAGAGTAAAAAAAAACAAACAGAAATTCTTCCTTTCGACTTTGAATTTATAGACTTTTCGAGACATAAGGATAAAAAGTTCCTTTACAATCTCAAATGTTCTTATTTTAAACTCAAGAAGATTAATGTAGGATTTATACGATGTAATTTAAACATTGCCTACAATTAATCATAGTCTTCCTAGAACCATGAAAGTACGTGTTTGTGAATTTTTTAAACAAAAACATCTTTTTTGTTGAAATCAGAACTGAACATTAAACAATGAAAGTATTTCAATAATTATGTTTCTTACGCTTAAAAAAATTTTTTTTAGTATAGTTAATTTTATTTCAATTTATTATAGGTAGACATAAACTTTTTTTCTCTTATTTATTATTTCTCTCAAAAAGTATAAGTATACTTTTATTTATTTAAAAAATTTAATAAAAAATTTAATTAACAATAATTAAATAAAAATATAATTAAAAATAATTAAATAATTCTTTGAGTTTATTTCTTCAAAAATTAATTTAAAGTTTTATTAAAGTTTAATATTTTGTTTATTAAAAAAGTTGCATTTTTATTTAAAAAATCTTGATTGATGAAAAGTTTATTACGATTAAGTATTTTTATTTTGCATAAACTTATTTAAATCTTTTATTTATTTATGTTATAATTTTAAGTTTATACCGTATGTGTTCTGAAATACTGAAATTTTAGAGTATTTTTTATAAAAGCGTAATATCAAAGCTATAATAGAAATATTTTTAATAAATTCCAGTTATCTTCAGTCTGGGGGTGGGGAGGGGGGAATTTTTTTTTTATTTCAACAAAAAGTTTGTTTCTCATTTTTATAAATTTTAAGTATTTAGAATTTTAGTCTTTTAAAAACAACGAAATAATTAAAGAAATATTTTAATATTGCTTGTTCTAACTTACCAACTAGTTTATTAATTAATAAATACCAGTGATTAATTTGAAAATTGATTAATGGTATTAATAATAATTGTATCAGTGAATGTAAATTAAATTTTTGAAAATACTTTCTGTTCAGTTCTGATATTTTAATTTGGTTATTGGATAATTGTAATAGAAAAATTCTTCCACGAGAGTGATTTTTGTGAAAAAAGGGAGAGAAAGTTTTATTCATTGTAAATATAGTTTATGTTTTTGTGAGTAGCGTGTCCCAAAAATTTACATATTATTTAAAAGATAGGAGTATTTTTTTTTTTTTATTTAAACGTGTGCATTATGAGTTTCTTGTGACGTGACTTGTGTCTGACGAATATATATATACATATATTTTTTTCTTTTATAGAGATATACCAATGTAGTCTCAAATTTCTTTTATTTATTTTATTATAACTTAGAAAATAGTACATTGTTCGTATTCTAGTTAAGTTCATTTTTATTAATTTTATTAATTTTTATTAATTTTATTAACTTTATTAAATTTATTACATTTTTTTTTATTTTTCACTTTTAAGTTTTTTCGAAATTCATTTTTATATTCTAGACGCAAAATATTAAACTTTTTCAGGAGGAGTTTAACTGCCATTTGATGAAATCTTCTCCAGTATTTGAAACCAAAATGAAAAGAATATTTTCTGAAAATTCGTTTAAATTCTTGTTTTTTTAAAAAATCATCACTGTTTTTTTTACTTTAGTTTTAAAAAAAGCATTGAATAATTTATTTCCATTATTTTTCGTTTCTCTTAGAGCAATACAAAAATTCTTTGTACTTTTACAAGCAATTTTTAGTGCCAAACAATTTAATATCATACTCGCGTGACTCATGTTTATATTAGGAATTAAGTACCTCCCTTGTTTTTCTCAATTTTTTTTTATTGTTGCGAGAAATTTCTAAGTTTAGTGTGTAGGGAAAATTAATTAAGTCTTTAATTAGTCAGTTCAAGTACAAAATATTTAAAATAATCGTTAGTTGATACGCCAAATGAGGCAAATACGAGATGCTTGGTTCCATTCCTTATTAAATTTTTTTTACAATCTACTTTTAGTTTTTTTTGTTTTTGTTAATTTTTCTCAATAATTAGAAAGGCTGAATCGAAAAAGAAATAGCCATCGATTCTGCTTAGCAGAACATCCTTATCTTTTGACAATTCATTCCTTTCCAAAGTACTTTATTTACATATCAAATCGACTACCATAACGTTAAAAATAAAAAAGTAAAAAAAGAAAAAAAGAAAAAAAAAGAGAAAGAAGTTGCATTCCATCGGCATGTTTTATATATACCAGGTTTTTAGAAAAAGGCATAATTTTTCAAATTCTGTGATATGCGTAGTCTCCAACCAAGTATTACAATATTTTTCACTCTTTGTGTTTTTGACATAATATAAATCTCATTAAAACTGAGAAAAAAGATGACTACAAAAATCTATATTGAAAAAATGTTTTGAATTATTTGTAAACGCCACGCATCAATTCATCAACTTTACATGTAATTATAAAAAAAAAATCTTCGTTGTCAACTATGGAAAAATCTTATTTATCTTTTTTATATTCAAAACAAAAACAATATTAAGGCTCGAATTTTTATTTTTATTTTTCACGAAAAATTCAAGCTTTGAAATGTTTTTACATATTGACACATAAAAAATAGTACAACCAAAGAAAGATAGATTGTAATTGTAATATTGGAAAGCGTATATAATATATATTTTTTTATATGATATGTGTTGCCAAGGAGCGTACTCAAATGAAAAAAAAAAGAAATTAACAAACTGTTTACGACGAAGTTAGTTATTGAGGACGTTTGTTCAATTACAAAGTTTTTTTTCGACTTTTATTGAAGAACAATTTTTTCTTCAACGATTTTTTGCGTTAAAAAAATGTTTTAGCTTTTTTTATATTATTGTTTTCTTACTTTCTTGTATTATTTTTATTTCATATTATTCTATTTCTTCTTCTTCTTCTTCTTCTTCTTTATATATTGTAATTTTTTTGTCTCATATTATATTGTATTTTCCCCTCATAGTATTGTATTTTTTCGATATTTTTTCTTTCTATTTTTTCAACTTTGACCCCAGGACCCCCTTTTTTTTAATTATTGTATTTCTCCCAAAGCTTGTTAAAGCTAGTCCGTAATGTACCTAAGCAACTAAGGTCTCATTTTTTTTTGTTTGTTTGTTGTAAAAAGCTATAAGAGTTTATATATTTCCGCTTTATATATTCATAAAATTTTAGTTCCATTTTTTATATGAAAAAAAAATGAAATTTATTATACATACCAACTATAAATATTTGTATACACATACATACACTTTTAAAAGGATATTATTTTAATCAACGTACCATTTTACATATTAATGACTTGAAATATTTGCTACTTATATATTATATATGTATAAATATATAAATATATTTGCTGTACACACGAAATGTGTATATGAAAATATATGTGTATATTTGTCGAATGTATAAAGATTGAAAATACTTTATGATATAGGATGTAGGGGAGCCTTGGAATAAGAAAAAAAAAGATGTTCGCTATTAACTTGTAAATTGTATATCAGCATATCAGTTACATTTGTCTTTATCTGCCAATTTACATTATAAAAAAACATCCTATATAAAAAGGTATTCTCATGAAATATCACTTTTGCAGTTGCCTGAAAACGTAGAACATTACATTTTACGTGCGCGTAGATTGCAATGTAATTAATAAGACATTGCAATGCTCACAAAGCTCATAACACAATTTACCAAAATTGTAATGTTTAAGAATTTCATGTGATTTTGGAAACTGTTATATTTTTTATTTTCTGCCAGTTGTTTAATTTGTAATGTTGTTCTTTGTTCTTTTTCAATAAAGTTAGGAAATAAAATTATTGGAAAATAATTATTTTACCCACTCACTCATTTTTTTTTTTTTTTTATTTTTTAAGTAGAAAGATATTTTTTCTCTTTTAGTTTTCGCCAAACTCATTGATCGTATATTTTCTGGTGTCAAATTTCTTTACAAAGGTAATATTTCACTTTATAATCAAATTATAGGCTAAAACTTAAGGCCAACGCAGAATAGAAACTTAAGAACCGCAATCGGGGAAAAGTCAGGAATTTTTATTAAAAATACTGGAAAAAAGAAAAAAAATAAATAAATAAAAAAAAATTCTAAAAAATTTTTAGAGTTCATAACAAAATTCATGAACTATGAAATTACTACGAATTCTAAAACAAAACCTTCAAATAATTTGTGTTTTTCTGTCAAGAATTAATTTTTTAATATTTATTTCAAAAATTTTAACGCAATTATTTTGATAAATAATAAAATTCTTCACAGAAATTTAATTATTTTTAAAAAAATTTTTTTGCAAAATTCAATTACTTTTATAAATAAGAATATTCATCATAAGAATTCAATAATTATTTTCAAAAGTAATAAGATTATTCGAAGAAATTCAATTTTTTTTTAAATTTTTACAAATATCTTGTCAAGAATTCAATTATCTTTACAAATAGCAAAATTTTTCTCCAAAAACTCAATTATTTTCAAAAATTTAAATAAAATTCTTTGCAAGATTTCAAATATTTTCAAAAATTAAAAAAAAAATTCTTTGCAAAATTTCAATTATTTTCAAAAGTTTTTCGCAATTCAATAATTTTCAATATTTAAGTACTATTTTCATAAAATTTATCAAAAGATTTAATTATTAAAAAGAATTTTGATAACATTCAATTATTTTCATAAATAATAAAATTTCATTTAGGAATTCAATTATTTTCATCTCAGAATTTTAAATATTTTTAATACAATTTTTAACAAATTCCTCGAAAATTCGTCGCAGGAATTCAATTATATTCACCAATTTTTAAGTAATTCTGCAAAGGAATTCAATTATCTTTTATAAACAACAAAATTCTTTTCATAAAATCAATTATTTTTAGGAATTTTAATAAAATTCTTTTCCAAAATAAAATTATTTTGATTAAATATAAAAATTCATCAAAAGAATTAATTTCTTTTGAAAAGTAATAAAATTCTTTGCAGAAATTAAATTATTTTCTAAATTTTTAAAAAATTCTCGTCAAGAATTAAATCATTGTCAAAAATTTTAATAAAATTCTTGGCAAAATTTAATAAAATTCTTCGCATTAATTCAATTGTTTTCAAAAATTATTATTTAAATTCTTCTCAAGAATTCAGTTATTTTTAAATAATTTAATAAACTTCTTGGCAAAATTTCAATTATTTTGAAAAATTTTCCTTATTTCAATTATTTTTAATATCTACGATTTTAATAAAATTTTCCAAAAGAATTCAATTATTTAAACAAGATTTTATAATAAAAAATTCCACATGAATTCAATTACTTACCAATTTTTTATAAATTTCTTCTCACTAATTCAATTATTTTCGTAAAAAATAAAATTCTTCGAAGCAATTCAATTATTTAAGAAATTTTGATAAAATTCTTCACAAGAATTTAATTTTTTTTTTTCAAAAATAAACTTTTTTACAGGAATTAAATTATTTCAAAGAAAAAATTATTTAATAAAATTCTTCGTCAGATTTAAATTATTTTCAATTTTTTAATAAAATTTAATTATTTTCAAAAAGTTTTAAAAAATTTTGAGAAATTCTAATTATTTAAAAAAATTTTAATTAAATTCTTTAAAAAAATGTTTAATAAAATTCGTTGCAAGAATTCAATTATTTTCATAAATAACAAAACTTATAATAGAATTTCAATTATTTTTTATACAATTTTAAATAAAATGATAGAAAATTGCATTTATTTAAAATTTTTTTTTTAAATTCATCGAAAGAATTCAATTATTTTTAAAAATTTTGATAAAATTCTTTATAAAAATTCAATTTTAAAAAATATTCAATTATTGAATAGATTATTTATTTTTGTATTTAAATAATTGAATTCTCATAGAATTCAATTATTATTTTTCGTACTTTAAAAAAGAAGTTATTGATGTTTTCGATTTTACAATATTAAAGAAATTCGTCAATGAATCCTATAGAACATTTTTTTTTTTTTATCTAATTATTGTAATTTAAAAATAAGCGCCAAATTATCGATTATTTTCATTTTCTGCTTTCGACCAGCTTTCGACTATAACATGAAGTCAGAAGTGCACCGAGTGTGCAGTGCAGGTGCATTCTCTTTTTTCTCATACTGTCAATATTATCTTATGATCATCACATGATTTATTCCATTTATTTAATTATTCTCACTTTATTATTTAATATTTAGTATATTTGTGAAATCTATTTTTGATAAAGTCTATTTTTTTGATTACGATTATGTGTGTTATTTTTGGTACGCATATATTTTTCAAAATGAAAACAGTGTTGCATTTCTAACCTCAAAGTGTCATTTATAATATAAAAATGTACGGCGCTTATTATTGGCACCATTATTGAATATAACATTTGCTAATAAAAATTAGTTCACAATTGGATATAAATGAAAGATTTACGCATTTTATCTTTATGATATTATGCATATTAAACGGATATCAATAATTAGGATGACGTTTTAAAGAAAAAAGTTGAAAAGTCATAATTTATGTGACCAGAGCACATATCAACAACAATTTATCTTCCATTTACAGATATTTTCTCCCTCGGGTGGTTCACGAACTCTATTCTTGGTTTTAATTTTTGATTACAAAGTTGTTGAATATATTAACTATCATGTTTCTCAGTTCAGCAATGTAAGCAGTTTCTTGTCAAGTTGTGTCAAACTCGGCAAACTATTCACAGCTGCTGTACAAAACTTTTCCTGTGAAGATTCGCTATAATCTAATTGTATTAATTGTGAAAATTGACAAATTTTATTTACTTTACCATAAAAGAAGAAACTGATAATAAGAAGAATTTCACTTCATAAAAATAGGTAATCAAATTTGTATAATAAATCCGCATGTGAAATTAATTGTGTTATTTGCAGATCGTGTTTGCTTTCAATATATTAATGATGTAATCTATATATAGAGATTCATTTTAGTACAAATTCAAGTTCATTTTAGTTTATAATCAGTGCATTGACTCGGAGTAATTAAAATTTTTAAATAGTTGTGCAATCTTTATTGAAAACTTCTTGTTTGTTCTATTCTTATCAATGCAAGCTCAATATAACTTATATCTCAATTCGTCAATGAATAATTAAGTTAAAATTGCAAATCATTCATTTCTAGTAATAACTGTTTTATTGCTATATTATGTTAAAGAAATATTTTCTCCACTAGTATAGTTATGATTACGTTTTTTTCTATATTTATAATATTTGGTTAAAGTAGGTAATAATTCCATATTCATTATTAACATATTAGTATAACCTTCTTATATTTACTTTATTTAATTAGTATTTAATTTTATCAATTATTTTTAACTCAAGTAATTCGATTTCTACCAGTGACATTTTATCGAATACAAAGTAAATTAAAAGTTGTAAGAGAATAAGTAAAATTCAAAAATTTCATTTTTATTTCAGATTTACAAAATGCACTGAACTGAATTACATTTTTTCACAAAAATGGTAAGCAAATTGCCTCAAGAATTTCGAAGATATCAACGAAATCGAAATCAACTTCGTCATATTCTTAAGGAAACTCAACGTGTTCTAGATATAATCAGCCTTGAAAATATTTTTCCAGGAGGTAAATAATTTTTATTCTTATAAAAATAAACATTTTCTTTTAATCAATTAGTTTATATAATAATTGAAAATATATAATGCTAGTAATTTTTTCAAAGTACTTCTCTTTAGAGTAATTGTGACATACTTCTCGCAGTTGAATTTATCTCGCAACTCATTTTTATCAGCCTCATTACGAAAGTGTTATAACTGTGTTTATTACTAGTTCGTAAATTCAGCATCTACAAATTTTGCATTTCACGTTGAATTTGTTTCTTAATGTTATTTTTTTAGTATATTTTTCTATTTTTTCTGATGACTTCTCATGATAAAGTATATTTTTTCATTTTTTTTGGCAACTCAACTCTAATATTCCAGAAAAAGCAATATTTTTGCAGATTAACGTGTTTTCCTCATTTTATATCTATATATATAAGCAAAGTACTTTGAACAACAAAACAACCATTACAATTGTTATCTTAAAGCTTAATAACCAATTAATGAAGCTAAATAATAAATCATTTCACTTTCTTTGCTAAAACATTTTATATTCATGGTTTAAATTAAAAATTTAGTTAATTTAAATAATATAAATGTAATGAACAGGGTTGTCACAGGTCAGGAAAGTTAGGGAAATTTGAATTGATCAGGAAAATCAGGGAAAATTTAGGGATTTATATTAAAAGTTCTAAAAAATTTAATTTTTAGAATTTCTTTTTAAATAACTTAATTCTCGAAGAACTACCATAATACTATTAGTTATAAATTATATGTAATGAATAATTTTACTTAAAAATTAATTGAATTTTAAAAGAGTTGCGTTTACAATCTTCATAAATAGATGAAGTTGACAGTTTTCAATTTAAAATTTTAGTAAATATTAATTTATAATTTTCTTTAAATTCGCCAAAAAAATTCAATTATTTTTAAAAATTTTTTCATAAATTCTTCATAAAAATTCAATTTTAAGAAATATTCAATTATTTAATAAATTATTTATTTTTGTATTTAAATAATTGAATTCTCGTAGAATCTCCTAATAAATATTTATTTAAAAATGAACTTTAAATTAAAATTTTAAATTCTAATAATGATTAAATATTTATTTAAAAAAAAAGAAGTTATTGATGTTTTGGAATAATTTTACAATGAAAGAAATTCGTAAATAAATGTAATAGAATATATTTTTGAGTATCTTATAATTTTTCGAGTGAATCAGAATATTCTTTAGGGTCAGAGAAAAAGGCAAAAATCAGTCAGGAAAAGTCTGTAAATCAGGGAAAAGTCGGGGAAAAACAAAATTAAATTTTTTTAGCAACCCTGAATGAAAATGTTGTTATGAAATAAAATATTTGTTCAATTTTATAATTATAAATTGATTGATTGAAAAATATAAATTTCAAGTATTTAATTAAATAATTAAAATTTGTCACATTAAATTGCATTAAATTTGTTTTTTAATTACAGAAAATATCATTGATGAATTATTGCCAGCGTGGACTCTTAACAAAATCACCCACATTCTTGAAAATGCACCGGCCATCGTAATTTTTGGTCAGAATTCTAAAGCAAAAGCTTCTCTAGTCAATTGTATTCTTGGTACGGATATTTTGCCGATAGTCACCGGATCATGGCGATGGATAAAATTAGGTTACGGTCAGACGACTCACGTCAGTTTAACACTTGGCCTGGAATACGAAGTAGTCGAAAATCTTCAAGCCAATGAGAAAGCATGGAATACACTTCCTGTCGAGGACCTCAATGAATCCGGTAGTCAAGATCCAAATTGCCCAACAGTTCTCGAAGTGAAAGTGAATCAACCAAATTTAAAGGATGGAGTGGAAATATTTATTGTCCCCGACAGTGGCGGTGTTAAAGTTCTCGCGAAAAGAAGCCTTAATATTTTACCAATTTTCCTCTACGCCCTCGGTGAAGAAGCACTCACCGAGGAGAATATGCAAGAATTGAGTGAATTAAAGGAAACTTATCCCTACAATTCCGTCTTGTTTATCTCGTCCTTATCGCGCATCACGACCGATGGTTTCGATGCGGAACTCACCGAGTCGGAGCAACACAGACTTCACGTTGAGTCGAGTGATTCGTTTAATACACAAAAGGAGGAGAATAATTCCCAAATCGATAGAATTAATTCTCTTGGTCTGATTTGGTTGGAGCAACTCACGAGCTTGGGTTTTTTGAGATTACAAGAGTCGGACGAGGTGGATCGAGCGACTTGGCTGGTGGGTGGAGAGTACGCTAATACAAGTCGACTGATGACCTCCTGCAAACGAATAGAACAAATTAGTTTCTTCATACGGGCTAGTCTCCAAAGTTATCTAGTGAATACTTGCAATTATTTGAATGAAGTGCACACGACGAGTCTTAGAAAGTTTATTCTCATTGCCTTTGACATGGCGAGGGAGATTCAAATCACACCGAAGAGAATTCTCTACGCTCAGCAGAAGGAGAATGAATTGTACGCTTCGCTTGTCAAGGTTGTGAGTGACAAACAGGTCGAGCTGACGGAAATGATTCATGGAATAGTTCAGGAAATGAAGGATGAAGTGTCGGATGCGTCGGTGGAGAACTTTCAGTACAATCCATCGATCAGTGAGGCCGAGAGGAAGGAATGGTCGGCTACTGTTCGGGCAGCAACGACCGAAGTTCAGAGGATAGTTCTCAGTCGCTTGGGTGAACGGGTTGCGAAAGAACTTGTAAATTCTGTAAATTGTCTACGAGAGACGTTTTTTGGTACTCTCGAGAGATGCTTATTGAGTCTTGAAAGGAGTTGTGAACATGAACCAAGTTTGTCGGCGAGTGACGCTCTTCAGCAAATCCTCTCTGCGGCTTATAATCTAGAGCTGCATAATTCTTCTCCATCTCTCATTCATTCTTTTCTCGAGAGGTTGGTGCAGCTTTTTAAAACAATGCCTTTGCTCTGGTCACCGACTCCCACCCTGGATGCGTTGTGGCGAAAAAAGGTGACGATCGATATTCTTAATTCTCTCTCCGCGAGTCGATTGGCCAAAGCGATCTCGACACAGTTCAAAGATAAAGTGAAATCGTCTCACGATACTTTTCAAACAGCTCTCAAGTCGCTGGAAAATCATTATTCGGGGAAATTGGAGAGAACTGAGGAACAACGAATGGCTATTAGAAAATATCACGCTCCAAGATTGGCAAAGTTGGCGCTGGAATCGACTTCTATGAGTGATATGGTGAGATACGGGATTCCGCATCAAGGCAAGGAAATTGGGAGAGGACAGTACGGAGTTGTGTTTGCTTGTGACGGCTGGGGCGGAGCACCCGGACCTTGTGCGGTCAAGTCGGTCGTGCCGCCGGACGAGAAACACTGGAACGATTTAGCAATGGAATTCTATTACACGCGCTCGATTCCGGATCATAAGCGAATAGTGAAATTAAGAGGATCTGTGATTGATCATTCGTACGGTGGTGGTTGTGGGTTCGGAGCGGCTGTGCTTCTAATCACCGATCGAATGACAAGGGATCTTTATTGTGGAATTCGAGCCGGACTCTCGTGGCTCGAGAGGATACAGATCGCCATCGATGTTCTGGAGGGAATTCGATTTTTACATTCACAAGGCCTTGTGCATAGGGATATTAAATTGAAGAACGTCCTTCTCGACACGGACAATCGAGCGAAACTCACGGACTTGGGTTTTTGCATCACCGAAGCTATGATGTCGGGCAGTGTTGTAGGGACTCCCGTTCACATGGCACCGGAATTACTCTCCGGTCATTACGACAGTAGTGTCGATGTTTACGCCTTCGGCATTTTATTCTGGTACATTTGCGCCGGCCATGTTAGAATACCCTACGCTTTCGAACAATTTCATAATAAGGAGCAACTCTGGAGTAGTGTGAGAAAAGGTAATTTTCCACTTTTTCACAATCTTTACTTTCGCAATTCGTCAAAATTAACATTTATCTTTTTTTCAGGCATTCGGCCAGAACGCTTATCTCATTTCGACGATGAGTGCTGGAAACTGATGGAACAATGCTGGGCTGGCGAACCTTCTCGACGACCATTGCTGGGCGCAATTTTACCGGTCTTAAAGTCAATTCAACAAAAAGCAGAAAGAGGCAAGTCCTTACAAGAGCTCAACGAATCGGAGCTAGAAGATTCATTTTCTACCGATTTAAGAGACCCGGTTTTGGCTTTATCCGAACCTAATAATCAAAGAGGCACAAAAATTCATCCTCATCCATTAAAACGCAAATCTCATCGTCCTATTAAGCCTCCTATTTTTCCCATGACTAACATATTCCAAACTAGTGCTTGTTCTAATCTTTTTATTCAAATGAGAGAGTTTTAAAAACTCTTTTGTAATTATTTTTTCCTCTTTTTCTATTCTAAAAAAAATAATACGTCTGGTGTAAGGAATCTTTCATTCAGTATTAATCTCGAGACTGTTTTCCTGTCTTCACTGTCATTGTGATTTCTACTATCTCAGGGCTCGAACTAGGTCCGTAAATCTCGTAAAAGTCCATAAAAGTCTGTTTTTTTTAAAAAAGGTTCTTTAAGTCCGTAATTTGATTCAAAAAGGATGAAAAGCTCGTAAATTGTACGATATAATTTGGAGAATTTTAGAGACATTAGAAATGATTGCAGAAATTCAATTATTCCCAAAAGTAATAATATTCCTCGCAGAAATTCAATTATGTTCCAAAATTTTTTTAAATTCTCATCAAAATTTCAAATATTTTTAGAAATAATTAAATTCTTCTCCGAAATTCAATTATTTTCAAAAATTTTTTTCAATTCAATGATTTTCAATATCTATTTTCATAAAATTTTCCAAAAGAATTGAATTATTTAAAAAAAATTTAATAAAATTCTACACAAACTTTTAATTATTTTCAAAAAATAATAAAAATTTCACAGAAATTTCATTATTTACAAATTTTTTAAATAAATTTCTTCGCAATCATTCAATTATTTTCATAAATAATACAATTTTTACGGGGATTCAATTATTTTCGTAAAAAATAAAATTCTTTTTAGGAATTCAATTATTTTTGAAAATAATAAAACTCATTGCAGAATTTCAATTATTTTTATACAATTTTAATCGAATTCCTTGAAAGATGGAATTATTCTTAAAAATTTTATTAAAATCTGTCAAAAGAATTCAATTATTTAAAAATTTATTGATAAAATTCTTTATGAGAATTTAATTTTAAGAAACATGGAATTATTTAATAAATTTCTTATGCATTTAAATAATTGAATTCAAGTAGAATTTTGTCATAAACATTGATTTAAAAATTGATTTTAGTTAAAATTTTAGATTATAATTGAATTTTTAAAAGCATTAGAGCGTAAATTTTTAGAAATAATTGAATTTTGAAAAGGTTTCAAAGTAAAATCTTTGAAAATTTGCATTTTTCATATTTTTAACTAACAATTCTGTGAAATTAATTTTTTTTGAGAAAATTTAATTGGCGATTTTTTTTTTAAAGTATTTAAAGTTTTTATTTTCTAATATAGATTTAATTGAAGAATTTACAAATAATTAAAATTTTGTAAAATTAAATTGTAAATAAATTTAAAAATTCTTAAAGAACTTTTTCAAAAATTATTAAAAATAAAGAAATTAACGAGGAATTTTAGTTACAAATACGAAGAAAAGAATTCAATTTTGTAAAATTTACAAATTATTGCAAAAATTCAATTATTTTCAAGAGTAATAATATTCTTCGCAAAAATTAAATATTGTTCAGAAGTAATAAAATTCTTCTTAGGGATTCAATTATTTTCATAAATAATAAAACTTATTGCAGAATTTCAATTATTTTTAATACAATTTCTTGAAAAATGTAATTATTTTTAAAAATTTTATTAACATTCGTTGATAGAATTCAATTATTTAAAAATTTTTTGATAACGATTCTTTATGGGTCCGTATTTTTAAATACTTCCACTAGTTCGAGCCCTGATAATCTTTTCTTTCTATATAATCAAAATTTATGACAATAGAATCTCAATTTCATAATATTAATTGCACCATTAGTTTTGCGAAAATTTTTTTTTAAAATATTTATTTATATTTTTTTCAATTCTTTAAAGAACAACAGTCTGATAAATAGAACCTTGTGAAAAAAATATTAATAAGAAGAAATTATTGATTTATTTTGTAAAAATAAAATTAGGTTTAGTTTAGATGCTTCTGTTCATTTAATTACCGTTTTAAATATCTTTTAATTTTCAATGAATATTAAACATTGAACGCGAAGATGAAATAGAAATATTGTATATTAAAATCTTGTTATTAATCAATTCGATAAATAAATATTTTTGCTATTTTACGCCAGCTGTTCATCTATCGCACTCTCTCTCTCTCCTTTCCTTGACACTCTTTACTATATTATTAGTTTTCCAGTCTGTAGAAAATTTACGTATAGAGCAATTTTAATAGAAACTTTTTTTTCCTTTTCTTTTCTTTTCTTTTCTTCTACTTTTAACTTTTATTCTATGCTTTATTAGAAACAAAATACTCTTACTTTTTTATACAAATGAAAAAGACGAGTGACAATTTTTTTAATTACAGAAAGAATTGCGGAAATTCCGACGCACTATAGACCTCAAAGGTTTAAAAGGCTTGTATCTGAGGCGTCATTGTATTTTCCATGGTAAAATTCAGTACAATTTTAACATTAGTAGCAATTTATTGCATTCTTATCGATAAAAAGATCCAATAATTCTTAACTATTCGCTTATTTAGATTGATATTAATAATATAATCAGGAAAAAAAGTTTATATTGATAATTTTCAGTAGCAGGCTAAAAGTTCAATAAATATAGTCATTAATCAAAGTATATAACTTAAACGTTAAATGGAAATTTCTGTTATTTTCTAATTAATTAATTATTATTGTTTCTACAATAACTTGTTTTCGTTTCTTCTCCTTTTATAATTTTTATTTATTTTATTTATTGTTTTCTTGGATTTAAACGGTTATATTGTCTTCTATTGATAATACACTTTATTTTACAAATACTATTTTTTAGTAATTAAATTTTACAAAACAAATGTAAAATAAAATCTTTTTTATATCAACATTTTTTATTTTCAGATTACCATTGAAAAATTATGGCCAAAAAAAAAGTTTAACTTATAAGTGCGAGATTTCTTATTTGAATGTAAGTTTTAAATTTCTTTATAATTTATAATTCCAAGTCAAATTTCCATATTATTAAGAAATTTAAAAATATGTATGTATACATATATGGTTTTTGAAATATTGTTCATAATTTAGATTTTAAGAAATTAAAAAGGCTGTGTAAATTGTAGAATAATTATTGATAAAGTAGAATTTTTTAAACGATTCTTAATACTTAAAACAATATATTATTAAACTGAATTATAGTATCTCATTGAACAAAAAAGCTATTAGTTTACGAAAAGTATTAGCATGTAGTCATGTAGTATATTTAGAAAAGAAAGAGTAAAAATATTTTTTTAAATTACCTTTAAGATTATACACATATTTTAAAGAATAGGATTTTTTATAACTAACGAAGCATTATCATGCAGAAATTATTGTATCATATTCTCAAGTCCATTTGCTTTAAAGTCTGAATAAGAACTTACTTTTAATTCGTTTTATGAACAGAAAATTATTATTTTGTAACAAAAACAATATATTATTGACAAGAAATATTTTCTAAAAAAAAGAGGTACTCATTTATCTTTAATACTCTTAGTTTACTCTAAGTTTACATATGTAAATTTAATATGTTCATAACTCACTTCACTTTTTGATAACAATTTCAATTGCATTGCATTATTTAATCTAAATTTAATGTTTATAAGTTTTCCCCGTTTTCCCTCCAAGAATAAATTTTCTATTTAGTGTAATGGTGCTCTCACAACTCTGTCCTCGAGCTGTTTTTTAAAACTTGTCTAAAGGTTCGTTCACAGTTCCGCTGCCATCTGCTTGTGAGTGTGAGCGAGAAACATAATTCGAAATTCGAATCCCGGCTTTTCTTCTCGCTTATACTCATGAGCCTAGGCAGGCAGCAGAATTGTGATCGTACCTTAAAGGCCTAAGCACAGTAGGTTCGCGAAAGTCGTTCGCGAACGCAAAGCATGAGTTAGAAAATGACAGAGATATATTTGTGTCCTTGTCTATCTCATGCGTATCGTTCGCGAACGACTTTCGCGAACCTTTTGTGCGTTGGACTTTAAAGGCCTTTCTCCAATAGGATCCAAAAACTCTGCGTTTGTCTGCGAATGACTGCGTTGCGTTGATTTTAGAGCATGTGTTGCTATAGCAACCGACGCAGACACAGAGTTTTGGGAACCTATTGGAGAAAGGCCTTTAAGAAGCGCAGCCTAACCTAACCTGACTATAACATTACCACACTTTCTCATTGTTGTTCGTTGTTAAAGCATCAACGTAAACTTTTTGAACATTATTTGCATAAAATTAACTGAAAAGCATTGGTTTTTTAAAGAAAACTTATAGTCCTTAAGTTCGATGAATAGAAATTTAAAAAAATTTTGAATTTTTATAAGCTTTTGAAAAGTTAGAATTGTACAAAATGTCTGGTACTATACATCGTTATTTTAAGCACGTGAGAGCCAAAGCGTTTTTATTGTAATTAAGCAAAAGGGTAAATGTAATGCCAACTGAAGTATAAGTATTCTAATCCCAATACCATTTATTTGGTGAGTGTTCGCATTTTTCTTATTAATATTTAAGCTGCCATTATAAAGCAAGTAAATAAATTGAAAATTGACAGCCATGTGTTGTCCGATTTTGAATACATTTAATATTTGTTCTATTTCAATACTTGATTTTATAATTTTTCTATTGTATCAAAAGAAAGTATATTATTTTGATGTATAATAATTCCATATTACTACAATGGTAAAATTATATGGAAAACATTTAATTGCTGTTCGCTGTAAATTTTCGATTTTTCTATTTTATTCTTTTAGAAAATTCAAATTTTCTTACAATTGGATAAAAAAGTGATATTTAATCACAGTTACTAGAATGACTTCTTTCATTTTAGTAATTACTAATTATTAATGTAAAAACTCATCTCAGTACAAGGTAAAATTCTGCTGAATTTTCATTATATTAATTTTTATATAATTGTTGACTTGTTTAATCATAATTAAACTAATTTACCTTCTAATAATGTACACTGTAAAAAAAATTAACTGAATTTTACATCGACGCTCGAGAGTATACTTCCATTATCCTCAAGCGTCGATGTAAAATTTAGTTAACTTTTCTTACAGTGTACGGATTTGAACTGCTTTCAAATCTAATTTCATATTTTATTGTTGAATTAATGTACTATTCTATTCATTAATTTAAAATGTTTTTGAAAAAACATTCATTTCACTTCTCATAATAGGTAATAATATTAATTAAATTAATTATTTACTATATTTTCTTTTGTAATATTTTCCATCGTTTTGCCGAAAAACAAATCCTTCTAAAGTTAGTTTAGATAATAAACGAGAATTTTATGTTTTTACATTTAAATTCCGGAAATGGTAATGGGAGAAATGAGAAAAATTCTTTTCCTAAGGTTGGTAGAACTGATGCCTATATATAATAGTCAGTAACAAAATATTGTTATCGCTGTCACGATCTACGTTGTCAATGATGTTATTAACCTAAACATGTAGAAATAAAATAGTATTGTAAAAGGCGTAAATAAGTTAAATATTGACTGTATAGCTCGCTGTATGGTTTTATTTAAATATCTGGTATTTCAAAGAAACTTTGAAACGACTTTTTATCAGTTTACAATTGTAGTACATGCAATGTTTTCATCATGTTAACTACAAGTTTCAAGGATGGTTTAGCTTCGTCGGCATCTTTTTGTACAATCTTGCAATTTTTGGCCGGAATGTAAGTACCATGGTTTTTATTGTTATTACATATATTCTAATTTTTTAATTTATAATACTGTTAATTTACATTTTTATTCTATCTTCTAGTTTTGTCTATTAATATCTATTTTCTTAGTAATTTAATAATAGAACAGATAAATTTTTATTTCTTTTCAAGCTCAAGTAAAAAACGATTTACACATTGTACAATTCCATATGTTTTCTCTATAATTAAAGTTTTAAATAGTAAACTTATAGTCATAAGGAGGAATGAAAAGAAAATTATTTTGAGAAATAGGTATTGTAATGTTTTTACACTTTGCAATAAACTCTTATCTTGTATGTTTGCAGCTTGGTATGCAGAAGGTTTATAAAAAATGGTACTACAGGAGATACCTCTGGATTAGCGTTCATTAGTTGTTTTATGTCGTAAGCAAAAAATTTTTTCCTTATGCATAAGATTTTTAATTTGATAAAATACAGAGTTGCCACGCAACCTGGAAAACCTGGAAATATCAGGGAATTTGTAATAGGCAAAAGCGTGTCAATCCTGTACTAGGAAATAATTATGATTTTCAATAAATGCAAGTTAATTAATAAATTAATAACGATTTTAGTTGCAGTAACTGGTTATGCTATGGATTATTAATACATGACTCGTTTATAGTTTTGGTGAATGTTTTCGGAGCAACTTTACAATTGTTCTATGTCATAACATTCATGTTGTACAGCGTGAAAAAGTCAACGATACTAAAACAACTTATAGGGTCAATAACTTTTGTGACCTTTGTATTTACTTATAGTATGCTTGAACCAAATAGAGCTTTAGCTGCCCAACGAATAGGGTTTCTCAGTTGCAGTACCACAATCTTTTTCTTTGCATCCCCTCTAACAATGCTGGTGAGTAGAAATATTTTTAATTTCAAGCAATTCATTTAATAACTCAAGAGTTTTATTTTTCATTTAATTTTTCAGGCCTACGTGATACGAATTAAAAGTGCCGAAAGTTTACCATTTCCAATTATAATTTCATCTCTCATCTGTTGCTGCCAATGGTTCGCCTATGGGTGTATCCAGAAAGATCTCTTTATACAATTGCCAAATTTTTTGGGAATAGCCCTCTCTATGTTCCAAGTTTCTTTATTTTTTATATATCCAGGTAAAAAAGTCGACCAGGTGCATTTTATATAAGAAACAGAACCGCCGAAAAGTTTGAATTCTCCCTGTGAGCTATAAAATTCGATTCAATGAAAATTGCTGTTTGTACTTATTAATTTTTAAGAAGATAAGTGAAATTCAGAATTTTCGGCGGTTTTTTAATAAAGGAATAAATGTGTTTATATTTATACTTGAAAAGTATATTTTAGATAGAAATTTATTGTTTTGGATAATGTTTCATATCATTTGATGTTTTTATTTGTCAACTACGTAATATCTAAATTGTTAATAGATACGTTAATTGTCTATTTCAACAATGCGCTTTATATGTATATAGTATATAATTAATATCAAAAGTCAATTTAATGGTCGATGTCGAAATGAAGTAGTAATGCATTCTTAAAATACATTTTAATAAGAAATGTAGATTTTAAGACAATCTTTTTTCGACCGCGCCTAAAAGCCTAAATTCGAATGATCGAAAAAATCCTTGTCATTCTTGTCAAGTTTTTGCTACAAAGACAGATAGTTAAATAACCATTTTATCTGTTCTATATTATTTATATAATAACTCGTCAAGTTCATTATGTTACATAGAATAAAATTTTTAAATGCAATGTGATATCTTTAATTCACGCGTTGTTAACTTGTCAACTGGGTTGACAGAGGTCAGACGATGAAAGTACATTTTCGCGACCGTCTTGTTTAATGAATTTTTCTATTTAAAAGATTGGCCTAAAATCTTCATTAATGTTCAATGAAACCACATAATTAAAAGTCATTTTATTTTAAAATTCGTTTCACTTATCGATCATTTAATTGACTGAAGAAACTTTTTTTCTACGGACAGAATTGTAATTTATTTAGCTTTTTACAAAATTTAAATATTTTTATAAATTATGAATGTTTAATGTAAAAAAAAACAAAGTACTTGAAGTACAATTTGAAAAATTCCTAAAAATAGGAATAAATTATTATTTTGTTTCTATTATTATAACAATAATTTACCTTATAAAATTGTAATTCTAAGTCAGTATTTTTATCTTAAATAAAAATGTAAATATTCATCTATGTAAAAGTTTTTTTTTATTTCTACTTTTTAAATACACATGAAACATAATTAATTTAATACTATAATATAAAAATATATTAATCATCTACACAATACAAATGAGATTATACTTAAACCTGTGGGGTGATTTAAGTTCGATCTCGTTCAACATGATAATTTTTTTTACTTGCATATTTTAAAACAGCAACTAATTTTGTTCGTGAATATTTACAATTTTTTTTAAATAAGGAATTCAATGATTTACATAATTAAAAATTATTATTTGTATACATATATACAAATTGATAGTTTTAATCTTGCAATAGAAAATTTATAATGATGAGAGAAAAATAAGGAAAACAAAAACTATGTATATTCACAAAGATGTCCACATCCAGTGGGACATTGGCGATTTTTGTCAAACCATTCTGCCATGTGAATTACATGACCACCGTGGGTACAGCCTTGACACCAGGAATATACGCCTCGAACGACCTTTAATGAATAAAATTCGCTAATTATAAATGATAAATAAATAAATAAATTAATTAATTAATGTTCAGATTTAGAATTTAATGAATTACCTGATGACAAATGGAGCAAAGGGCATGTTTCGAAGTATGACAACGATCACACAACCAGCCAGCTCTTTGCAAAGGTTTTGTGCAATTTGTGCAGCAAGCGTGAATTGTCGTTGATTGTTGATTCAGTTGGGAAACTGACGGAATCCAAGCAAGTTGTATTATCTAAAAATATAATTTATTAATAGCGGTTCCAAAGAATTGAATAATAATTATTTTACCTGAGTAGCAACTTCCCAGAGACGGAACCTTCCAAGCATATCAATGTACTCCAGAAGCCAATGCTCTTGCACTGCACTTTCAATATTTAAACTCTTTCTTTTATCCCCGAGGGCAATTAGAACCGACGCAGTCGTCTGAATGTCTCTGAGAGCTGCATGATGCTTAAGAGCTTTCTCCACGAGATGCGATGGATCCCAAAATGATGGCTTGCGAACTGATGTGACTATCAATTGACACGGTTGATCTTCAACCATCACGGCAACTGTATCGTCATTTATATCTGGTGAATGATTAGGGAATTGTTCTGGAGGTGGTGATCTGTCTTGAATTTCATGTCGGAGCGGAAATGCCTCTTTCGGTAAAGTCCAGTCATTGTCATTGTTTATCATGTTATCCATAAAGGCGCCTGTAAATTCGATACTGACTGATTCTAGTTCCCCATCGCCAAACAGAAAATCTCCCTTTTGCTGCCTCTTATTGCCGGGAAACGATCTCCGATAGTAGCGTTCTGTAAAATGTCTAAAAGAAAGCATATTTTATTTATTCAATGAATTATCAAATCGAAATCATATTTTAATAATTTAAAATAAGAAAAATAATAAAAATTGCAATTTTTTGTTTAATACGTGCCTTGGTAAAATGGGTCCGATAAAATTGGGATTGTCTGGAGTCTCGTCAGTTTCAGTTTCATCATCGCCTCCACTGATGATTCCAGGAGCTTCGCCTTGAAGAGATTTTACATCGTTCTCGTGTACTAAAATTCAATTCAATTCAATTGTTTTGAATTGATTTTATTTTCAAGTATTAAATTAAGAAACTAAATCCGGTAATTTTTTACAAACCTATATTAGCCTGATCGTGTGCATTACCCAAAGTAATTTGAGTCAAATTCATAGTATTTACAACGTCTTCTTTTGAAACAGTTGGTGGAGTTTTTAAAATATTTCCCAATGGATTCGCGTAGAGTGTTTTAATGATACGCCAAACAGTGCTTACCTAAATGAAAATGTCTACTTGTAGAAAATGTCAAACTAAAAATACAAAAAGAGAATTAATTGCAATTTATGATAGAAAAACTTTACTTCATTTCTCTCAGCTTCACTGGCAACGGCAGCATTGTGATCGCAAATTTCATTTAATCGTCCACTCAAAATATAACCTTCGGCGCAAGCTTTAAACCACTTTGGTTCTCGAGGAGCGTTCATTGTAAAACTGTGCATTGTACTTGACGCCAAACAAAAAGTATCGTTACTAGCTGGAGTTTTCCTGCATGAAAATAAAAATTTTTGAATTTTTGAATTACTTAACTATTTTAAAGAATTTTTACCATCTTTTAGTTGTTATACCTCATAATATTTGTGAGTTGCTTTATCGCCGTGGGAGCATTCACATTTACTTTGCAGGCGTAGGCGACATCACCCTTTGGATTAAAAGCCATTCCTTGAGGATTTGCTTTACTCGCTGGTCTAGTTGCGTCTTTGAAAATATGGTGGAAAAGCGTACAATCCTTTGAAAATTAAATTAATTAATAGACAATTGAATAAAATGAGTAATCGCTGTCAAATACAATTGTAAAAACTAACTCTGCTTGTCGAAAGGAAGGATTGAGGATCTCCTCTCCAGGCAATTCCAGTGGCAACATCTTTATGTTCATTAAAACTAGCAAATGGAATATAAGGTCTCCGAATGTCCCAAATGTTGATACTGCAATCAACAACGAGAGCACAACTTGCTATATGGAATTTTCTTTGAGGTCTCCACTTAATTCGGCCAACTGACGCTATTGTGTGAATCATATATTCGCAAGCTGGTTTCGTCGACAAATCCCAAACCTAGTTTTTAAAAAACACAAAAATCACTAATTTGCTAAAAAAAGGTCTTTTGAAAAATGTCATTTCTCATAATAAATTAATATGTAAATATACTTTTATTGTTTTATCTCGGGAAGCAGTGGCCAACCAATTGACTTCCGGATGCCAATCGCAGGAGAATATCGGTCCACTGTGAGCGGCGAAATGCTGAAAATATCGATCAGGTCGACGTAAATCCCACTGCTGAACGTGACCATTCTCCGAGACTGCTGCAAATGTATGAGGTTGATGCGGCGAAAATTGTACATCACGTACTGACTCCGTATTGCTAACAACAAATTTTTAATTTCTTTTTGTTTATTAGATACCAATTTAATTGATAATCCTAAATTGTGAAATTTTCTTTTTCTAAAAAGTTAATATTTCATCTATAAACGTGAGAAATTTTATTTTTCCACCTGTAAAATGTTTTGGTCGCTTCCGAAATTCTCAAATCGAAACACTTCATTGTACCATCCTGTGATCCTGATATCAAGCAAGTCGGTTCAGAAATATGGAAGCTGACCTTATTGACTGTTCTTTTGTGATCAACGAAAACATGATCTTGTTTTGATCGAGATTGCTTATTTAAATTCCAAACAACCACAGCACCGTTCGTCGCTGCTGTGGCTAAGATGTGATCTGAAAACATTGACAAATTAAAATTTTCAAATCAAAGGAATTCTGTCTGAAAAATTAATTAAAAACTATATTTACCATCCAAAAGATTCCATGCAACATCATTGCATGAAAAATTGAGGTTTAAATTTTTTCCTACTCGTAAATTACAGGATTCTTCGAATTTTTCCTCCAGTAAAGAAAATATTTTAAATACTGTAATAATAAAATATAGTAAATTATTTCTTATTTTTTGAAAAATAAATTAAAGAATTAGAAAAATATTTTTCTACTAAATACCATTTCGACCAGCAATAACAACTTGATTATTGTCTTTACTGAGAGCTAAAGCATTCGCCGGCCCTTCTTGAGTAACAAATACAGTTTTCGAACTCATATTCACGTTTATTTTTTCAATATGAATTTACAATGACTTATTTTTTTTCAATTGTTCAAAAATTATTTACAGACTATTATTGAATGATCTTTTACGCGAATGAAATGTTGTTAATTTGCAAAAATGCATGTTAAAGTAAATAAAAACATTAAATTAATTGTTGTTTTTTTAAATATTTGTACAAGTCCAAAACTAAATTCACTCATTTTTCACTACTCGAGAATTCACTTTATTTTCAAGTAATATAATAAATAGAATGAATATAATAAATATAATCAATATAATTCATTAATTCATATAATTAAATAAAAATATTTGTTTATTTCACGTATTATTTTTTTCAGCTGTTACTTTATAGGTTATGACACCTAAAACAGGTTATCCAATCTAATGAAATTAAAAAATTATTAATTCAAAAAATATAAAAATGATAAAAATGTTGAATAAAATATTTAATAAATAGTTATACTATTTATTAATATTATTATTTTTATGTTTATTTTCATTTTGAAATTAAATACATTTTTATAAAATAATACAATTATTAATAATTATAGAAAATCTTTCATTAGTTTTCTTATAGTTGGTATTACATAGTCTTGTCTTGTCATATGGCGGATAGTGAAGTTTCTGAACATAACCTTTATTGATGAGAATTGTGCGAATTTCTAATATACAATATAAAAAAATAATAAATAAAAAGAATATAGTTTAAAATTACCTATAAAAAATGGCAAAAATTAAACCACGATTAGGTAGTAGAAAGAAAGCGAAAAGATGGGCGAAAGGACAAAGTTCAAGCTCTAATCCTGAAATAAAAAAACACCGAAATCAAGCACGCACGTGGTTTTTTCAACAAAATCCAGGTATATTTATATTTTATTAAATGTTTTCTCAATACATTTATCATATAGATACAACTTAAATTAATTAAATAAAGGCATTAAGATAGAATTTACATAATTAAAATAATAGTTACTAATCGGCAAAATTATTTTTTAAATCTGTTTTTACCTGAAAATAAATAAAAATAAATTGTTTACATATTTATCATCAAATTGTATCAATAATTTTTTTATTTAACATTTAAATATTTATATGTATCTTTTAAAGGAATTTAATTTTTAAACTTTCAATTTCATTGATTAATTTAAGATTCATCTGGATTAACAACTGAAGTTCTGCGAAAACATGATGTTCTTCAAGGAACAGCACCAACTTCTGAAAAAATTGATATTGACGATGAAAGTAGTGCAGCTGGAGCATCTACTTTCAAAACATTTAATACATTTGCTAGTGATTACAGCAAATGCTCCAATATGTCATTCAATCGGTAAAATTTTTTTTTTTTTTAATATACGCTCTCAAAAATTTTGGATCTTTAATTTATCATTTTATACGTGTTCAGATTTTTGACTCAATACCAACCAAATTCGGTGATTCACAAGGAAATGTTAGCAATATTGGCCGCTGTCACCGATGTAATTAAGCAAAACGACGGTATTGAATCAGATACAGAGTATTATGCCGCCTTGGTAAGAACATTTGGTTCAATTTAAATATTAACTTCTTAACGATCAAAATTTTATAATTTATCACAAGTTTTTGTTTTTAATTCTAGATGACAACCTTGGAGGCAGCTGAAACTGACGAATCCATAACGGCAATTCTATCTTTATTGGGCATGATTTTGAAATCTGTACCGAAAAATGTACTCAAATTGCAATTTAGTCAAGCAAGTGAGATTCTTTTGCAAGTATTAATCAAGTACGCAACTAATGAAAATTTTCTGGTACAACGACATGTAAGTTTACTGAAATATCTCAATTTGTCAACTTTCTTCAGAAGTGTTATAAATTTATTTTAAATGACATTTAATAATTGAACACTTTCAGTGTATTGGCTGTTTGCAAATATTGCTTCGAGCTCAAGAAGTGGCCGTTTGGTCGGATAGTTCAACATTACAAGTTTTGGACGCTTTATTAACATTCACGATTCACACAAAACCGAAAGTTCGTAAAGCTGCCCAACACGGCATTTGCGCAATTTTGAAAGGTATCCTATATTTATTAATTCTTTTTTATATTAGCACACATTTTTTAGTGATAAAAATAAAAAAATAAAATAAAATAAGAAACCAAACTTATATTTATGTAATCGATCATTATTAACGAATCTTATATTATAACAGGAAGTGACATCATGAAAGTTGAAAATCCACCACCTTATCATCCGGCAGCTTCACAAGTGGCAAAACATTGTATTTCTCAATTGGAATCTGCAGGCAAACCTGGACATTTGACAAATACGCTTCACATTCTTACAATGCTGAAAGAAATTTGTCACCAACTTCCAAAGACTTATGTGAAAGTAAATATTCTAAATTTTATAAAAACTGTTATTTAATTTTTTTTGAAAATTATGAAATTAACATGAAGTTGTGTTTATTTTAAAGAACATTTGTGAGAGTCTTCTGAGCATTATGACCCTGAATAATGTACTGGTAACATCTTGTTGTTTTCAAACTTTTCATGGATTATTCATTTCAAAACCAAGTGAATCCGTTTTACCACCGCAATTAAATGCTCAAATAATTAATGCTCTTTATGACTATCAACCGGCATCCACTGACACACAACCGACCCTCGCTTGGCTCACAGTCATGCAGGAAGCTTATGCGAATCTCGCTTTGTAAGTAAAGAAAAGAAAGAAGAAAAATAATAACAAAATCACTAAAACGAAATTTAATTTTTTAGACATTCTTTGGATCTTTGTGCGGCGAATCTTCCACGCTTCATAGAAAAAGCAGCAGAACTTTGGCTCTCTGATAAAACGGACGTTATAACCGGTGCATCACATGCTATAAAACACGTTATACAAGAATGTGTCAGCTATTTGTGTGTGAATGAACAAATCGCTTCGAGGTAAATAAAAGCATTGATTTGTTTTGTTTTTTTAGAATTTAAATTTCAATAAAAAAGAAAAAAAAATTGTTGTAGGCATAAAGCAACTTTAAAGAAGATTATTCATTTGATACAAGAAGGATTGAAATACCAGTACAGTGGAGCCTGGCATCATGTTCTTCATTTATTGGCCATTCTATTCCAAGTAAAGTTTGTCATAAATACAGTGAAATACTGTAATTTAATTTTTATTTAATTTTAATTTTTATCATTATCGTTATTAACTTAAATTTACAAAAAAAATTTATTAGGTTATTGGACTGAATTGTAAAGAAGATTTGGCGAAAATTTTAATTACTTTGGCAGATTTGCGAGATACGCATAAGTTTACTTATAACAGTGAAATTGAATACGCTGTCGGTGCTGCTGTCAAATCAATGGGTCCAGAAATTGTTCTCAACACAATCCCTCTCCAGGTATTTATTTTCTTTAAATCCTATTTTATTTACATCAAACTTAAAATAGATTTATGATAAATTAAAGTAATATGACATTTTTTTATTTTTAGAATTTAAATAGAAGCTGGCTTTTGCCCATTTTAAAGGATTGCATCTCAAATGCTCCATTATCCTATTTTATTAAATCTCTTCTGCCTCTGGCTGTTCATTGTCAGTAAGTTATTGATTTTCCTCAATTATAAAATTAGTACTTGGGTATTTTAATAATTTTTATTAAATTCTCTATTTATGCAGAATAAAAGCGAAGACATTACAAGAAAATAAAGATGGAATTGGAGCACACAGTTATGAGTTAATGAGATCTCAGATTTGGTCCTTATTGCCCAATTTTTGCAATAATCCATCAGATATTAAGATCAGTTTTGAGGTTTGTTTTACTTTATTTTATATAATAATAATAAACAAAGTAAACTTATTTTTTTCCTTCATATCTTATTTATTTTTAGTCGGATTTTGCGAAAACTCTTGGGACATTAATTGGAAGTGACAAAAGTCTAAGATTTTCGGCAATGGCCTCTTTACGAAGATTAATTACAGCATCAGTGGAAAAAAACAATCAAGAGGATATTGAAACCTTAGCCAAGTTTGCAAAGAATTACTTGCCTATACTTTTCAATCTATATTCCACGAAACCTCACGGTTCCGACGAAGAAGGCCAACGAATTGCTGCTTTTGAAACAATCAAAGTAAGAATAATTTTAGAATTCCTGATTGCAAAAAAATAGTTATTCATCAATTACTTATTTTTTAATGATTTAATAGATATTAATCGAATATTTTTTTTCATTTTTCAGGTTTATTTATCAATCACAAACAAGGAGTATTTAGATATATTTTTTGATACTGCTATGAAGAAAATTCAGGAAGAGAAAATTGAGGAATTCGAAAAAGAAAGTGTATTTGACCTCTTTAGATTATTTGCCCAATTTACTGATATCGATAGAGTGAAAATATTCTACGAGTTTTGTATTCCTCTTTTAATGCAAACTTCTAAGCAAAAGGAGCAGAAAAAGGCGTACAGGTAAATTTCAACTTAAAAAATTAAAATTCATTTAATTAAATTAAATTTTCAAAATTTTATATTTTACTTTTTGATTTTTAGATTTTTAGAAGAAGTTTGCAGTAGCGATAATGAAGTTTGTAAACAATTTGTTCTCGATAATCGACGTGCAATTCAGAGTCTGATGAAAAAATCTCAAAAATTTGTACATAAAATATGTAAAGGAGTAAGTATATTTTTTAAGGAGTTCAGTATCTATATTTTATTAAAATTTCTTTTTATTGATTGCTAATAATTTTCAATTTAATTTTAGGCACGAATTCGCGTTATTATCTGTCTCGTTAAAAGTCATCCACAACTTGAAAAAACCAAATTTTTACAAGCAATTGTTCCTGAAGCAGTTGTGTGCTTGAAAGAAGTGAATGAAAAATGTCGTAGTTCTTCTTATCAATTACTAAATACTATTGCAGAAAAGTTTTTAGATAATGAGGAACATTTTATGGAATATATTCAATTACTCACGTCTGGTCTAGGTGACACTCCAATTTTATGCAGCGCAACTTTACTTGCCCTATCTTCAGTTCTATATAATTATACTGGTAAATCTGTTCATTTTCATTAAATTATTTTATATTTATTTATTTTTCATTAAATTATTTTATATTTATTTATTTATTATTTTCATTAAAAAAATAGATAAACAAACGCTATTTGTATTATTTTTAGGATCTTTGGGAATAGAGACTGTGAAGAAAATTCTCGATCATGCCTGCAATTTGTTGACGGGACCAACAAGAGAAATTACAATATCTTGTTTAGCTTTTGTTAAAGTTTATCTAACCGTCATGCCTACTCCAATAATAGGACCAACATTATCTAAAATCGTAAATATTTATAAAATCGTAAAAATTTTAATAAAAAAAATTGTTTTTAGAAAATTTGACTATGTATTAAAAAACTTATAGGTGGAATCATTGTCTAAAATGACAGACGACTGTAAACGACACTGTAGACTTAAAGTACGAGATATTCTCATAAAAATGGCTCGCAAGTTCGGCATTGAACCGATATTGAACATGGTGCCAGAGACCGATGAAACGATGCGCAAGAGACTGAAAAATATTCGAAAAATTGAAAATAGAAAGCAGAAAACAAAGGATGATAAAAAGAGTCAAAACGATGGCGAGGAAGAATTCAGTCTTAAACGAATGCCAAAGAGGTAAGTTTCCGCATTTATTGGACAATTTAAAATGATATATTTTATATTTATTGAAATATAAAACTTTTCATTTACAGCATGGAAGAAATTTTGGCAGACAGTGATGAAGAATTTGACGATGTGGATATGAAGGACGGAGGTAAAAATTCGAAACTATCGAAAACAAAGACTTGGATTCAGGAATCGGAGGACAATATTGTAGATTTTGCCGATCCAACTGCTTCTAAAAATATTGTTGGTTAGTACAGTTTCTTAAATTGTTTCCCTACATAATAATAATTACAAATACAAATTATAACAATTATTTCGAATTTCCAGCTACAAAACCAGGAGTTTCCCTTTCTAAACCAGTCAAAGGGAACTCTAAAGACAGTGGTTTCAAAACCGCTGGGGATGGTCGATTAATCATCAACGATGATACTGATAACGAATCTGATGAAGAAGAAACAAAAAAGAAAAAGAAAACACCATTCTTGGGAATGAAGGAGGACGATGATTATGGTAAATTGATTTTTAAAAATTAATTCCTTATTCATTTGGATAAGATTCTGAGAATGTAAATATTTTACAGAAGACGACGAAGATGATGTAAAATCGGCAAAGTCGGTGAAGAAAAGGAAACGTGATAATTCTAGCGTTCATTCTGAAACATTTTCAAGTTCTTCTAAATATAAGGGTAAATAAATTAATCTTTTCACATTTTTTTGCTTTACAAGATATAATTGTTAAAATATAATTGTTATGAAATAAATAATTTTTAGCCGGAGGTTCAGGAATTCATCGACCTATTAAGGTATCAAAATCGGAAAGAGAACCTGGTGCAGAATATCGAGCGTCCAAAGCTAAAGGTGACGTAACAATAAAAGGAAAACAGAAATCTTACGCTTACTTACCGCTAACAAGATCTTCTCTAAATAAAAGGTACAGTTTTAAAATTATTAATAAATAATTATTAGATAAATTAATTTTTAAAAAAGATGATGAAGAATTTTTCAATAATTCACAATTTTTGCAGAAAAAAAATGAAGAACGCTGGAAAGTTCAAGGGAATTATTTCTGGAGCTAAAAAGGGAGCACTTGCCGGTAAAAAAAATCAGAAAAAACGAAAGATATAGAAATAATGTTTAACAATTTGTAAGGTTAAGATAATTTATATAAACGAGAAGTTTAATAAAATATTAAGAGAATTAAATAAAAATCATTATTATTAGAAAAAGTGATTTAAATATTTTTTTAATTTTAATTCTACAACAAAAACAAAAAATATTCTTAATTTTAAATTTATTTCATCATTTTCAGGATAAATCAAAGAAATACACTTTATAAATTTTAATAATTTATTAATCTACTATTTGTATAATCAAAAAATGGTAAAAGTTGACAGTTATCAATTAAATTTTAGATTGTAAAAATAGAATTCCTTGATCCTTTTATCTGTAAAAAGATATAATTCTTAATCAAAATGGTAATTTGATAAGTAAAAAAATTAACGGAACTATTCATTAAAATAATTATCGCATATCTCTGTCAAAATTTATCTTATAAATTAAATATAGTTAATTAAACGTAAAAATTTAAAAAATTTAGAGAACTAATTTGTAAGATTGTTTCGCGATCATTATTTTAATAAATTTTAATAATTGTAAATTCAAAGTAATTGTTACAAATTTGAGAAATGAATTACCTTTCTTCCATGCCTGGTTTTTGTGGAAGCATTTCTTTTAAAGTTCCCGACTCATTCATTTCCTTAAGAATATCCAACCCACCGATGAGTTCTCCATTAACATAGACTTGCGGATAAGTCGGCCAATCGCTAAATTTCTTGAGTCCTTCCCTAATGTCATTGTCTTGCAGAATGTCGAAAAATTGATAATCAGCATTGCAACTATCAAGAAGTGCCACTATCGTCCTTGAAAATCCACATCGTGGAGTAGTCGGATTTCCTTTCATGAATAACATGCAAGGTGCAAGATTAATAGTTCTTCTAATTCGATCTTCTAAAGTTTCAGAGCTTTTCTCCTTTGTCGGCGAAGAATCATGAGACACATGTTTATCAGTAATTTCTACCATCGCTGCTGTATTTGCACCATTAACTCGATCGACAATCTTTCCATTTTTATAGAAAATTATTGTCGGCACTGCCGAGACATTGTCTTTTATGGAAATTTTTGGAAAATCCTCCGCTTGTATTTTTGCAAATTTTACATTCTTATATTCATTTAATTTTATCATTTCCTCAATAGCTCCACACATTTGTTTACATTGATCCGACCAGGGTGTGTAAAAATGAATTAGAGTTAAATCTTTTGACCTGCAATGAGATTATAAATTGATGAAAGAAAAATAAATGAATAATAAAAAATATCAAGATTATATTTTGAGTAGAAGACATTTTTTTAATCAAATGGTATATTCTTTTATTTATATTTCATGTAAATCTTAATATTGAGAAATAAAAATACTGATAGTGATGATTCAATATAATGAAGAAAAAAACAGTTTAAAAAGTAAAATTGTAACAAAATAAAATACATTTTGATATTGGCCTGCAAAAAATAAAAACCTGTCATCTTTTGAAATTGAATAAAAAAATTTTAATAGGAATAACAATAATTTTATACAATCAGGAAGATCAGGAATATCATCAGTTTGCAAAAATCAAATTCCACATAACCTCAAAATTGAACTGTTTCTTGAAAAGGTAAAAAACTTACTGTATTAAATCATTATAGGTTTTCTCGTCCTCGATAGGAATATAGTTAGGATTTGATGTTTTCTCAGTCATTTTCCACTATTTTTCTAATTAAAAAGTATGTATAAAATATTACTTTTTAAATAAAATTAATTTACTGATGCGATCACGATGGAAGCAGCTATTTAATGATAATACTGCCAGTATCTGCTAAAGATAAGGTAGAAACGGTTTTGGTTAGTCGTGAAAGAGGGAATATAGCGATTAGTAGCTGTCATAAGTTAATACATCATATTACAATTACTTATTTATTTTCTAATTATTATTCATTTGTAATATAATTGTGATTAATTTTTAAGAATTAATTTCTTTTAAAAATGAACTGTTTATATACTCATTGATTAAACAATTAAAATATGTTTAGTAAGTACCTAATAGCTCGTGGAAAATAATAATAATAACATATCCATAAAAAACTAAAAAAAAACAGATGAGTGACACGCGCGAAGTTTTTTTGACAATGTCTGATGCGCTTGAAGAAATTTCTAATTGGAGTAAAAGTGATGTTGAAAACTTATTTCGAAATGTAAGTCCTATAATATTGTTGAAAATTTTTTATTTAGTTTTAATGACAACAATGGATGCATTATTTTAGAATCTTCAAATTCTTGTTGTTAATAAAATAATACTTATTTTTTTTTATATTTTCCATCTAACAAGTTTTATTGTAATTGAAACTTGTCAATCAAATTTAAAGTGAAAGTTTAAATTCAAGTCTCATGAATAAAAGAAACTAAAAAGTTCTCAACTTTGCAAATATTATTTTCAAAGTTATTATATGGTAAAATTTAGTTATTTTACTATGCTTTTGATATTATTAATTTATTTTGTTTATTGTGAAATGTTTCTTTTCATTGAATAGTATTTTTATACATTTTTTAAATATTTATTTCCAGTTTGAAAAAATTTTAATGCTTTTAAAAATGATTTATTTTTATTATTATAATAAGTTTCTAAAAGTTATTTTTTCATAGAGAATGTTATATTTAGTTCTTTATACCTATAATTATGTAGGTGTTAATTAAAAGATAATCGACAATTTCCTTTGACCTGTTCTTCTAAATGAACTTCAAAATACTTTTCAGACATTTTTACTAGTTTTTACTAATTAATGATAAATAATTTGTATTTTTAAATAATGATTATAAAACAATTTACAATTATTTCTAAACACTAGGTATTATTTATTAAAATATAGAATTGTAATTATAATTTAATTACTTTTGAAGCTAATTAGTATATTATGTACTATTTTTTTATTTTTAGAATGGCTTGGAAGAAGAGTGCTGCAAAATTATTAATAAAAGAAATATTGGTGGAGACGAACTTTTAGTAAGTTGAAACTCTTTTGTTGAATCATCAGAAGAATTAATGTAAACAAAACATTGCCTTATCACAACATATTCCACTGTGTTATCATCATTGACACATGCAATAATTATAAACATAACTTGAAATCAACGACTAATCTAAAACATATAACACACTTTGATATCAAAATATTGCCTTAAAAATTTAGTGCTACAATAATAATTATTATTAACAATATTCTTAAATTTTTAATTTTACATAATTGAAAGAATTTTCACAGTCGCCCAGAATTTAGAATTTAATTTGCTCTTGGTTTAATTTATATTAATTAATTCAGCACTTAACGGAGGGGAAGTTAGCTCTTTGGAAAAGTGACCTCACCGGAACACTAAAATGGTAAAAAGAGATTTTCCTTTTTCAATTTAATTGTGACATTGATTACTAGTTTGTAATTTTCAATGATAGGAAAAGAAAGTTTCGTTCATTTGATCAGAGATCATTGCGATCATAAGATGTTAAAAAGCAGCTTTAAGTTAGAGAATAAAAATTTATATAATGAAACAATTATTTTTTATAATAATTAAGTATATAAAACTATTCTATTCTATTATTAATATGTAATTAATAAATTTTAGGAGCCTTTGGTCATTTGTAGAAGAATTGAAAAAAAATCCCGTGAAATATGTTGAGGAGAAAAAGAGATATGAGACTGAAAATGAAAATGTGAGTGATACAGATTCTTGGGCAACTGATTTCGATGATGGAATTGAAGAAAGTGATAATGTGAATGCAAAAAAGTTGACAAACAATGAGTGAGTTTTATTTTATTTATTGTTACATAAAACGGTATAATTTTTAATTTTGTTTATATTTATTATTTAAATTTTTAATTTATATTTAATAATCAAGAAATATAATTTTTAATTGAAGATTAATTATTATTTAAATTGATTGTCTAGGAACAACAAGCTGAATAATAATAAGACAGAAGACGACAGCACGTACGCCAATTGTGACATAAGCGACATAAGTACAAATACTACAGAAATGACTTATGCTAATTTCGAAGCATCAGCAGAAGTTCAAGTATCAAAATTAAAGAAAAACGAATCTAAACTTCATTCAATTAGTAATCTGACTTTTTCACATCAATCAAAGGACGTAGAGAAACCGACTCTTTCAGTGAAACCAAAAGTGAATAATTCAAAGAGAAGACAACCACAGACTTCTTTTCTTTATACAAAATCCACACAAAAATCGAGTGATGAAAGTGAAGCTCTAAGTAAGTTTTAGTTTCAAATTAATTAAAAACTTTTATTTATTTATTACTTAATGGTTTACTATAATTAAAAATTGAGATGAGAAAAATATTGTTATAATTGATTTAAAAATATTTTAATACAGAAAGACTGTCCGTATCGTCGCTGCCAGAATCGCTAAATGGATCGAGAGATTCACCAATTAATGATATTAGTGTAAATAAAAATTTACCAAAACCACCTGGTTTAATAAAAAGCTTTGATCTTGTTGCAAATTTGCCAACACGCACAGAAGAGAGTGAAGACGAATATGAACCGTTTGATGAGGAAATTATCGAACAACATCAAAGAAGAGAATCTATGGCGAGAGTCGATAGCAAACAGTCCCTCACCAGTGGACATCAAAGTTCATTTGAAAGCCTTTATCATCCATCAAGTATCACCGGTCACAAGGAGGAAAAGGATTATGAAATTTATGAATACATCACAGAATCGGTAATTATTCTATTTCAATTTATTTCAACTTATTTAGAAATAAATCTGTTTATTAAGAGCAATATAATTTACGCATTTTTTAACATATTTATATTTCAAAAGCAAAACAATTTTTTAAAATCAAACAAAAATTTGTTCACAGCCAGAAGAAATGAAAGCGGATTCCGTTTTAACGAAAAAATCGAAAATTTTAGAAAACCCACCACCGCCTTTACCTGTTAAACCACCTATGGGTAAGTTATTTTTTCCTATCCTGGAAAATTATTGTGTTTATTCTTGAAATCTAATTTCACTTAAATATTTTAAAATTAATTCAATTTAAAAAAATTGCGTTTACAATTTCCATAAGTAGATGAACTTGAAAAAATTTTGATTTAAAATTTTGTAAAATTTCAATTTTAAATGAATTTAATTAGAAATCTACATGAATTTAATTATTTACAAATTATTTTCATATATATTATTCAATTATTTTTATAAATAATAACTCAATGCTGAATTTAAATTATTTTTAATACAATTTTAATGTAATTCCTTGAAAAAAGTTATTATTCTTAATAATTTGATTCAAATTTATCAAAGAAATTTAATTATTTTAATAACCTTTGCTACAATTTATTTATTCGAATTTAAGTATTATTTTCAATACATTTTTAATTAAATTTCTTTAAAGAATAAAATTATTTTCAAAAATTTTAATGAAACTCTTAGCAGAATTTCAATTATTTTTAATACAATTTTCATAAAATTTCTCAAAAAATGCAATTATTCTTAAAAATTGTATTCAAATTTTTCAAGTCAATTTAATTATTTAAAAATTTGTTGATAAAATTCTATATGAAAAAAATTCAATTTTAAGAAACATTCAATTGTTTAATAAAATATTTATTTTTATAGTTAAATAATTGAATTCTCGTAGAATTTCCTAATAAATATTTATTTAAAAATGAATTTCAAATTAAAATCTTTGAAAATTTGAACTTTTTATACTTTTAATTAAGAATTCTATAGAATTAATTTTTCTCAATAAGTTTAATGGAATTTTTTTTAATTTTCTGAAGTTTTTAATTTCTAATAATATATTTAATTGAATAATGTCAAAATAATCGAAATTTCGTTAAATTAAATTGCAAACAAAAGAATTTGATAATTCACAAAGAACTTTTTTAAAAATTATTAAAAAAATTGACTTAAAGAAGAATTTTAGTAACAAAGTAGCAAGTTTTAATTATTATAAAACATGAAGAAAGCGATTGATATCTTCATGTTTTATAATAAAATATTCTTAAATATCTTATTGAATTTCAAATTAAAAATAAAAAATACAAAAAATAGTTTTTAAACAAATTAAAATGAATTTTTAACTGAATTCAAACTTGATCATTTTTTTTAATAAGTTTTTTTCATACGAACAAATTTTGAAACGTAACGATATAATATACATACATAATGTTTAAAACTAGAATTTTTCAAAATTGGATCACTGACACCCCATACCGTGGACCCATGCATCGTTAGTTTGGATGCTTCTTTTTTTATCCCTTACGCCTTCAGTTCTAGTTTGAATTTTGAAGTGAGCACTTCTACTCTATTCTCCTAGTTTTTTGTTAACGCTGATTTAAAATAATATTTAAAATTTTTTTAAATTAATGTTAATTATTTCCCAAAATTAATTGAAGGACATTTTAGGAAATTGTTACATTATTTAAAATTAGTCAATTTATAATTAATGGTTGCGAATAAAAGTAAATTATTAAATTTAAATATTAATATTTACTACTAAGAGAAATTTAAAAAAATAAATGAATTAATAATTATAATTGTATTATTCATTAAATAATAATGGCAACGTTAATGGGAGATTTAAAGAGATCTGTTTCTTTAACTCAAGAAACTTTGCTTCAAGCACGTATGAATTTGACAAGTTAGTATTGAATCATCAATATATTTTCTGCAGAATTGACTTTATAATGACAATTTTATTTTACTTTTACTAATTATTAAAGGAAAGGAATTTACTAATTATTAGATAATAATTAATTAATAATATTATTGAATAAAAATAATAGTTTTTAATTATTCTGTACTGAAAAAGACTTTTTTCAGCTATAGTTAATTTTTATTTCTTTTCAGTCATACTGTAAATGCTGTAAACTCTTTAAATTAAATACAATAGTTAAAATATACTGAAGGAAAATTTATTTTATTCAAATAATTGATTACTTGACTATTATCAATTATTTTTCGCAATTCTAATTTAGCATTGAAATTTGTTTCAGAACGATCTTTGGATAAGAAATTTGCCACATTACCTCTCAGTAACTCTTCGTTATCATCTCCACGACCATTACCTCCTCCTCCTCCTGACAGACAATTCACCGATAAACCATGGTTCCACAATGTGACGAGAGAAAGAGCCATGGCATTAATTAGAGAGCGTTAGTATTATGAATATTTGAACAAAAAAAATTAATCGTTATTCAATTTCAAATATTATTCTTATTCATGCGTAATGATAGCAAAATTTTTTTTCATTTCAGAGAGTACTTATCCTCAGGATGGATATTTTCTCGTGAGACCGTCCACAACGAACCACAGCAATCCTTTGACACTAGTTCTTTGGTATAAAGATAGAGTTTACAATGTTCCTGTTCGTAAAAGAGTCGACAACCGGTAAGTTCTTAGACTATTAAAATTATTAATTTCCTTTTCTGAATTTTAAAAGGAAATCATTTATTGTTGTATCAGATTCGCTTTGGGATCAGAAAAAGTGAACGAACAATCTTTCGCAAGTGTTGAAGAAATTGTACATTTTTACTCGAGAGAAGAATTATTTCTCTACACAGGTGGACTACAAATGGGTAGCACGACATTGTCAGATACCCCAATAAAATAAAATTCTTAACATCATCACATTTTTATGTATACCTTTAAGTATTTGTCAAATTAAGAAATCTCTGTGGTATGAATCGTATTTTTGTGCCTTTCATAATTTAAAAATTTCTAATCAAATTGGAAAATTTTAATTAATAATTATTGTTAAATATTTTACTCATTGCATTTAACTTAGATGATATAATAGTAAGTTTAGGAATTTTAATAATTTTTATAAAAAAGATTGTGCAAGACAAATCTTGCAATATAAGGTATTGTATTAAGAGAGAAATTTTTATACTATAAATTTTTTATGTATTACTCAAATGGCAATAAATTATAACAGATGTTATATTTAAAAGAAAATTTTAGTTTTACTTTTACCAAATTTTGCATTTCCTCTGGGGATTCATGGCACTGTTCTCGGGACAGTTGAAAGCTTTCGCGAATTCTTGGGAATTTTGTACTGCAGCATTTACTCTGTATTGGTCTTCACTATGAACATCGCCAATAAATTCGTCGTACTTTGATCTACTGCTCGAACACCACACCTAAAAAATTTATTAATCAGTTATTTCTACAAATAAATTAATAAATAATTATTTTCCTTACATTTGCATACGTTAAGAAAAAGAATTGTTCGTTGGATAAATCCTCAAATCCCGGGAGTCGGGGGCTATTCTTTTCATTTTCAATTTCTCGCAGAGCGTCATAGACCATTTCCAAACCCAAAGAATCTGCAATGTTTTCCCCTTGCTTCAGTTTAGCGTCTTCCTATTCAATTTGAAATAAATTCATTACAAATAAGAGTCAAATAAGAGAAAATTTTACTTAAAACTATAAATGAAATTTTCCATAACTATAAAACATGAAGAAATCAATAACTCCGAGTCCTCGAATTTTAATAAAAATTTTTAAAGAATTTTTTCGAGGAATTCGATTAAAATTGTATTAAAAAGAATTGAAATTTTGCAATGAGTTTTATTATTTATGAAAATAATTGAATTCCTAAAAAGTGTTTTATTATTTACGAAAATAATTGAATCCCCTCAGAAATTTTATTATTCATGAAAATAATTGAATGATGCGAAGAAATTTATAAGAAAAATTTGTAAATAATTGAATTCCTGTAAAAATTTTTATTATTATTTGAAAATAATTAAAAGTTTGTGTAGAATTTTATTAAATTTTTTTTTAAATAAATGAATAATTTTGGAAAATTTTATGTAAATAGTAGATATTGAAAATCATTGAAGTGAGGAAATTTTTTGAAAATAATTGAATTTTGGAGAAGAATTTAATTATTTCTAGAGATAATTAAAATTTTGACGAGAATTTAAAAATTTTTTTTTAACATAACTGAATTTCTGCAAAGAATTTTATTACTTTTGAAAATAATTGAATTTTTGTAATTATTTACCGTCCACTCTGTTTGGAATGTTACGTAATTCCAAATTTTTATCCAAATTGGTTCGTCTTTTTTATTTTCATTTGGTTTATTTTTGTAAAATTCCTCATACTGATCAACAAAACAATTTGCTCTTTCTTTGAAACCAGACCTTGCATTATAAGAATAACGAATTTTTTTTCCATTGGCGTCGAATTCTATTCCTGTTATAAATTATTAATAATTAATAATTTAAATAATTATGTTGAGAAGTTTTAAGACAAATATTTCTTCGGCAGAAATAAAAATTGAATCGTGAATTTCGATTAAGTTTATAAGATAAAATATTATTGAAATACTATTATTTTAAGGAACTTTAATAATCATACCATTAACATCAAATCCGTGAGAAACTTCATGACCGACAGTAAATCCAATGCTTCCATATGACATGACTCTGCGAAAATAAATTTTTAAATATTTTTTTTAAATCGAGCATTTATAATATAAAAGTAAATAGAATAAAAAATAATTGTAGTATTTACTCAGGCAAGGTGGGTGAGTAAAATGTAGTTTGAAATTCTCCTGCGGGAATAGCTGAAAAAATAATAATTCGATTTATAAAACGTATGTAAAATATATCATGAACAAAATAATTTTTGTTAACTTACTTAAAGCATTGGCAAGAGGATTGTAAAAAGCATTTACTTCTAAAGTATCACCCCATCTAAAATTTGTATGAATAATTCAAAATGAAAAATAATACTAATTATCTTAATCAATAATTAGGTACAGATTTAAAATTAGATTAGTTAAATAATGAATAATAAAAATTAGATTTAAAAACATATTCTACTTTTATAAAAGATAACGTTTCTTACAGTTCTGGGTCTTCTTTCAATGTATTATTTCTAATTAATCGAATTTTTTTCTTTTCTTCAAATTTTAAAGAACTGAATATATTTTCTAAAAACTGATTTCCAATTGCCATCTGTAAAAAAAGAATCTTTTTTTTCTATGCAACAATTGTAATTAAATGAACTGAAGAAAATATTGTAGAAACTCACCCCACGATAATAATATTCCATGACTGTATCTTTATTATATATAGAAGGATAACCAATATTGGTTTTCATTTTATTTACTTTCTGCAAAACCGATTTTCTCATCTCGTCGTCCAGCCAATCTGCTCTTAAAATGTGTTTAACAATTGCTTTTTGAACACCCTTAAAAATTTCTTGCGCCTGCAATTTTTTTCTTTGTAAGTATTTGTTTGGGAGAAGTAAATTGAAAAATGATAACTTACATGTTCTCTCATATTGTCAGTAAAATACTTTTTTACAAACTGATATGCTTTCACATGGTACATTCCTACTTCTTTAACACATTCTTCGTGTCTGGAAAATAAATAATAATAATATTAATAATATATTTAAAAATTAGAATTCTAATGTGTAAATATATAAAAAAGTATAATAAATAATAATCGATCGATTAATTAATATCATGTAAACCTTGGAGTTTCTTCCTTTACTCCAGTCATTTCCTTGTACAGATTAAATTCCAACATCCGCATGTGTTGAGTTGTATACGGTAAAAATTGTTTTAAAAAATACCAATGAACGTAATTAACTGGAAAACAATAAAAAAAAATATAATTATGTTATTGTCTGCATATTTTAAAAGAATTTTACTAAAATAACTGTTTCTAAATACCAATAACTCGTGGCTGTGTTTTCTCCAGAATTTTTGCGATCATGGAAAACAGATTCGAATAGCTCATTATAATTTCTTCATTTTCATCCATTTCTACATTTGCACTAGCTAAATAATCGCTAATAATCGAAATCCAATTTATCTTTTTAAAAGATGATGATAATATTATATACATGAAAGAATAGAAAATTTGACATTCATTTTATTAAAAATTGATTTAAAAATATTAAAAATAAAAATTAAGTACTAATTAATTAATAAATTAAAAAATTTATTTTATATTGTATAAAGTATTAAAAAATTACTCACTTTAGATTTAGAGGTTGAAACATCGTCATATTTTCTTTGCAATTCTTTCACAGTAATGACATTTAAGTCATATTTCAATTTTTTAAGTTCCTAAGAAATTTTACATAATTTTTATTTCAAATATTTTTTAATCTATTTTTGTTTTTATAAAAGAAAACAAAATAGATATAAAAACGTACTTTTTCTATCGTTTGCTCCAATTTAATTACATTCTGAACATCAGTTGCTAGTTGATCGTTATCAATAAATTTATCCTTTGCAAACATGAGTGCAACTTCTGTCATTAATTTCCCATACTGTCCACTTTCATACAACATAGTTCTATTTATTTTTCGTTGTGATTTTTTGGGAAGAATTTCAGGCAAACTCGGAGATGAAAGCTGTTAAAATAAGAGTATATCGCTTTTAAAAAATACACTTTGAATAAAATTTTCAAATAAAAAATATTAAAAATGAAATTTACACGCACTTACTTTTAACATCAGTTTAAGTTTTCGATCTTCAGAATAATAATCGAGAACATCAATATTTCTATAATCTTGACCAACATTTAATTCATAAAAAGGAGACTGTCCACTAATTTTAAAATAATTTTTATTGATTTGCTGCCAGAGAAATTCTTGTGAATCCCATTCGGAAATTTCCATAGCCATTGGCCATCCTCCATTATTTGCTAAAATTGCTTCAAGACGACTTATACCATTACTCTCCAGTGCGTCTAAAATTAAAAGTAATTGCAATTTCTATACATTGATATTTTTTAATTTTTCTAATTATTAATTGAAACTTACCTAGATTCATACATGATCGATAAAACTTTTTCAATTGCTTAACAGGAAAAATATCAGTTGGTTTTATTCGTTCCTCCAACAAAACTGTAAAAATTGTAATTTGTTCAAATCAATCTGTCAATGAAGAAATATTAATATCTACTATAAATAATACCTTTAATTCTGTCCTCAATCTTCTTTTCCGTTTTCGCACGTGAGTCCCAATAAGCCTTGTCTTTTGGAATTGGATTATTAATTGTCCATTTGCCGCAAGCATATTCGTAAAAATTTTCACAGGGATCAACCGATTTATTAACGCTTTCCCACAGTTCTGCAGCTATAAAATGTAATATTTTCGGATTAATATCATAGAATCTTTAAATTAAATTAAAAGAGCTTAAAATAATATTTACCTACTCTGAAGCATTCTTTTGTACGACAAACTTTATTAATTTCATTTCCCAATTCTTGAAAATGCCATGCAGAGCCTGCAGAACAATAAGAAATTGCAAGTGTTAACCTGTAAATAAAATTTTATTTAATTTTCCTATAATTAATTAAATGTATTAATAAAGATATAAAATAAAAATTAGAAATACTTGAACAAAATAAGTCCAATCATTCTTCTCATCTTTTCCAATTGCCGAGGACATTTTAATTTATATACTTATTGAAACGGAAATTTGTAAATAAATTATCTTCTGAATTCTTTTTATAATTATAATAAGCAAAACCTACACATTTTCCTGTACGATCCTTGATAATTCTGATAGCATTAAAAAATCTCAAATTGCTGCATTTTAAAATTAGAATTAAAAAATTCTTTCTCACATTTAAACTTCTGTAAATTGTTCCATAATTTATTAATTTAAAAAATACATTTATTATTTGATAAAAATATATAAAAATACAGTATTTTTTGTTGATTAACAAGTTCTCATTTCTTTTAAAAATTTATTAATAATATTTCATTTAAAAAGAAACTTTAATTAAATGTGCATTCAAAACTGTTAGAAATAACGTATATGTATGTAAACAAATTAAAAAACTTATGTAAAAATTGCATTTTAATTATTGCAGCCGTCACCTGTGGCACTGCTAGCGCTAATAGTTTTTTTTTAGTATTAAAAAATAAACTTGAATGGATAAATTATAATCGTCTGCAATATCGTCAGTTTTAATTGTATTTATATATACAATATATAAAATAAACTTGATAACTGCAGATTAAAAATATGTTATTAATGACAGTGTGAATTATGCGGAAAGAGTAAGTACAGTAAGTTTCTTAACGGCACAAACTATCTAAAATACAATTTAATAATTTACCTAGATAACAAAAAGTATTTATTTAAAGTTTAAATTTTTAGAAGAAGAATTATCACGATTAAAGAAACTAATTACTCAGTTATTGTCGCATATTCAGTTGCTCTCAACTCTCTTGAAAGAAGCTGGTATCTCTGTACCTGCTGAACCAAGTTTAGAAAAAATCTCTCCAAAATTATCTGATATGAAGGAATGCATTATTAAAGAACAAGGTGAAACAATTATTATAAACTAAAATGATTTTATATCTAAGTTATATTTTATTTATTTATTAGTATTTATTAAAAAAAATTTTTTTTTAACAATTAATTATAAAACGTATGTTTAGGTAAAAAACCGGAAAAAGTAAAGCGATGAAGTCCACTTAAATCAAGCTCGAAGAAGACTTCTCCCAAGTCTTCCGTACGTAAAAATTTTACTACAACTGACAAAAGTGCGATTGAAAATCAAGAAAATTGTATTAATGTCGGTCACCAGTGGACATCAAAGTTCATTTGAAAGCCTTTATCATCCATCAAGTATCACCGGTCACAAGGAGGAAAAGGATTATGAAATTTACGAATACATCACAGAATCGGTAATTATTCTATTTCAATTTATTTCAACTTATTTAGAATTACATCTTTTTATTAAAAGTTATATATAAAAGAAAATTTTACTTCTACCAAATTTTGCATTTCCTCTGGGGATTCATGGCACTGTTCTCGGGACAGTTGAAAGCTTTCGCGAATTCTTGAGAATTTTGTACTGCCGCATTTACTCTGTATTGTTCTTCACTATGAAGATCGTAAATAAATTCCTCGTACTTTGATCTACTGCTCGAACACCACACCTAAAAAATTCATTAAGCAGTTATTTCTAAAAATTATATTAAAAGAAATTAATAAATAATTCAAGTAAATTTTCTTTCTTACATTTGCATACGTCAAGAAGAAGAACTGTTCGTTGGATAAATCCTCAAATCCCGGAAGTCGAGGGCTATTTTTTTCATTTTCAATTTCTCGCAAAGCATCATAGACCATTTCCAAACCCAAAGAATCAGCAATGTTTTCTGATTGCGTCCTCTTAGCCTCTTCCTATTTAAATTAATTTATTAATATACACAAATCTAATCAATTCTTTTTACAATTTAATTATATGAATTTTATTTTAATACCGTCCACTCTGATTGCAATGTTACATAATTCCAAATTCTTTTCCATAATGGTTCGTCAATTTTATTTTCATTTGGTTTATCTTTGTAAAATTCTTCATATTGATCGATAAAACAATTTGTTCTTTCATCCAAACTAGACCTTGCATCAGAAGAATAAGGAATACTTCTTCCATCGGCGTCGACTTCTATTCCTGTTGTATAAATATGTTAAACATTGTTTTAAGACAAATATTTTCTGCACAAATAAATTAATTCAATCGTGAAAATATTGTTCAGTTATTATTTTAAAGAACTTTAATAATCATACCATCAACATCAAATCCGTGAGAAACTTCATGACCAACAGTAAATCCAATGCTTCCATATGACATGATTCTGCGAAAACAAAAAAGATATATTTTTAAAGAGCAACATTTTTTATAATATAAAAGTAAATAGAATAAAAAATAATTGTAGTATTTACTCAGGCAAGGTGGGTGAGTAAAATGTAGTCTGAAATTCTCCTGCGGGAATAGCTGAAAAAATAATAATATGATTTATAAACTTATGTACAATATTGTATACATAAACAAAATAATTTTTTTTAACTTACTTAAAGCATTGGAAAAAGGATTGTAAAAAGCATTTACATCTAAAGTATCACCCCAACTAAAATTTGTGAATAAATTCAAAAGCTGGATCAATAATTACAAATTAAAATTAAATTTAAATAAAGATTTAATTTTAAAATATTAAATATTTAAATAAATTCTACTTTCAAAAAAAAAATGTTTCTTACTCTTCATCGTCTTTTAATGGCTTTCCAATTGATCGAACTTTTTTCTTTTGTTCAAATTTTAAAGACATGAATATATTTTCTAAAAACTGATTTCCAATTGCCATCTGTAAAAAAAAATTTGTAATCTGTCTTTTTCTGCAATAATTCTAATTGAGATTTAATTCCGCGAAAAGAATATAAATTCGAATTATGAACTGAAAAAATATTGAAGAAATGGGGAAACTTACCCCACGATAATAATATTCCATGGCTGTAGCATTATTATACATAGGAGGATAACCAATATTGGTTTTCATTTTATTTACTTTCTGCAAAACCAATTTTCTCATCTCATCGTCCAGCCAATCTGCTCTTAACACATGTTTGACAATTGCTTTTTGAACACGCTTAAAAATTTCTTGTGCCTGGAATTTTTTTCTTTGTAAGTATTTGTTTGGAAGAACTAAACGTTGAAAAATGATAACTTACATGTTCTCTCATATCGTCAGTAAAATATTTTTTTACGTACTGATATGCTTTTGCGTGGTTCATTCCTACATCTTCAATACATTCTTCGTGTCTGAAAAATATATTAAAAAATTAGAATTTTGAAATTAATATTAGAAATTAATATTAGAATTTTAAAAATAATAAAGTATGTCGATAATTAATATAATGTGAACCTTGGAGTTTCTTCCTTTACTCCAGTCATTTCCTTGTACAGATTAAATTCCAACATCCGCATGTGTTGAGTTGTATACGGTAAAAATTGTTTTAAAAAATACCAATGAATGTAATTAACTGGAAAACAAAAAAATATAACTATGTTATTGTCTGCTTCTTGGAAAAGAATTTTACTAAAATAATTCTTTTTAAATAACTCGTTACCAATAACTCGTGGCTGTGTATTCTCTAGAATATTTACGATCATGGAAAAAAGATTGGAATAATTTATTCCAATTTCTTGATTTTCTTTCATTTCTATATTTGCAACTGCTAAATAATCGTTAATCATCGAAATCCAGTTTATCTTTTAAAAGATTATAATTTTATACATAAAAGAATAAAAAATTTGTCATTTATTATTAATATTATATTGTATAAAATTAGATACTCACTTTAGATTTAGAGGTTGAAACATCGTCATATTTTTTTTGCAATTCTTTGACAGTAACTAAATTAAAGTCATATTCCAATTTTTCAAGTTCCTGAGAAAAATAAAAATAATTTTTATAAATATTTTTAATTCATTTGTTATTATAAAAGAATGAAAAATAGATAAAAACTTACTTTGTCTATCGTTTGCTCCAATTTAATTACATTCTGAACATCAGTTGCCAGTTGATCATTATCAATAAATTTATCTTTTGCAAACATGAGTGCAACTTCTGTCATTAATTTTCCATACTGTCCACTTTCATACAACATAGTTCTATTAATTTTTTCTTGTGATTTTTTGGGAAGAATTTTAGGCAAACTCGGAGATGATAGCTGTTAAAATAAGAGTATATCGCTTTTAAAAAAATACACTTTGAATAAAATTTTCAGTTAAAAAATAATATAAAAATGAGATTTACACTTGAGCGGTGCTCCACGACTTACATCTAACAACATTCTAGTTACGAAATTTCTATAATCTTCAGAGACACCTAATTGATAAAATGGAGACTGTCCACTAATTTTAAAATAATTTTTATCGATTTGCTGCCAGGGAAATTCTTGTGAATCCCATTCGGAAATTTCCATAGCCATTGGCCAACCTCCATTATTTGCTAAAATTGCTTCAAGACGACTTATACCATTACTCTCCAGTGCGTCTAAAATTGAAAGTAATTGCAATTTCTATACATTGATATTTTTTAATTTTTCTAATTATTAATTGAAACTTACCTAGATTCATACATGATCGATAAAACTTTTTTAATTGCTTAATGGGTAAAATATCTGTTGGTTTTATTCGCTCCTCCAACAAATCTGTAAAAATTGTAATTTGTTCAAGTCATCCTGTCAATGAAGAAATATTAATAATATCTATACTATAAATAATACCTTTAATTCTGTCTTCAATCTTCTTTTTAGTTTTAGAACGTGAGTTCCAGTAAGCTTTGTCTTTTGGAATTGGATTATTAATTGTCCATTTGCCGCAAGCATATTCGTAAAAATTTTCACAGGGATCAACCGATTTATTAACACTTTCCCACAATTCTGCAGCTAATAATCTTTTCGTATTAATATCATAGAATCTTTAAATTAAATTAAAAGAGCTTAAACTAATATTTACCTACACTGAAGCATTCTTTCGTACGACAAACTTTATTAATTTCATTTCCTAATTCTTGAAAATGCCATGCAGATCCTGCAGAACAATAAGAAATTGCAAGTGTTAACCTGTAAATAAAATTTCATTTAATTTTGTATAATTAAGTAAATGTATTAATAATGATATAAAATAAAAATTAGAAATACTTGAACAAAATAAGTCCAATCATTCTTCTCATCTGTTTCAATTGCAGAGGACATTTTAATTTATATACTTATTGAAACGGAAATTTGTAAATAAATATATATCATATCTTTCTGAATTGTTATATTTATGCAAAACCTACACATATTCCTGTACGATCCTTGATAATTTTTTATAATTCTGATAGCATTGAAAAATATCCAATGCTGCATTTTACATTTAGAATCAAAAAGAAATTCTTTTTCTGTAAAATTGTTGTAAATTGTTTGTAAATTATTCGGATCCATAATTTTTTTTTAAAAATATTTATTTGAATATATAACACCGAAATTCGTATTTTTTGATTATGTAAATAAAATTATTTTGTTGATTGACAAATTCATATTTCTTTTAATATTTATTAATGTTATTTCATTTAAGGTATTTGTCGCGCTACTGGTCACTGTCAAAAGTTTGTATCCGTTGACTGTACTTATGAAACGATTATGAATGCGAGTTTCCGAAAAACTTTTGCGGACGTACAGTTTGACACACAGATGTTCTCAATGTATATTCATAACCTCTCGCATGAAAAACGATCGTGGCAACGTCGCAAGTTTGGCGTATGGCCGTCTTTAAAATTTCGCGCCAAAAGTAGCAGACAAGCTGTAGTATTTAACAAGCGCTATTGCCACGTTTACGAATTCATCTGTCATTTACAGTAAATGTTAAAATAATTTTTCAAGTTTGATGTTAAATATCTTTTAAACAAGACGGTGAAAAATTTTCATTTTTTTTATAAAAGTTCATTTTGGTTCAATAGATAAAACTTTAGTTTTTCTAAAAAATCTGACGATTAGTATAAGTGCAAAAATTAAAAATCTGTGGTTTTCATATGGTTTTCCTATACCTTACATGTTAAAAATCAAAACTTTGATTTCATTTTTTGAGACTGACAGACGGTCAATTTTATTTTAATAGGCCTTATTTTGTAGATAAATATCCAAAGAATAATTATGTGAAATTTAAAAAAAATCTGACGAAAACGAATTTACGCGACAAATACCTTAAAAAGAAACTTTATTAAATGTGCATTCAAATTTCAAAATTGTAAAAAATAAAAATAACGTAAATAAATTAAAAAATTATGTAAACATTGCAATTTAATTATCGCAGCCGTCACCTGTGGCGCTGCTAGCGCTATTAGTTTTTTAGTATTAAAAAATAAACTCGAATAAAATGGATAAATTATAATCGTCTGCAATATCGCCAGTTTTAATTATATATAAAATAAACATGATAACTGCAGATTAAAAATATGCTATTAGTGAGAGTGTGAATTATGCGGAAAGAGTAAGTAGAGTGTAAATATTTATAATTCTAGCACTATAACCTCAAATTTTCTAGTTGCACTTGGTATACTTTGATTCTTTCCCATTTAATAATAATTTTAAACAATGCAAACAATGTAAATGATTAAAAAACCATATTTTTCAGTTCCAATATATTCAATATATTACTTAAAATTTTAAATTACTTAAAATTAGATTGTAAGATTCAATAACAAAAATATTTTTCAAGTATACATTATTAGGTGATTATAGTTTTTTATTTTATTTTAATTACTCGCATATTTTAAAAATATAAAATAAATAAATACTTATCTCGTAGGAAAAATAATAAATTATTGTCATTTGTTTTTTATAAAATGTCATTGTTTTACAACAATTATACTTGTTGTATTCTTACTTTTGTTTAACGTTTATTTTCTGCAATAAGGAAACTTATTATAATATATTAAAGTGTGTTGATTATTTATTATTAAGGTTGAAAATAATAACCTGATAGTAAATTATTTTCCGTAAAAATTTAGAAAAATGTAAAATAATTGTAACTTTTTTATTTACTAGCAAGCTGAAAGCTAAAACATGGGAAAGAGACAGAAGGCAACGCATGGACACATGCTACAATACACTAGGAGAATTATTACCACCTCATCAAGAAGGGAGAAAACGAAACAAAGTCGAGATTCTTCTTCACGCTACAAAATATATAAGGGACCTACATAATCGCACTGATGAATTGTTTTGTACTCGTGGTACTGCGGCGTACAGTAAGTTTTCTTACGGCAAAAAACTATCTAAAATACAATATAATAATTTACCTAGATAAAAAAAGTGTTTATTTAAATTCAAAATTTTTAGAAGAAGAATTGTCACGATTAAAGAAACTGATAACTCAGTTATTGTCGCATATTCAGTTGCTCTCAACTCTCTTGAAAGAAGCTGGCATCGCTGTACCTGCTGAACCAACTTTAGAAAAAATCTCTCCAAAATTGTCTGATATGAAGGAATGCATTATTAAAGAACAAGGTGAAACAATTATTATAGATTAAAATGATTTTATATCTAATTTATATTTTATTTGTTAGTATTAATTTTTTTACATTTATTATGTAACGTATGTTTAGGTAAAAAACCAGAAAAAGCAAAGCGAAGAAGTCCACTTAAATCAAGTTTGAAGAAGAATTCTCCCAAGTCTTCCGTACGTAAAAATTTTACTGCAAATGACAAAAGTGCTATTGAAAATCAAGAAAATTGTATTAATGGAATAGCAAATAAAGATGATGACTCTCGTAAGGCGAACACTAAATCCTCTGCAAGCACGGTGACAATTTCGGAACAAACTGGTACACTTTGCATTATAATAATTAAAAAAGTATTCTAATAATAATAATAATAATAATAATAATAATAATAATAATATTTAACATTTTTTATTATTATAGACGATGCACAAGTTACTTCAGCACCATATACAGGTATTTTTTTACGAAAAATAAAATAATTTTCATACAATTTTAATTTGTATATATTTGTCAATAACACCATAAAATTATTTCAGGTAAACCAATTAAACGCAAAGCAGTTAAAAGAGCAAAAAAGGAGAAAGTAGAGAAGAAATCATCAACAGCCAATAATGGTTCAATTACAAATCTTCCTCCAGGAGCACTTGTTTTTTCCGGAACAAAATTAATGCCAGTGAATCCCATTATTTTAAACAATTCACAGCAGAATTCGATGATAGTTAATCAGCATTCTACCAGTAATCCAATAATCTTGAATAATACTCAACAGAATCAAATGATTGTTAATCAACAACACACTAATTCCATAATTTTAAACAACGCTCAGCAAAATCAAATGATTGTCGTCCATCCATTGCAAGCGAATCATGTTCAAAATTCTGTTATTTCCTTGCAAAATCAAACGTCAATTCAAAATATTATTCCAAGCACGTCGAAAATTCCACGAATATCAAATTTAGCTAGTGTTTCAACAATTACAGGTGTACAAAATTTACAGAAAACTATAACAAGCGATGATATCGTTAATTTAAAGAATATCGCTGATAATTCAAAAATAGGGGGACATAAAGCAATACTACCAAAATCAGCATTCACAAAGGCAATAACAAAAACGACGATGACTTATAAAGTTCCCATTCCTGCAATTCATAAAGAGAAAGTTATTATTGAAAAGAAGGAGATCGAAACAGAAGAGCGTCCGAAAGGAAAATTATCCAAGTCTTCAAGGAATCAGAAAGAAAAAAATCGTGAAAATTGTGTTTCAGATGATAAGACATCTCTTAAACGAGGTTTAAATGTGACTGATGGTAAGAATCAAGAGACAGATGTCAAGAAACGAAAAGTCACTAAAAGTGCTGTTGATAATGGAAAGTGTTCTCAAGTGAAAATTACAAGTATTGTCGAAATACCAGCAAACTGTAAAACCATTGGAAATATCAAGCAAGCAATTAAACATATAGAACGTGAATCGGAGAAAAAATCAAGTCAAGATTCTTTAGTACCAGATGATTCGCAAGGTGATAAGAATTGTGAATTGGAACAAATAGTTGCAAAGGATTCAGAAGCTGTAGACCAAATGGAAACAAACGTCGATTCAGTGGCGATAGATATTCAACAACAAGGAGAAGAAAATAAATCGCAGAATTTGAAGGAATCTATGGAACCAATTACAGCTTTAGAAGAGACAGATGGAAAGGATAAAATTTCACCTCTTACGTTAGAATCAACGAAACCATCAGTCAATAATGAAGTTACGATAGCAAAAACTAACCAAGACTCTGAAATTGATGACGGATTTGATAATCTTCTGCAACCAAATAACACTGAATCTTTAATCGTCGAAGAGGAAGTACTGCCTGAAAATAATAAAATTATTCTGAATCTCGACACAAATACAACAACAACAATGAAACGGGAATTAAATGATTCTACGTGTAATGATTCTAAGCAAAGTAAATCGTTGCAAGAATCTACTAAAACTTGTAAAGATGATTTGAAACCTCTTTCCTACAATTCAAATAGTAGTTTTATCCCAATAAGTAATAAATCAGAAACACTTCATTCCGATCTATCGAATGACATATTTGCTTCACTTCAAGTTCCTTCCAATTCTCAGAATCCTGAATCAATATCTCCAACAGCCGCATTCTTAATGGCTTTTCCATTAGTTTCCTCCCTCAGTGGAAAGACGGAAGTTCTTGACGAAGAAATAAAAGAGGAATTTAAATATCAAAGTCAAACACCTCCAATGTTGTTGCAAATCGGTGCAATCGAACCAAACAGCTTCAAAATCAAATCTTCGGCAGCAAATGATATTTCGGAAAATAATTCAAAAAATGACAACCAAGAAGATAAATCATCTGATGAAGTAAAATCTCTCTCGAAAGCAATTGAAAAGGAAAGTACTAAAGAGCCCCTAAAAATATCGACAATTATCCATCAATTAACATCAGCATCCCCTACACTAAGCGATGTTGTTAATTCATTTCCCGAAAATTCAAGAAACAGCACGTCTGATAATAACACTGCGAATAATTCTGTTTCAATGATTAATGAATCTTTGATTTGTCAAGTTTCAGCAGCTACAAACGAGAAATCCTTAAACTATGTCTCTGCTAAAAATGATATTTTAACAATTTCTCCAGATTCATTAACTCCAAACAAAAATGTGATTCCTATGAAATACGATGACAGTCAGTATTTAAAGTCTCACAATGAAATAGAATCGAAGAAAAATCCTCACTATGACTTCCATTCAGAAATTCCCACTTCAACCACAGATGCGTTTAATCCCCAAGAAAATAACGTATCTTTTATCAATCCAGATAATAAAAACGTCACCTTTCCAAACACAACCAATGAATCTGAACGTATTTGTCCAGAAGTTAAGTTGCAAGAAATATCATCAACATCATCATCGCCATCTTCATCATCATTAGCATCATTGTCATCAATGTGTCAAAAAGAGAAGATTGACGTCAATTTACAAAATAATTCCACTCCCGAGCAAATGCACTCGAAAATTCCCGAAAGAATCCAACTGAATGTCCTTGACTCCCACAATATTCGAGAATACGATTCTTTTAATACTATTTTAAGCTCCAATTGTCCAAGTAAAATCATTCAAACAAATAATTCCATTCAAATTGAAAATGCATCAACAAGTGTGGTGGAATCAAATTCACAAAATATTAATAATCCAACGAGTCACCACGACTGTCACAAAACTGTCGAGGCATTCACCGTGACAAATACTCAACTTCCATTTGAAACACCTACAATTTATCCCACCACCAGTAAGCAATCAACCAATCTCAATAAATTGGAGCAGAAAAATGAAATTTTCTCAACGAAAAAAGTGGAGACGAATGAATTATCACAAAATATATACGATAAGAATAAATTAAATGACAAGAAACCTCAATCAAATGATTCTGAATCAAGCATTCGAAACACTTATCAAGGAAAATCAGAGGAATCAATCTCTTACATTGTACCACCATTTGGGAAAAGTGAAAAGAAAATGGCAACTTCTACTGAAATTTTAAATGATAAAAATATTATATTAAATTCTTATTCACAGCAACAATTTATTGCTACTTCCAATTATGAAGAAAATACAATTTCTAAAACTCAAGCAACTACTACAGTTGCTCAAAATAGTTCAAATTTCAGTATTGTTTCATGGACCACCTTCTCCCCCGCTACTGGAAATAATAATAATAATAATAATCCAAGTAATAATAGCAATAATAATAATAATCTTGTTCAATTTGATCAAGGAAATGATGCCATCCAATCGAAAACAATTGGCGAGAATTTCAATTACCTTCCCATCAATAAAGAGAGTTTTCCCAATACATTACCAATAACTTCAACATATTCCTCAGATCCGCAATCTTCCGGTTTTGACAAGTCCAGAAATAAACAATCACCCGAAATGCCAAAAAGATCATATTTGGACAACACGAAAACTCGAAATGTTCGCTCCATTCCCACTCTTCAAAAGCAAAATCGATCCCATCAGACTCAACATCAAAATCATTCGCAAAATCGTAGTCAAAATCAGAATCCGCCGCAAAATCTGCCTCAAAACAATGCACAGAATCAAACCCATACGCAAAATCAAAATCATTCTCAAAACCATAGTCAAACACAAAATCCAAATCACACTCAAAATACCATCGCAAATGAGTATAAATTTGTGAACGATGGTAAAAATAAAATAAAGTACACGGAACTCGACTACATGCAGAATGATTATTCGGGAATTGATAGTCGACAGCAGCAACATGCTTTGAAAATTTCAACTCAACTGGCACCGACGAAGCAGCAGGACAAGAATTACATAATGCCTGACTATGGAATGCAAACACATTTCGACACGGATCCCCAACAAATGCGATACAACATCGAGGTCTATGCGAATTCCAATTTTAAATACGACAAAACTCAACAGCACCAACAAAAATATCAGTCTTCTAGTCAGGTGAATATTCTTCAACAGGAAAATGCGAATTACAATCCCGCCAATAAACAGACCCAACAACAGCAACAGCAAACTTCCGTCAAGTCCAAGACTCAGCTTCAGCAAATCCAACAGCAAAATACCGCTCGGCCTCCTGTCAACTGGATGATGACTCCAGAAATTAAACACAATTCCAATATCACCGACATCATTCTGCCGCCGATTGGCAAGGATCTCGATTTTTGTCAAAACAATCTCTTCTCACAAACTCCATCCTACAATCAAAGTACTTCAAATCAGTTTTACAACAATTACGATGTAACTACTCACGGCTTTCCAAATATTTCCGTTCTCCAAACGGATCCAAAGAGAATGGATGCAAACTTCTATCCGGAGGAGCAACCCTTCTCTTGGTCTCCCACTAAAAATATTACCCAAAATGACCCAACTCAGACTATAAAGCCGATTGATCATCAAATAGTTCCCTCGACTTTGCCCACTTTGGTCGGCGATTTAGCTTTGGGAACGAATCTCCCAGAGAAACAAAACTTTCTCTTCGGGCAAATGCCCATCAGAAGTTCGAACAACGAGCAAAAGGATCAAGCCAAAGAGAAGAGACTTTCGGAAGATCAAAGAGAGTTTCAGATGATAAACACGAACGTTCAGCACACTTCGCAGGGAATGTCCTTCTTGTCCGTTAGTCAACTCGTGGAGCACGAAAAGGAAAAGAACCTTCACCAACAGCAACAACAGCTTCCCCAACAACAACAGCAGCAGCAGCACCAACAAACGCGAAAACACCAGCGAAAGAGCAATACAAGTCCGAGAAACAGTGCCAAGCGTCAGCTCGAACTCCGAAAACAAAGTGTCCACGAACTACAACGCGAAGAACACAAGTCCACCTTCGATCAAAGTTACCAACAACAAGGGAAGTATCAACAAAACGACATTCACTGGCGGAGCAGAAACTGCAAGAGCAACTACACAGCGGAAGCTCTAATCAGCACGAACACCAGTGTCAACGAGACAAGCGACAAGAATTCGGCCAAATACACCAACTACTCTCAAAACAAATTCCCGACCGATCCAATGATGTCAATCAACTACTTCTCGAACGTCGACGACGCCAGCGGGTACGGCCAAGTCGTCAACCAGAATTTCAACCACTCGTACGGTTATACCTCGAATACGAACATATACCCGACCAGTAACTTCATCACAAGTATCTCAAACACTCCAACAAATTACATGATGCCACTTCACGAGAACTCGGACTATTTGGAAGCAAACAACTTCCTGCTACAACCACCAACCACCTCGAACATTACCACCCCAACTCTGGCGAACAAAAATCATCAACACATTCCCGCCAGCAAACACCAGAATTGTACAGACAAACGTCTCTACCCTTCGACGCAGAAGAAGGGAAAACGCAAAAACGACGGAGTGCAGAATTTCGAACTGCCTCTGTCGGGTATCACTTCCCCATTGGACGAGTATCATCATACGACACATTTTCTTCCGCCGCACGCGAACCCTCTGTATCAGAATCACCCTCAGGCGAACGTCTATCCGAAGCCGATGAATGCGCTGGCACCGCCACCTCCACCGCTGCCTCCGGCACCACCGTCGTCGGCGTCGCTTCCACCGGCGATTCCCTCCGGGAATGGCATTCCTTCCACGTCGGGGATATCTTCCAGCAATCCCATGACCGTTGGCCATCATCCCTCGGGCACCAGTCTCATCAACTTTAACTTGAGCACCATATTTCCTGAAATGAACGACAAGGTATGTTCTCCGCTTTTTTACAAGTCATGCCCCAAATAAAATACGTTATTAATTTTTCTTCTCTCTTTCTTTAGAATTGCTACAAGTCTTCTGCCAATGAAATTCAGCCTGGATTGGTGCAGTCTTCCACACACGCGCCCACGAGTTATCCTCAACGCTCCAGTTATACAAATTCACTAGTTCACATGTCGCAGGTATATTTTTAATTCACAAAAATCGCATACATATAGGGCACGAATTAGGTCCGTAAATCCAATAAAAGTCCGTTTTCTTTAAAAAAAAGTCCGTCAAGTCCGTAATTTGATTCAAAAAGGACGAAAAGTATTCGTAAATTGTACGATATAATTTGGATAATTTTAGAGAAATTACAATTGCAGAAATTCAATTATTTTCAAAAGTAATAAAATTCTTATCGCAAAAATTCAATTTCAAAATTTTTAAAAAATTCTCATCAAAATTTCAATTATCTTTTTAAATAATTAAATACTTCTCCAAAATTCAATTATTTTCAAAAAATTTTCTCAATTCAATGATTTTCAATATCTACTATTTTCATAAAATTTTCCAAAAGAATTCAATTATTTAAAACAAAATTTAATAAATTTCTACACAAATCTTTAATTATTGTCAAAAAATAATAAAAGTTTCACAGGAATTTCATTATTTACAATTTTTTTTTATAAATTTCTTCCCAATAATGCAAATTATTTTCGTAAATAATAAATTTTTTACAGGGATTCAATTATTTTTGTAAATAATCAATTTTTTTTTTAAATTCAATTATTTTCATAAATAGAATAGAATTTATTGCAGAATTTCAATTATTATTATTATTACAATTTTTATCGATTTCCTCGAAAAAATTCTTTAAAATTTTATTAAAATTCGTCAAAAAAATTCAATTATTTAAAAATGTATTGGAAACTTTTTATGAGAATTCAATTTTAGGAAAAAAGCAATAATTCAATAAATTGTTTTTTTGTATTTAAATACAATTGAATTCTAGTAGAATTTTCTCATAAAAATTGATTTAAAAATGGATTTCAGTTAAAATTTTAGATTATAATTGAATATTAAAAGCATTAGAGCTTGAATTTTTAGAAGTAATTGAACTTTGAAAAGGTTTCAGATTAAAATCTATAAAAATTTGAATTTTTCATATTTTTAACTAACAATTCTGTAGAATTAATTTTTTTTTAGAAAGTTTAATTGCCGATTTTTCTTTGAAATTATTTGAAGTTTTTATTTTCTAATATATATATATATTTAATTGAAGAATTTACGAATAATTGAAATTTTGTAAAATTGAAAATTGTAAACAAATGAATTTGAAAATTCTCAAAGAACTTTTTTAAAAATTAATAAAAGTAATTGATTTATAGAAGATGTTTAGTTAAAAACACGAACAAAATATTTAATTTTGGAAAAGTTACTAATTATTGCAGAAATTCAATTATTTTCAAGAGTAATAACATTTTTCACAGAAATTAAATATTGTTCAAAAATAATAAATTTCTTCTTAGAAAATTAATTATTTTAAAATATTTGTAAGTAATTCTGCAAAGAATTTAATTATTTTGATAAACAATCAGATTCTTCCCATAAAATCAATTTTTTTAAAATACTTTTCCAAAATTCAATTATTTTGATAAAATATCAAAATTCAATTATTTGAAAACAAGAATTCAATTATTTTGATAAATATCAAAATTCATCACCAGAATTAAATTCTTTTGAAAAGTAATAAAATACTTTGCAAAAATTAAATTATTTTAAAAATTTTTAAAAAATTCAATTATTTAATAAATTATTTATTTGCATTTTATTTGTATTTAAATAATTGAATTCTAGTATCTAGTATCTAATAAAAATTGATTTCAAAATGAAATTCAGTTTAAATTTTAGATAATAATTGAATATTAAAAGCAATATAGCGTGAATTTTTAAAAATAATTGAATTTTGAAATTAATTTTTTTGAAAAAGTTGTCGTAAAATTGAATAGTGTAAACAAATGGATTTGAAAATTGCTAAAGAACTTTTTCGAAAATTATTAAAAAGAATTGATTTAAAGAAGAATTTTAGTTAAAAATGCTTGAAATCATCTTTAATAAATTATCATAAAACATGAAGAAATCGATGACTCCGAGTCGAAGACTCGGAGTTATCGATATCATCATGTTTTATAGTTTGGGAAAATTTAATTTATAGTTTTAAGAAAAATTTTCTCTTATTTGACTCGGACTGGTTATATTTTTGTCAGTAATTGGTCCGTAATTTTTCATTTTTGGTCCGTAAAGTCCGTATTTTTAAATACTTTCACTGGTTCGAGCCCTGAGTATAAGATAAAAATAAAAGAATTTTTTTTTTAATAAATCGTTCATTTTTCATCAGGTTCCTGAAACAATGCAATTTACCAGCGACGTGCCGCCGCCGCCTCCACCACCACCTTTATCGGGCGTCGTTCATTACAAGAATCCTTGACGAACATCGCAAAAGTATCGGCATTGTCGAGGAAAGGAAAAGCAAAATGTCAAACACTCTGAAAACACAATGGTGCTCAATGATGTTTTGTATAAAAATGTATATAGTTAGAGCTCAGCTTTAATATTGTTATTAGAAATAATAATAATAATAATAATTATTATTATTATTATTATTATTATTATAGAAACATAAAATACCAAGTATTTTAAATATTATTAAATTATTATATATTATTCATTGTGATTCATCTTTCAATCAACAATGTACATAAAGACAATATCTCAGACTAGTGCGAACAAGCCGAGAAACAAATTTATTTCAAATAATTATATGAATATAATTCTTTATAATTATTTATAATTCTTTAAATCAATTAAAAGTTAATTTCATAAAATCAATGATTCACTTGTTTGTCATTTTTTTCAACAAAAATTCCGGTTAATTCCACGTTTCAAAAAGAGTTTAGATTTTTATTGGGCTTACATTTTTAATTAAATATATATGATTCAGTTGAATTCAATTCAACTGACAACTTTTTCAATGAATCATTAAATTATACGACAAACATTATGGAAAAGTTAATAAGTGACAATAATCAATTGGTGTCAAACTGTTGTGATTGTTTTGACCTTTACACTGCAAGCCAATTCATTTTGAAAAATTTCAATAATTAATTAATGTGTTCAACATTGGGAAAACAAACTTTTACCTTTTGTGATCTCTTAGAACAAGAAATTAATTTTTGACACTTTCAAAACATTCGAGTTGAATGATTGACAGCGATAATGTAGAAATATATTGATAAAATGAGATTACAGATATAAATGGAAGGGGAAGACAAGAGGGAGATACTACTAGAATATGAACGAGAGAAAATTACAGGGAAATCAGTCTACGTCGTACAATAATAAAATATGTTATATAGTATATAGATATAAGGAAATTTTGTGTTTTTACTGTGATTTTTATTATTTTCGTCTTTTGTAATGACAGTGAATTCGAAGGATCAGAATCATCAGAAGTGTAATTTATTAAAAAATTTAGTTCATCAGAAGAGTGAGGGTAAATTAAACATTACGAACTTTTATTCGCATTACTAAATTATGTAATGAATTTAGTTGGAGACTGATTTTAGTTAAATGCAATTTTTGGAAATTACAATTGGAAATAATTTCCACATAGAAACGAACCTCTAGCAATTTTATTTTGATCTCAATTTTCTAAAACTGGTTCAGATTTCTCTAAATGTTTTAATTAAAACAACTAATGTTATTTTTAATTAACATTGTAGATTTAAACTCATTTTCTTCTAAATTAGATTTTTGGCACTTGTAAATTTGAATCTCTACAACTTGCGAATTTTTCTCTTGGGGAGAAGACAGTAAATTGTTCGAAATTTAATCAAGTCCAATAGTGCCAAAGTGGTCCTTTTTTGCGGACATTTTTTTAAGCCATTTTAAACTTATGAAAGAATTAATATTGCAAGCGGTTTTTTTTGTTCATGCAAGATTATAATTATTTATAATATTTTGCAGAAAAAAAAGAAAAACTTGTTGATGAAGATTTGCAATGCAGAATGAATTGCGATAATTTACAAGAACGTTTTCAAGTAAGTATAAAAAATATTTAATAAAATATTTAATAAAAGGAAAATTGATTCTAAAATCCATTTTATCACATATTTTCTACTCAATAATAATGTGAAAAAAATACATACAGACTTCGCACTCGATAATAATTTTAAAAAAGTAGCATTCAAATTAAAAAAAGTAGTAAAAAAGTAGCTATCGTATTTTATTAAATTTTTTTGAAAATAATTGAATTCCTAAAAGCATTTTATTATTTATGAAAATAATTAAATTCTTGCGAACGATTTCATTAGAATTTTTTAAAATAATTATTGAATCTTCAAGAAGAATTTTATTACTTTTAAAAATAATTGAATTCTTGTGATGAATATTGTTATTTATGAAAATAATTGAATTTTACAAAGAATTTTATTAAAAGGGCTCAAAATAATTTAATTTTCGGGAATAATTTTGTTATTTCTTGACATAATTGAATTCTTTCCAAGATTTATGTAAATAATTGAATTTTTATTAAAATGCCTCAAAATAATTAAGTTTTCGGGAATAATTGAATTTTTTCCAAAAATTATTATTTATGTAAATAATTGAATTCTTGGGAAGAATTTTATTAAAATCTAACAGAATAATTGAATTATTTTTAAAAAATTTAATTAAAATTGTACTTAAAATAATTGATTTCTATCGAACAATTTTATTAAAATATTTGAAGATAATATTGAATTCCTGTCAAAAATTTTAATCTTTTTGTAAATATACTTGAATTTTTTCAAAGAATTAAAAAAAAAATTTTTTTAAGTAATTGATTTCTTCGAGGAATTGAAATTTTCTATTAATTAATTTAAAATAGTATTAAAAATAATTAAAATTCTTTGATGATTTTTATTATTTATGAAAATAATTGAATTATTGTGAAGAATTGTATAAAAAATTTTGTTAAATAATTGATTTTTACGAATTTAAAGTAGTGGAATTAATAAAAAAAACAAAAGGAAAAAAATAGTAGGTTTTAGTAGACGAGTGCGAAGCTTGATACATATTGTGTAGAAAAAGGTGAATAAAAATATGAATATTAACTTATTAAGTAAAATACCTAGAAAAGAAAAAATTGTTTAAATTTGAAAAAAAATAATTATTCCAACTTTCTTAGGATCTGAGTGATAGGCTTAACGATTTAAGAAATAATTTAATTAATAAGCAAATAGAAGCCACAAAATCGGAGAATATAGCAAGAAAGGATTTCCCGGATTCAGATAAATACAGTGATAGAAGGTAGAAAATTTTTCCGTCTTTAAAATATGAATTCGAATTTCACAAATTAAGGAAATGAAAATAAAAAAATCTCTACTATAAAATGTATTTAATAGTAAAATTATCACAATTACTTCTTACTTCTGTAGGAAAACTAGAAAGGATGGAGTCCTGCCGGAAAAAGAATTTCTTCCGCGAAATTCCCTCCTCACGGATTTATTTGAGATCCAGCATATCAAAACAATTTACAACATTTTCATAGTGATTCTTATACTTCTATTTATGAGTACTGCCATTCATGACATTATGGAAACTGGAACGTAAATAGAACAAAAAATTACCAGAAATATTTCATTTTCATTTTAATTGAAAATAAAGTGCACTGAAAAAAATTGATTTGATTCAAATAATTAAATTGACTATTATTAATTAAATATTTACTTGAATCAAATAATATTTATTGGAGTCAATTATATGGTATTTGAACCAATAATTTCAGTATTTGAAGCAAATATAAACTGAACCATTTAATTGACTCCAATAAATATTATTTGATGCAATTAAATATTTAATTGATAATAGTCAATTAATCGGTTATTTGAATCAAATAAACTTTTTTTTTCAGTGTGGATTTTTACTAAATCTAACAAAAAGACATTAATTTCAGAGTACAACTTGGCATTCAAACAATAATTACAGCTTTCGGTAAAATGCCAATAGTTATTTACACTTGGATTGGAATGACAGCGTCAACATTTTTACTTTATTCCAGTTTTGCATTTTGGGCTCATAAACGCTTAGATTTCCAGCCAAAATGTAAATACATACATTTATTATGAAATTTTTTGACAATTTTATTTATTATAAATACTTATTTAAAGTGATGTAAAACAAATTGTTTTTCAGCCTATTCGTTAAAAATTTTGGATTATGGAGCACTAACGTCTTTTATCGTCTTTCAAATTACATTTATTATTTTTCCAACAAAATCTATTTTTGAAGAGGATCTCCCCCCTGCATCCAGTTTAATAGTAATAATGGAGCAGGTAATTAATTCACACATTTAGAAATTAATTTACTTATTGAAATAATTTTCTTTTAATTCCAATTAGATAAACTAGAATTTTAAGAAAGATGAAAAGTTGATTCTTATCAAAATATATTTCTTTAACATGGAATTATTGTATCTTATCACTGACACATTGAAAAATTGCATATTTAAATTTATAACAAAAGAAAAAGTTGTTTCGAAACAAGTTTGACAATACATGTGCAATAAAAAATCATTGTATAGTATTCAAAGTTTAAAGTTCAGGAGAATCGTTGTAAAGAAAAAAAATGTAGTTGTCGATTAAGATTCAAGACAATTTTATCTTATTATAATACCGTCGTGATAAATTTCTGATAGCAATTTTACGTAATTATAAATTATCAATTATCAAAAAAGATTCAATCAACGATTCAATAATATAGGCACTATAGTGACATTCAACCTCCGAAAGTTAATTATTATTAATATAATAGCAAATGAATTTTAGGTTCGCATGTTAATGAAGTCTCACGCATTTGTGAGAAGCAATGCTCCAAGAGTGTTGTCATTCAAGTCTCACACGGAGAAAGAAGAAATTTTATGTCCCGGTTTTTCAAAGTTTTTGTACTTTATGTTCGCGCCAACTTTAGTGTATCGTGATAGTTATCCCAGGTAAGAAAGTTAATTTAACAAAGTCGAAAATTATGTTACACTCACGAATACCTTTCAATGCTTTCAGAACCAAAGAAATTCGTTGGAAAGTCGTCGTGTGGCATTACACGGAAGTTGTCCTCGTCATATTTTATGTTGCATTCCTTTGTGAACGTTTCCTAATGACTGCATTCAAACAATTTGGTGTTCAACCCGCTAATCCCGGAATACTCGTCCATAATATATTCAGCAACATGATGCCTGGAATATTAGTGTTTCTCTGTGGTTTTTATTGTCTCCTTCATTCCTGGATGAATGGATCGGCCGAACTTCTTCAGTTTGCTGACAGAATGTTCTACAAGGTAGAAAAAGTTGATTAAAATTTTCGTCAATAAATTTTCGAATATGATTCAAACTTTCGTCAATAAATCTAGAAAACAAATATTAGAAAATTAGAATAATACTAGAATATAAAACATTTTCGTTTTACTCACAGGACTGGTGGAACTCGACATCCTACAGCACCTACTATCGTACCTGGAACATTGTCGTGCACGATTGGCTCTACAATTACATTTACAAGGACATGTACGAGGTTGTTGCTCGGAAAAATAAGATTCTCTCAACAATCACTGTCTTCATGGTGTCGGCATTGTTTCACGAATACATCATGGCCGTTGGATTCCGCTTCTTCTATCCCGTGATGCTGATCATGTTCGGGGGATTCGGCATGTGCCTTGTTTTCATTCCCAAGGAAAATACAAAGTCGAATGGCAACATTTTCCTCTGGCTGTCACTTTGCATCGGCACTGGTTTAATGTTGAGTCTCTACGCGATGGAATTTTACGCTCGAATCAATTGTGCCCCTCGCGACAATAAGGTTCTTGACTTCTTCTTACCAAGAAGTTGGTTCTGTCGAAAACAATCTCTCCCGTCTAATTTATAAAATCGATTCGCGATAGTATTCGTTAAATATAAAATCCAATTATTTTTTACAAAAAGAAGTAAGTTTATTCGAGTCTTACATATATTTTTGTCATTACACCTAACGATAAAGGTAGAACAATATAATAATTATATACAATAATTCATATATATATATATATATATCTTCTCTATACAAATTAATTTATGACCTTTATGTATAAATGTATATTTGTACCTATTTAAACAAGGCGATTCGAGACAATATTCGATTAATCAACAATTGAAAGAAAATTTTAAGAGACCTTGAGGTAGTTCCAAGTAGCCAAGGAATTGATAAAACTATTATTATTATTCACTTTTTTAAATTAAAAATTAAAAAGTTTAAATTTCTCGGATCGTCCTGTATTCTGACAATTTGTCTTTTATTTATGGCAGAGTTAAAGGCCAAACAGTGGACACTAATTACTATCAGTGTTTCTTTGTTTTAATTCATCTTTGTCGATCGATGATAAGGCTGAACAGTTTAGCAAGTTACACACTGATGAACGTAAATTTTCTTTTCTAATCGTCAAAATCAATTTACTCTAATTTAACTAGTTCTTTTTTAAAAATTTCTTTTTCAAAAAATTCTTTTTTAAATACTTCTCAAATTTAGAATTTCGTTTAGACACAATTCGAATGTAATGAAAAAAAAAGGTTATGAATAATTTTTATCTTTCAGTAGTACAGGTGAAGAAAAATTATTAGCGTAAACTTAGTAACAATGGTGGAATATGTGATATTAAAATGATTGTCTAGCCGTTCGAGACGACAGTATTTTCTTTTATCTCCATATAAAACAGAAATAAAAATTATCTACATATTTATTAACTCTTGTTGCTTTTCATCTCTGAATATTTTATTCAAACTGTATAATTTTATAAATAAGATACAAAAAACTTGAAAAATAAATTTATTATTTCGAATGTTAAAAATAAACTATTTAAAAAATCTAAAAATTTGAAGAAAATATTTGAGATAAAAATAATTATACGAAAGAGTTAAAAATTAAATAAAGAGAATTAATTAATAATTATTTTAAAAGCAATGATAAAAAGAAGCTATTTCGTGTGAAAGTTGAAAGAAATGAAAAAAATATATTAATTAATTTTTTGTATAAATGACATTAAAATTCTATGGCCTACTATTTAGTGCAATATTAATTTATTCCAAAGTTGTCGAAAATTAAAAAAATTGTATCTAAATCTAAATTGATGATAATTTTCGTATATTGAATTTTACAGGTTTGACGAAATACCCATTGAAAAAGATTTGCAAAATTAAAAAAAGATAAATTTTGAATACTCTTTTAATTTTTTCCAAAAATAATCAGAGTTTCCTGACGTTGAAAAATATTAATTGAATTCTAGGCAAAAATATTGTTTCCTTAAAAAACTTAAATTTATAATAATTATATTCTATGTTATGTAGAATTTAGTTGTAATTCTTAGTACCTAAATATTTGTATATTTGTATCTTGTAATTTGAAATTGAAAAATTAATATAACTTCTTCGTTGAGTTTACCAGAAATTAAGGGGAGACACTAACTTTATTTTTGACTCCTTTAAAATTAAATTATTTAACGAGATGATATTTTTTCTTTCATCATTTCATTAAAAATTAAAATTAAAATTTTTTGACCATATTACGATGGTCAAAAATATTTAATTTTAACTTTTGAAGAGGTTAGAATTTTTTTCTTTTCACATTAAATGTATATTAATTTTACCAAAGAGATTTTCAGAAAGAATCTGACGTACAGTCGAAACAAAAGTCATAATTTCGTAATTAGAAAGAAAAAGACAAATTAAATTTTAAATACGTGGTAAAAGTGGGAAAAATCTAATTTTGAACATTTAAAACGATTGAAAGTTGCATTTGAACAAAAATTAAGTACAATTTTGTCAATAAGAAATATTTGTTAAATTTTAGGTAATTTTACTTAAATCATTTATTATAAAATTATAATTTTTATTCAAATTGTTCAAAATGTAGAAAATTAAATTTCTTACGCTTTTTTCAAAAGGAATTTAAAATTTAATGTCACTCTCTCTTTTAAAATACGCTGTAAAAAAATTTTTCTGTAGATTCACAGTTTTTTACGGAATTTTATAGAAACTTGTAAAATAACATCTTTAAAAGTAGCGAATTTAAAATCCCTTTTGTAAAATTAATATTTTCAACGTGTCAATTTTACAATTTACTACTTTGAAAGTAAGTAATATTTTTGTATTTTTATTGCCTACTTAGTAAATTTACAGAAAATTGTAAAATTGACACATTAAAAGTATTAATTTTACAAGTTTCTATAAAATTCAATAAAAAACTGTAAATCTACAGAAAAATTTTTTTACAGTGTATAGATATTTACAGTTTTGTTTAGAATTTTATAGAAACTTGTAAAATAGTTTTAAAGTAAATAGTAAATATTATACAATTTAAGGAGGATAGTGACACCATAAAAAAACCAAAATATTCTCGAAATTATTTTCACAACAACAAAAACTATAATGAAAATTAATCAATTAATTTTATCACACCCAGAAAGATTTAGTTGCAAAATATTTATTTTGGGTTAAAAATTAAAATATTTCCACAAAAAAATAATGATTTTTTAACATTTTGTATTCTTTCTTTCAGCTTCAGAGAAAAATTACAATTTTTATCCAAATTTAACTAACAATAGCTCATTTTACTCGTTGAATCATCTATAATCGTAATTTTTTTTAATATTGTTGAAAATATTGGTGTTTAAAAAATATAAACAATTTAAATTTTATTTTTTAAACTATTTTTTAATAACTAATTTTCAACAACATTAAACGAGTAAAATGAGCTATTGTTAGCAAATTTGGGTAAAAATTGCTATCTTTCTGAAAAAAATGTAATTGTTAAAAAAACATTATTTGTAAAAATATTTTAAATCAATATAAATGTTTTCTTAACATTTTATAACTAAATCATTCAAAGTTTAATCAAATTAATTTTTGTTATATTTTTATTTGATGTAGAAACAATTTTTAGAATATTTTAGGTTTGAGGTTATGTATGGCGTCACCATTTTCCTTAATTTTAAAGGCCAACGAACAATAGATTCGCGAAAGTCGTTCGCGAACGAGACGCATGAGATAGAAAGGACACAAATATATTTCTGTCCTTTTTTAATTCATTTTTTGCGTTCGCGAACGCCGTTCACGAAACAGTTGTGCTTAGTCCTCAAAGAGGTCAAAATAAAGGTGGTGTCTCTCCTTAATCAGCTTTTAGAAAATGAATTTTTTGATTGTACCTAGGTGTGTTGTTGTTGTTGAAGAAGAAGAAGATGAATAAAATTAAAAGCGTCGAGTTTTGATGAAACGTGAACGGAAGAAATTGAGTGGCTAAATTTGAGTAGGCTTCATTTGCCCATCCCCACGACCGCTTCGTCCATCAATTCGTCGTCAGTGATGCAAGGCGATGCTGAATGCGGCGAGGGTGGAATGACGCGAGGCGAAGGAGCGGGGCTCTTGACGATGTGGAGGCTCACCGACGGACTCGGTGGGAAGTTGGTGGTCGACGACACAGCTGAGGCTGCCAGGCCCGGCACGGACGAGGACATAGGCAACATTTGTCCTTGCTGCAGCGATGGTGGCGGCGGAGGAGGTGGAGGTGGTGGAGGAGGAGGCGGCGATAGAGGAGGTGGTGGCGGCGGCGGCGTGTTCCTGACGAAGGGCGCCGAGCCCTTGTGGCCGTCCTTCGGCGCCGAGAAGTCGAGCAGCATTTCCGTCGCCTCCTGGGAGTTCGATCCACCTGTTCCTGCCGCTGTTGTCGTCGACGACGAGTCGTTGTGCATCACACTCGAGAGTTGAAATGGCTGCTGTGCTTCTTTGTCATCGAATTTCGTATACTTATTCATGGCGGCGTCCAGTGGTTTCGTGCTTAGATTGAGACTTTCGGAAGTGCTGCCGACGTTGACGCCGTCGCAAACGTTCATCACTCCACTGTAGGCCTGCTTCCCGAGAGGATGTGAGTCGCCGAGTTTCGGAAGAACGACCATCACGACGCCGGAGTCGTCTTTCGTGCTGTCAACACTGGAGCTGTTCAGAAAGGAGCGATTCATCAGATCGGACTTGGCCTGACCGGTGTCCTCGGACTGCATCGAGAGATTCGTCGGGACGTCACTGTCGCCCTGCGACTGCGAGAGAATGAGACTTGAAGAACTTGAGCCACTGCCGAAATTGACCGGCGCATTCAAAGACTCCTCGGACTTAGCACTGGCCATTGATAGAGGATTTGAACCTAATTGCGATGACCTGGCCATCTGATCAGAAGCTTTGCTATCGATTCCGGTCTTCGAGTTTGAATCGGGTATTTGAGTGGTTAGTTTCTCAGCGGCCGCCGAAGTTCGTCTGTCCTCTGAGTTGTGTCGGGCCGACAGTTTTGGAATTTGAAAGTTCGTGTCGAGCTGTTTCATGAGACCCTCCACGCCGAGCAATTGAGGCGGAATTCCAGGAAGATTCTGAAGACTTGACATTGACGCGTGGGCGAGTAATTTGAAGGCCCGCTCGGAGTCGCACTCCTCCCGAAGGGACGTGGGATTTGCCTTGCGGATGTCGCCACTCTTCGAGCTGAATATACTCTTTTCGGTGGATTTTGGAAATCGGGATTTGTCTCGCGATCTGCTGAGGTCCGTGGCACCTGAGCTGGATGTCTTGGGCGAGCCGGTATTGGAAGACGACGAGGAAGACTTGATGGACGTGCTCTTTGTCAGCGAGCTGCTGGATGATAGATTAGAAGTCGAACTGGATTTCATCATTCCGGGGAACTTCTGACTTGGTAGCATCTTGTTTGTACCGGATCCGCAGGTTAATGGAGATGAGATGTGGACTTTGGGTGAAGTTTGCGTTGGTTTCTTGGAAGCTGGACCAGATGTGACGCCTGGTTTCAAGCCTGTGTGTGTCTTGGGCGAACCACTGCCCGAGGACGACGATGATGACGACGACGACGATGTTGATGTTTTCGAGTCTTTCGTTCGAGTTTTGTTGATTGTAATCTTCATGCCGTCGGAACTGTGCTTAACCATGTATTCTGCGGGATTTTTCGAGTCTACCGATGGATTGTTTTTGCTGGCGCATTTGCCCTCGACGCTCATTTTATTCGAGGAAGTGAGTCCGCGCTCCTTCTGCCCGGAGGATCCACTGGAGGTGACGGAGATTTTTGAATTGCCGTTGGAGGCGTCGTCGGTGCAGTGCTGGGCGTTTTTTAGTTTGTCGATTACGGCGCTCAAGGATCCTTTTCGGTTTCTCGCTTGCTGTTGAGCGGTGGCGGATTTGCTTAGTTCGGAAGGCGGTGTTGTGCTGCCGCATCCGGAACTGCTGCTCTGCGCTTGTTGACTAGACTCGCCACTCGAGAGGGACTCCAATTGTTTTGGCTTGCCACACGAGGATTTCGATTTCGGACTTTGATGACCGGAAGAGAATGTCAAAGAGGCTTTGCGGTCTTTGTCGCGTGAGGACTCTTTGCTGGATGACGAGGAGGATGACGAAGACTTGCACTTGGAGGGAGTGCCAATGTCGCTTTTCCCGCTGGACGGTGAACTGGCGGCGGACTTCAAGGCCGACATGCTGGGTTTGCCGGCGCTTCCCGAACTCGCGTGCTTTGGAGACGACGTCCCGTGCTTCGGACTGACACTCGCTGGCATGACTGACACGTGCTTGGGACTGCTGTAGACGGGCGAGTGTTTGGGGCTCTGGACTGGTTTGTTGGAGGGCTGCTTCAAAGTGGGACTGGACTTACCGACGAGGGCTAGGGGGCTCGTGTGTGTGGGAGAGGGACTAAATTTTCTCAGTGTTGTAGCTGGAGATGAGGGTCTAGATGAATTTAGACTTCCTGGTGGTGATTCTGTTGGTTTTATACTAACAGACACGGGTTTTGAAAGAGGATCCTGTTGTTGTTGCTGCTGTTGCGGTTGCTGCTGCTGTTGTTGTTGCTTTGGGGGGAATTTGTCCGGTGGTCCCATTGGACTTTCTTCCCGTTTCCTCTTCTTCTTTTTTTCCAGCTTACTTTTCCCATCGTCGGTACCTGACCGGTTTTTTGAACTCTTACGTTCTCGCCTGTCCTCAATTGAAGCTTTCGTTGTTGGCCCGGTAATTGGCGTGATTGTAATGGAACTCGGAAGATTTGCTTGCGGTGTTGAAGTAATAGGAATGATTTCAATTCCTGGACGTCTCTCGAGTCCCATTCCAGTGAGCACGGAGCTGTAATTAGATTGACCGATTCCGCTGCTTGTGATTGGAGTTATGCTCACGGATGGTGGTACCAAATTTTTGCTCTCTTCAAACGAGCTCGTTGGACTCTTCTTCTCTTCACGTTTCTTTGATTTTCTCTCCTTTTTTAAAACATCTTCGACATTTTGCACCTCCTGAATTTCCATCACATCGTTCTCGGTCTCCGCGTCATAATCTGAACTCTTGTCAGTTCCTATAATATCCGATGATTCGATATTGGAAATTTCTAATCCACCCGATAGGTTGATGGTGGACGTTGGAGTTGGAGTTCGCGCTTCATTCGCGTAGTCTCGACTGCTTGTCGGTGTGCCGAGTGGAGTAGAATCGGAGCTCGAACTTTCCAGTAATATTTCACCAGTATCTTCAGCTTTCCTTTTCGGACTTCTCCACGACCCATCGGCAGTTTTTCTCTTACGGGACTTTTTTGATCGTTCACTTGAGGGATTTGACGAACTTGACATTTTCGCTTGACCAAGAAGAGCACCCAGTTGTAATGGATTTAGCATTGCTGTAGTGGTTGTATCGGACTGGCCGGAAAAGGACGGAAATCCGATACTACTCTCCGTTCCGGCATCTAAAAAAGACTGCTGCTGTTGTTGTTGTTGTTGTTGCTGCTGTTGCTGTTGATTTTGTTGTTGTCTTCCAATTGTTCCTGATCCATTCATTGCTCCTGGCTCTTGCTTGATTTGCACATCATCACTTCCAAAATCCGGTATCCCGGGACCGTTGTGGCCATTTTGATCTCGACCTGGAGCACCGAGATTCATATTAAAGTTCCCATTACCACCGCCTGTTAAATTGTTACCTAACGAACTCCGACCTTCCCAAATTTTAATCAGAGTTCTCATTGTCAGTGGAATGCTGAGGCATCGTTGTAAAACTTTTCCTGTCACTTCAGAGGTTTGTTCGGTATTTCCAAGACTCACTCCATACAGTTTGCATTTCAGAGCGGAAATATCTGTCAAATCTAATAGAGCAGTTGCCATTGTCTCTTCGAAAGGATGCTCCAAACTCACTGATATAGATTGCCAAGAAAGAGCGCTCACTTCGAAGATGGTCGTGTGCTCGGGATCTTGACGTGCTATAGATCTCACGCAACTCGAAATAAGAGTATTGAATAGAGCCTGTTGACGTAAATAGACGAGAATTTGTGGCACGTGAGCAGGATGCGTAAATGGAATACTGCCAACCAGTACTCCCTCCATGTCTTTGTTCTCCGTCATAAAGTAACAATGGTGCTGGTCTGGCAGCGACTACAATAAAAAATAAATCACATTTATTGAATTCTAAATTCAGTCTAGATTCGTTGAAATTAAAAAAGTTGTATATTTACCACGTATAAGCCGCGATTATTCTGACAGTCCAACTGACCATTACTCGTATGTTGAACAATCATGCTCAAAAGGGGATGACAAACAGAAATGTCTCCACATTCAAGCTCTGTTACTTTCTGAATTTTATGTAACAACTCCAAGCACATTGGCATTTTTTTATCTAGTTTCAAAACAAAACACGCTGGCAGTATCGCAGAATTCGTACTCGTTAAAATAGCGTATGATGGTGTGCTGAAATAATTTTTTAACAAGAATGTAATATAAACATTTTTTATTATTGTTGTCATTTCGAAATATCAGATATAAATAATAACTGATTATAAACTTACCTTTTTCCACTGGAACTTCTACTAACTGTAATGATACTTGATGTAGGTAATTTATGGGCTGTGGAACCTTCCAGGCAAACGGTAACCGAGTAACCAATTTTTTTTGTTATTACTGTTTCTATGCTTAATAATTCGGAACTTTGATTTTCTTGGTCAATTAAATCATACGGCGACACAAAATATGTTAATTTCATGGCATGTCCACCTTTTCTTCTCTCTAAAATTCCTATTTATCAAATAAAATATTACATTATAATCAATTATTTAAAAAACCAAACAAGCATGATAAATGTTACAACTCACCAACTGGACTTTTGTGTACAAGATTAAATGGTTCTTTTATAAAAGTTTGCAATTGCGCGAGAACACCCAAGTCTGCTTCAAGGGATTGTAAAGCACTAAATGCTTTACACTTTACTTTTTTATCAGCGTTTAATTGATAAATTGAAACAAGTCCCTCTAATTGTGTTGTAAAATCGACAAAATCACCTTTCGATAAACAAGCAACGAGCTCTTCACAATTCTAAAAGAAATTATTTTCTATTTAAAAAGAAATGTTGCGATAAAAAAAATCCTAATAAAAAAACTATCCAAACTACGTTCGTGTAAAGTAACTTATTTTCTTTCCTACCTGCTGCTCATTTTTTCCCTCATGATGAATTTTTACATTTTTTACAGCACCCGAAGGTTCAAGTATGACTTCCAGAAAAAACATATCCGAGGATATAAATAATTCATCAGACATCATGAACTTTAAACTGAAAAAAATATTTACAGTTTTATAATAAAATATAAATTCCATGAAAAGAAATGAAATGAAATTTTCTTGCATTACCCTAATTGTCTTGTGAGACTTTCCAAACGTTCTACCATTGATTGGAAGGAAGTCACTTTTATGGAATGTTGTAAACTGTCGAGACATTTTTGAAGTTGTAATTTTTCAACACTGTCTATTACAAATCGTTTTTCCTAAAAATCAATTATATATTAAATACACTTTATAAAAATAAAAGATTAAAATAGGTTACGTTAAAAAAAAGATTAAAAACACTTAATAACTTACCAAGATAGTACTTCGTAAACTTTTTGCAGTTTCAACAAGTGAACAACAAGTTGCCTTAGAACGCAATTTTTCCATTAACAATTCCATTTGCCATTCTTTTCCCTTGTCCACACTACTTTTAGTAGTGTTTCCTCCATTTGTTGTATCCATGTAGCCTTTTATAGATGTACTCATAATTGTGAATTCACTTTTTAATACGCGACCTTACATTATGACACACTAATGAACTTGAATATTCAAATGAAAATTCTTTAACAATTAGTATACTTGATCGGCTTGGAAGAACTTTAACCATCAAATAATTGTAAAATCATCATGCAAAGCCAGCAGGGAGGACAAGAAATAACAATTTAATGACATTCAAGTAACGAGTTCAGTGAACAGTTTACGTCCATTTTGCTTTTTGACCGTTGTTGACAGCGTTGACAGCTCAACAGCGACATCTCAATTTGGCAACGTCGCACTCCACACCTGTTTAGGCGGTAATTTCAAACATAACATTCTCCATATATTTTTCCTTACACTTTCACGATTTAATTTAATATTTTATTTTAAATAAATAATATACTTTAAAGAGATACTTGAGTTGATTTTAAAAAATAAAGCATGCAAAATTGCTGAGAGAGTAGAGAATTTTATTTTCAAAAAGAAAAAAATGAGAGCGCCATCTAATTAATTTTTCTAACCTTTTTTGAAACTTGTAACCAATTGGCAAGTTTGGCAACAATGTCTGTCATTGTTGACAGTTTGACATGCTTAACGCCACGTGCTTGAAACAAACATTTTTTTTTAATTTTGATAAACAATATGAGTTTTTCGGTTTGTAATAATGATATCGTGCTTTGTAGTGGTGAAAATATTGTTGTCTACAATATTGAAAAAAATGAAGAAAATATCATTACTCTTCCTAGATTAAATAATCTCCAAGAAAATAATACTCATAATAACGAAGAAATTGAAGCATTTCATACATTGATGAGTGTTAATTTTTCAAAAGACGGTGAATATTTGGCTGTCTGTACAAATCGAAAACAACTTTGTCTGTATAAAAGAAGAGAACTTGAAATTGTCTCCAACAGATGTTTAGTTCGTGCTGCAAGTAAAGTTTGTTTTACAAAAAGTAATGATATCGTTGTTGCTGACAAATCCGGCGATGCATATTTATTTTCCACCTCTAAACCCATGGAAAATGGAAAACTTCTTTTAGGTAAATCTTAATAATAATAATAATGTTATATTAATTTTTTTTCTAAAATTGTGTAATATGAAATGTATATTTTTTTAGGACATCTCTCTATGCTTTTGGACATTTTGGTAACTTCGGACGAAAAGTACATCATTACAGCAGATAGAGATGAAAAAATACGAGTCTCAAAATATCCGAATTGTTATAATATTTCTGCCTATTGCTTGGGACATAAAAAGTACGTGAATAACGTAGTGGAATTACCACATCAGCGTGAAATTTTAATTTCTTGTGGTGGCGATGGTCAGTTCATATTCTGGAATTACAAAAGTGGAAAAGAAGTTTACCGTTTTCCATTTGAACATAATTTACAAGATGCGGATGTCAAGAAATTTGAGAAACTTTTAGAAGAAATGAATGTTGAAGAATCCATAGCCCATTTTCCAGTGAAGCAAATGCAAATAGACAATATTGACAATTCAACATCAATAATTTCTATTAGTTTTTTCTGTTGCACAACAGTGTTTATTTACAGTGTAAAAGGAACGAAAGACACGAATCTAACAATGAATTATATACAAGAAATTAGCATTAAAGAAGAGCCTTTAGAATGTCTTTTGTATAAAAATCGACTTTGGATTTTAACGAACGTGAAACTTGATGTTTACAAATTGAAGGATAACGCTTTTTCCAAGGATGAGGAAATGATGGGAAAAATTTGCAAATTAAACAAGGTGTGGGAAAAACTAAGAAGTGATTCTTGTGATAAAACTCTATTTCCTATTTTGTATAAAAGAAAATTTGACAATGTACAAGAATATCAGGAGAAAAAAAAATGTCGTTTAAATGAAAAACAATCGTTAGAGAATTTTCCATAAAGACTGTTTATAAAGTTTATAAATTAAACGTGTATAATTGTATAAGCCTTTTTGTTATTATTTACTTACAATTGTATTTATAAAATTATTGTAAAGTTAATTTATCGCAATTACAGGAGAAATTAATTTTTTTTTAATTTATATATATTTTTCTGATTTTTTTTTGTATAATGAAACAATGAAAATTTTAATGATTTCACACTGGCTTATAGTCCAATTTCGATTCGAGTTTTTTATTATCGGAAACTTTTCTCACTGCTTTCATAAAATCTTCCTGCACCACATATTCTCGTTCAAGACGAATCGCAAATAAACCTGCTTCTGTACAAACGTTTCTTAGATCCGCGCCATTGAAACCGTCCGACAACTTTACCACAGCTTCATAATCTAAAAAATAATTTACAAAATATTTCAATTAAAAAAGATTTTTAACTTCAAGACTAAAAGGATTTTTAGAAAATTCTCACCGATATCTCCATGTTTAGCGATAGGACAAGCATGAATTTTCAAAATTTCCAGTCTAGCTTGTTCATTGGGCAGTGGGATTTCTATTTTTCGATCGAGTCTTCCAGGTCGTAGGAGAGCGGGATCTAAAGTGTCAGGTCGATTTGTCGCCATGATCATTTTCACTTGACCCAGAGAATCGAAGCCGTCCATTTGATTCAAGAGTTCCATCAGCGTTCGTTGTATTTCACGATCTGCACTTGTACCTTCGGAAAATCTACGTCCACCTTAAGAAAAAAGTCAATTTATCAATTTTTTAAAAAAAGTTTTCATTAATTAAATCAAGAAAAGAAATTTCATTTACCGATCGCATCAATTTCATCCATAAATATAATGCACGGTTGATGATCACGAGCATAGTTGAACATTTCTCTAATTAATCGGGCGGATTCACCGATGTATTTGTCAACAATCGCACTTGAAACGACTTTTAAGAAATTTGCATCTAACTGACTTGCCACAGCTCTGGCCAGTAATGTTTTACCCGTTCCTGGTGGTCCGTAAAGTAAACAACCCTTTGGCGGTGTAATTCCCACTCTTTGGAAAAGTTCTGGATTTAAAAGTGGTAACTCGATTACCTCTCTCAATTCGCGAATTTGTTCACTCAAACCACCAATCGCGGAATATGTCACGTCTCCCGGATCTTCGTGAGACATGTTATAAACGAGTGGATCAACCTAGAAGTTAAATTAATTCAAAATAGTCTAATCTTTAAAAATTTAATTAATTAATTATCTTCTAATTAGTAAAACTTACTTCACGGGGTAAGTAACGCATTATAGTCAGTGTCGTCATGTCGAGAGCAACTCGAGTTCCAGATTTAAGTTTATTTTTATCCAACTGACGTCTACATCCAACAACGTAACGTGGTCCATTTGTAGCTTTTACAATAACTAAAGAAAAATATGACAAGTAAATTTCTACTTCTTTCTGACTAAAATTTCTAAAAAATAAATCTATGTATATTAAAACTTACACTTTTCTTCCGTGAGTTGTTTTAAAACTTCCCCCACAATCTAAAAATTGAATTCTTAAATTATTTCTCAAATTATTCAAAAATTATCTCTAACTTGAGATTTCTTTTCTTTATTAAGAAAAATCAATTTAAAATTCACTGATCATAAAATTTAAATATCAAGAATAAAATATATACAAACCTGACCAACACTTTGTAAAGCTTTTAGATCATTTTCTGATTTGTCATATTGCTTTGTAAGATCCTTGAGATGCTCTCGCACTGTAAATAAACATCAAATGGTTAATTGTTTTCTATTAAAAAAATAGTTTTCTTCCTTTAAGTAAGTTATTAACGATTATGTGTATGATTTTCATTGTTAATGTTTTTCTCAAGACAGACCGAAGTGACAGTATAGGTTAAGTTAACTACTTTTTACAAAAAAGTTATGAAATTTATATGGAAAATTGAAGAATATAAAAAAGCTTACTCTCTTTGAGGCGAGATTCCACCTCCTTGTGCTCCAATAACTTTTTTCTATAATCTTGAAGAGCTTTTTCTCTAACAGAATCCACTGCGGTCGCCATTTTTACTTATTTTGCTGTATAACGATCTAGGAAAAAGTAACTTTATAGAAACACCACTTTGCAGTCAGAAAAGTCTTCAAAAATAAGGGTGCGGTCACAATTCACTGCCACAGGCAATTTGCACCGAAAGCTTATGGCGCACTCACACCTTTGGTGGAGCAACTAGAGTAAAGGAGAGAAAACATATTTTGCATTGTCTGACTCTCTTACTCTTATATGTTACCATGACAACCTGCAGGTAGGCAGCAACCAAAAAAAAAATAAAAGTGTCCAAAACACGTAAAGTGTCGTGTATTTGGAAGATTTGATGCAATTTGAAGGTTCCCCTTTGTGTGTGTAAATTTTGAGTGAATGAACCCTGATTTCAATATGATAAATCAAAATGGCGATGGGCACAGTCGCAAAGTATCTGTAACCTCAAAAAAACCTTGTCTTTTTATCCAAAAGTGCGTTAGTTTAGTGAAGTTGATATTTAAAAATAGAATTTATTTATTAAATTTCTATTAATAAGAATATAATTATTAAAAAAATAAGCATAATTTATTGACGTTGTTTCAAGCAAACTAAATAATTCAGTATTTCTCACTAACAGTTAATTTTGCAAATTTATTTCATCTAATATGAAATTTATAAAGAAAATTGCGATGAAATAGTAATGCTTCCTTCTACCGGTTATTTCAAAACAATCAATTGTCCTTTTTACGAAAGTGGTTCATGTGATAGACCCTACTGCCACTTTAAACATGCTCGAAAAGGTAAATTTTAAAAATATTTTATCATCGCCTTATAAGAACTCGGTAACCTAAATTTGTAGTCATTTTTACTTTTTATTTTATGTTCTAAACACTCATATTTATTTTATTAGATTTACTTTCGAACTTTATTATTGTTAATTTCGCTTTATGTATTTTTGCTACAAATATTCGTATATATTTTACTATTTTTAATAAATTTTTCTTTATTTCAAGTTTAGTTTTAACTATTGAGTAAAGAAAGAACTAAAATAATAAAGAAACTGTAGTTTTGATAAATTTACAAATTTTATTTATTGATCCTTTTGTTTCAAGTGTTTATTAAAATTCAGGGTTGCTACAGGTCAAGGAATACAGAAACGTCAGGGAAACGTCAGAGAAAGTAAAATTGGTTAGGGAAATCAGAAAAAATCAGGGATTTTTATTGCGAGTACTGTAAAAAAGTAAATTTTTAGAATTCATAAGAAAATTCTGAATTAGAATACAAAACCATAAATTTTTTTTATTTTTAACAATAATTTCTTTTTAAATAACTTAATTCTTAAAGAACTATCATAAAATTATTACTTATACATTATTTAATTATAATAATTTTAATGAAATATTTCAAAATTAGTTTAAAACAGTTGCGTTTACAATTTTCATAAACAGATGAACTTCAAAAGGTTTTAATTTGAAATTTCATAAAATTTAATTAATTTAATTACAAATGATTGAGGAAATTCAATTATTTTCAAATATCTATATAAATAATGAAATTCTTCTCCGAAATTCAATTATTTTCAAAAATTTAAATAAAATTCTTGTCAAAATTTCAATTATTCTTATAAATAATAAAATTCTTTTCCAAAATTCAACCTATCAAAAATTTTAATAAAATTCTTGTAAAAATTTCAATTATTTTTATATAAGATTTTTTCACACAAATTCAATTTTTCATAAATAATAAAATTCTTTTTAGGAATTCAATTATTTTCATAAATAATAAAATTCTTCCTAGAAATTCAATTATTTTCAATACAGTTTTAAATAAATTTTAATAAATCTCTTGACAACAATGAAAATTATTTCCACAAACTTTAATAACATTTTTTTAAGCAATTAAATTATTTTCAAAAATTTTAATAAATTTTCTGGGAAGAATTTAATTATTTGCACAAAAAATACAATTCTAAGTTTTAATCAACTTTTGGGCAAAAAATTAATTATTTCAGATTACAAATTATTGAATTCTTTCAACGAATTTAAGAATTTAGTTAAAAGTAAATTCCTCGAAACAATTTTAATAAAATTCTTCTCTAGAATTCAATTATTTTTGCAAATTTTTTTGAATTTCCTTGGAAAAATTCAATTATTTAAAAAAAAATAAATTCTTCGGAGGAGTTAAATTATTTGCAATACAATAATAAAATAATTATATAACAGTAATAAAATTGTTTACATAGGAATTCACTTATTTCTAGTCCAATTTAATAAAATTTCTCGAAAGTATTTCATAAAGAATTTAAAACTTCAATTATTTAGAGAAATTCAATTATTTTCAGAAATTTTAATAAAATTCTTTCAAAAAATTCAATTATTTTCAAAAATTTAAACAAATTTCTGTTAAGAATTTAATTATTTGAATTAATCGAATTTTTTTTTTGAAAATTAGTTTACGTTTTTATTTTCTAATATATATTTAATTAAAAAATTTCCGAATAATCGATGAAAGTTCGTAAAATTGAATGTAAACATATCGAATTGAAAATTCTCAAAGAACTTTTTTAAAAACTATTGAACATAGTTGATTTAATGAAGAATTTTAGTTATAAAATTGTAGAAAATAATAATTGAATTGAAATTATGAAAATAATTTTGAAGGAGTAAGAGTAACAATATTTTTATAATATAAAATAATGATTTTATCATTCGGTGAACTTTAATTATTATAAAACATGAAGAAAGTAGATTTCTTTATGTTTTCTATACAAAATTAAATTTTTGTGGCAACCCTGACAATTTTTTCTTTATTTAAAGTTTTGTTTCAACTTTTATTAAGTATTTTTTATTAAGTAAAGAAAAAACTAAAAAAATAAAGAAACTAAATTTTTATTGTATATATTTACGAAATTTTTAATTTATTGTTCCTTTTGTTTCAAGTGTTTATTAAAATAATTGTTATATTTTTTATTCTTAGCACTGTATTATTTGACATGTATTTTAAAACAAATTTTTTAATTTTTATAAAGCAAACCCCTCCTCTGCAGATGATACGACTAACATTTTGGGTTTATCAACGCCGGAAACGACGGAAACAGTTCAGGCTAAAATTAACGAGAATGTAGGGACAAATTTGGTCGCAACTCCTGACTCAGACGCGTTACAAAAATTAGTGACAGAAACAGTGAAGAAAATTCTTGCCACTCAAGAGGTTTCCGATACTGATAAAATTTCTGAAAATATTGTAACAAAAGTCGTCGAAGAATTAAAACCAACACTCGCGAGTGCATCTTTGGCCTCATCTTCCACAGTTCCTGAACCACCACTAACTAACGAAGAATTAGGAAAGCATACCGGTGTCCCATCATCAATTTCCAAATGTGTATACAATCCAACTCCAATTGCAGAATTAAAAAAGCGTCACATCCCAATTGCTTCGTATATACCGACAAGGGAGAGTAAAGTGTCAGTCAAGAGGAAAATCTCTCCAGACAGAAGCAAAAGTCTACTCTCCTTTATTCACGGATCTGACAATAATTATTCTAGTAACGAACTTTATAAGCCAACATCGATAGGCGCTGTAGACACTGCTTCAATTCCGAGTTACGTTCCAACAACAAAATCCGACTCTTCGCCAGCAAATTCCTACGATGATAGCAATTCTAGTGAATATTGTCCGAGAAAGTCAAAGGAACAGTACTTTCCAAAGGTGAAGAAGAGAAGAGAAGAGTACGTTCCCAGAAGAATAAAGCACCCTCTGAAAACAGTGCAACAATTAGAGGAGAGCATAGAAGAAGATACTGTTTTAGAGTTTGCAAGAAAATTCGAAACAATCGACAATCTCCTTTTGGAAGAGAAGACAGACATCGATCCAACTAATGAAGAAGAATCCCACGACTACGAGAGTTTAGATCCCAAATTTTCCGATGACGAATCCGAGGATGACAATTTAATCGCATTAATCAATCAAGTGGAAGATTTGGAATCGAAAGTAGAAAATTTAGAAGAGAAAGAAAATACAGATATTGAACTATTCGACAAAAAGGAGGAGACTACAGTAGCAACGAGTCATAAAAGTAGTTCAAAATCAAGTCGAAAAGAACATTCTTCATCGAGTAGTAGTTCCAAGCCTCAATCAACTGATACAAAGAGAGAGAAAAGCAGGTCTGAAAAATCTCATGTATCGAAACACGATGAGAAGAAAAGGGACGAGGGCAAAAGTAGGGATAAAATTTCCAAAAGTGGAGTGACTAAAGATAAGCATAGTAGTTCAAAAAGTAAGGAACGCTCATCGTCGTCTGGTGGAAGCAAGGATAGGAGTAAGGAAAAGGACGCACATAGGGAAAGAGAAAAGGATAGAAGTAGCGAGAGGAGTAAGAGTTCAAAAGATGGTAAAAATAAGGATAATAAGGATAGCAAGGATAATAAGGAAAGTAAAGAATCCAAGGATCTAAAAAGTAAGAGCAAGAAGGATTATAAATCCGACAAGGAGAAAGAGGGATCAAGAGATAGTAAACAAGACAAGCACAAGTCCGATAAACATAAAACTAAATCCAAGTCAAGTTCCTCGAGTTCTAGAAAAGATAAACATAAATCACATAAAAGTGATGAGAAACATCACTCGAGTCATAAATCTAATAGTTCGAATCATAAGCACAGTAGTTCTAGTAAGAAATTAAAATCCAAGAGAGATAAATCCGATGATGATGATGACAGAGATTTTGGATCTGAAATCGAAGGAATGCATAATAGTTTCGAGAATGAAGAAGCAATGGAAATTTCTGATTCTGATCACGATGTTGAGGAAGAGTGCTTTAAAATCTTTCAGGTATTCAAATTCATTATTAATTCAATAATTTCTTTTTAAATTAAATGATTAAATCTATTTTAATAATCGTTGTATTTCCCTAGACTCTTAGTTGTTTTTGTTTGCTCTTTTGTTTCCTCATTTTTCTTTTTAAATAATAATTCATATAAATTCTTATTTACTGCTTTGAAGATTAAAAAATAAAAATTAAACAAAATTTTTCAAATCGATTTGTTTACATTCAATTTTACGAACTTTCATCGATTATTCGGAAATTTTTTAATTAAACATATATAGAAAATTAAACGTAAAATAATTAAAAAAAAAAATCCAATTAAACTTTACAAAAAAAATTCTACTGAATTTTTAGTTAAAAGTATGATGAAGTATTCAAATTTTCAAAATTTTTAAGATTAATTACATTTTTCGAGAAATTTGATTAAAATTTTATTAAAAATACTTGAAATTCTGCGATGAGTTTGATTATTTATGAAAATAATTGAATTCATGCTAAGAAATTTCTAAAAAATTGGTAAATTATTAAATTCCTGTGAAATTTTTATTATTTATGAAAATAATTAAATGTTCGTATAGAATTTTAACAAAATATTTTTTAAATAATTGAATTCTTTTGGAAAATTCTATTAAAATAAATTAATTAAAAATCATCGAATTGAGGAAAATTTATGAAAATAATTGAATTAGTTCAAAGAAATTTATTAAAATTTGTGTAAATAATTTTCATTGTTTCCAAGAATTTTTTAAAATTCTATTGAAAATAATTGAATTTTTACAACGAATTTTATTATTTATGAATATAATTGAATTCATGTGAAGAATATTATTATTTATTCAAATAATTAAATTCTTAACAAAAAAATGATTGAAAATTTGCAAAAATAATTGAATTCTAAAGAAGAATTTTATTAAAATTGTTTCGAGAAATTTAGTTTTAACTAAATCCTTAAATTCGTTGAAAAAATTCAAATCTGAAATAATTAAATTTTTGGTTCAGAAGTTTATTAAAACTTAAAATTTTATTTTTTGTGCAAATAATTAAATTCTTTCTAGAAAATTTATTAAAATTTTTGAAAATAATTGAATTGCTTAAAAAAATATTATTAAAGTTTGTGGAAATAATTTTCATTGTTGCCAAGAATTTTATTAAAATTTTTTTAAATTGTATTGTATTGAAAAAAATTGTATATTGTTTCGAAGAATGTTTTAAATTATACTAAAATTAATTGAATTCTTGTACAGAATTTTATCAAAAACATTGAAATTATTAAATTCATTCAAGAAATTTTATCAAAATTTTTAAGAATAATTGAATTCCATTTAATTGAAATTGTATTGAAAATAATTAAATTTCTGCGAAAAGTGTTATTATTTCTAAAAATAACTGGATTCTCGTAAAGAATATTATTAAAATTTTTGAAAATAAGCGAATTTTTTCAAAGAATTTTATTAAAACTTGTCCAACAATTAAATTCTGTCGAAGAATTATTAAATTAAAATTGTATTAAAAGTAATTGAATTTTTTGTAGAATTTTATCAAAAATTTTGATAATGATTAGATTCTTTCAAATTATAATAAAAATTTTATTATTGTAATAAAAAAATAATTATAAATTCTTCAAATCTTTGAAAATAATTGAATTGTTTGGAAGAATTTTATAAAAGTTTTGAAAATAATTTATTTGTTTATTATTTATTTATTTGTTTTATTTATTTTAGTTAAAATTGTATGAAGAGTGGAAAATTAATATTTAAATATAAAAATATTCAAATCCTATCAAGAAGTTTGTTTGAAATTGTGTTGAAAATAATTCAATTCCTTCGAAGAATTTTCTTTTTCTTTTAAATAAATGAATCTATTTCTTGAATTGTTTCAAGGAATTTTATCAAAGTTTGTAAAAATAATTGAAATTTTGAGAAGAATTTTATTAAAATTGTTTTGTTGAATTCAATTAAAAGTAATTAAATTCTGTCGACGAATTTTATAAAAAATTTCAAAAATATGGAAGATCTTTCGAGGAACTTTATTTAAATTATATTGGAACGTTGAATTGATTGAAATATTGAAATTAAATTTTATTTTTAATCTATTCAGGAATACGAAGTAGCTGATCATTCAAAAGATGTTACCAAGAAACAATCTCACAAGCGACATATCAAGGAAGTTGAAGACGTCGAGGATGTTGTGGTTAAAAAGAGAATTGCTTATCCTTCGGCAACTTCGATGTCGAGCCAATTGCCTGAGCGAAAAGAGCCTAAAAAAGTTGTGAATCCACACCAAAAATTGTACGATCGATGGAGATTACTAAAAGCAGCGGCAGCGGCAGCAACAAGTACTTTGGATAAAAATGATGAATATGTTCCTGAACAGATAAAACCCACGAGTAGTAAATATATCAGTGAAACATCAATCGAACCCTCTTCTTCATATAAGAATGAATCGCAGCTCAATGGAAACGGTAAATTTTTCTTCATTCAGCTTTATATTTTAAAACTTTAAAAATGTTTATTATCTTTATCGTACTTGAATGGAAATTTATCCTTTAGGTCGAATAAGAATCGCTCATGTACCATACGCCATGTCTCTGGCTCTAGAGAAGAAGAAAGTTTTAGAAATAGCGTCGAACGCTGTAACGAAGACAGCGGCCCAGACAGCAAAAACTGGCTCAAGAGTTGCTCATGTTCCCGTCGTGGTATGCATTTTCAAATAATAAACCATCATTTCATTTATATTTTAAATTAATATTTTTTTACTTTTCGTTTAATTCACAGTTTAAATTAATTTTTGATTAATTTATAGTTAAATTTTTTTAATTTACAGTTTAATTTTTGATTAATTTATAGTTTAATTTTAAAAAATTGATTTCGATGCTTACAGATACCGCAGTTAATTCGCCCAGAACCAATTCAAGTGTCAACGCAAAAGTTTCCACCTAACGTTCGTCAACATTATGTGAATATGATGCAAGATATTTGTGTTCAAATTTACACAAACGGCGACGATGCAGTGAATCGGGCGACTCGGGAAGAATTCGCCTGTCATGAACGGTGTAAGGCTTTGCCTGTCTATAAGAATTCTTGTATGCTTGCTGCGCATAGATTGAGAAAGGAAGTAGATCAGGGAACGGACACTTCCTCAATGTCATCTGCAAGTGGAATAGTTTCTCACGAAGCAGTTCTAGCTGGAAAATCAAGGGGTTCGTGGAGCGTAATTAAAAGTAAAAAATCCGTGGCAGATTTGCATGGGGCGAATCTTTATTATATGCTCTCAAAGTGGATTTTAACTGATCAGCAATTAAAAGATAATGGATTTCCAAGACCTCATCCGGATGGACCAAGGGTAATTATTATTATAAATTCCTTTATAATTTATCTAGTTTTATTATTAATAATAATAATTTACTATATTCTTATTAATTGAATATTTTTTTACAGGGTCGAGCAAAAGTTTATGTAATTAATACTAGGAATCATTCAATTATATCTAAAGTGCCTAACGAGAGATTTTGTAGCCGTTGCAATCAGCCCTACATTATCGATCGATTTGGATTTCCAGTTAAACAAGAAAATTGCATTTATCATTACGGTCGTAAATTTACTTTTCGGGGTGAAGGAAAATACAGTTGTTGTCAACAAGATAGTTCTGCGAGTGGTTGCTGCGATGCAAAATCACATGTCTGGGAATATGTAGACGTAGAAAATCTTCGAGGCTACGTCACTACATTACCAAAAGGTAACTGATTTAGATTTTTATGCAAAAATATTTAAATAGACTTTTTCTTCTAAAATATTTATTATAAACATTGTGAAGAGAAAGAGATTTTTGTAAAGTTATAAAATTGTAAAATACTTGTTAATTTCAGAGAGCGATCTTCCACCGGAAGAACAAGGGGTTTATGCTCTTGATTGTGAAATGTGTTACACAACAGAAGGTTTAGAATTAACTAGAGTAACAGTCATTAATGAAGATTGTCAGGTTGTTTACGAAACGCTGGTCAAGCCTGAACATCCTATTCTTGATTATAATACAAGGTATTTTATTTTGAAAATAATTTCTTTCCTTCATTTCCGCAGTATTCTTGTTGAAATTAATTTTAATAAATATAAATTATTACATCAGATTCTCAGGGATAACTGAAGAAAATATGAGAGATGTTTCAACGACACTACTCGACGTTCAAGCAACACTTCTCACATTGTTTTCCGATAAAACTATTTTAATAGGTCATAGTTTAGAAAGCGATTTCAAAGCGTTGAAACTTATACACGACACGGTAGTGGACACTAGTGTTATGTTTCCTCATCGAAATGGCTATCCACAAAAGAGGGCACTTAAGAATCTTTGTTCGGAATATTTACGAAAAATAATACAGAATGATGGTAAGCAATCTTTTTAACTTAAATTCTTCTTCGAAATTCAATTATTTTCAAAAATTTTCCTCAATTCAATGATTTTCAATATATCTACTATTTTCATAAAATTCGCCGCAAACATTTAATTATTTTCATAAATAATAAAAATTTCCACTAATTTTACTATTAAAAAAAATGAGCAAATAAATGTAATACAACATTTTTTTGAGTATTTAATAATTGTTAGAATGAATTAGAATATTCTTGAGGGTGAGAGAAAAAGTCAAAATCAGTCAGAAAAAAGTCTGGAAATCAGGGAAAAGTCTGGGCAAAAGAAAATTAATTTTTTTTGTCAATCCTGAAGTTATTATTCTTTTTCCAAAAGATAATTTACGGACAAAAAATAGTAAAAAATTGTGAATTTTTAATTTTTCAGTTGGTGGACACGACAGTAACGAAGACGCAATGGCTTGCATGGAATTAGTTTTATGGAAAGTTAAAGAAGAGGCAAAATTAATTTAATTTATAATTTACATCTTGTTGGGTGCACCAAAAAGAAAATAAAACAGTGAGGGTCATTGTTAAAAACCGGAATGATTTAGTGAATTTTTCTTAATCTCAGTTAAATAGTATTACACTATTCTACTGCCAAATGTATTATAGCTTTCATGTATAAATATGTAATATAAGCAATTGAAATTCGTACTTTCTTTAAATAATTTGTAATATCTGTATTTTTCGAGAAAACTCGTTAATTGTTTTCGATTTACACGTGCAAAAACCAAAAAAAAAATTTTGACAGCTATTTTGACCGACCGTTTTCAAAGTGACATCGTTATTCTTGTCCTATAATATTTCAATTAATATTTTTGTACTGCGTTAATTATTTATATATATGTACTACTTTAGGATACATTAAAATTGACAAATAATTTAAAGAAGCCTTCTTTTTTACGTACATTGTGTGCAATTAAATTATGCCAAGACGATTTTTTGAAGAATACTTTTTTTTATTTTTTTATTTTATCAGATGTTCATTTTTTACAAGTTTATACAAATTTACAGAAAGGTAATGCTGTTTATTGTTTGTAAAATAGTTTCACATTCGAGATTCTGTTCTCTTTTTAATTATTCGTACAATTTACTTTTTTATCCATTTACTGTACATTATTATTGTCCCCTGTTTTTTTTTAAATTACGGAGTACAAAGTAACAATTATTGTTTGAGAACAAATTTTCTTGGCTGGTCTCTTTGGGAATTAGTGAATATAAGGAGGGAGGCAATATACAAATATACAAAAATATACATTATATAAATAAAGGAGACAAAGATACATTTTCAATCTTAGGCCAATAATTTAGCTTAAAATTTTCTAGAATTGTTACACTGAAAAAAACGTTACTGAGCAATAGTGCAAATTTTCTAGATGTATATAAATGCTCAGAATATTAGTTTGTACATATAAAAATAATAAAGTTGAGGCGAACTCTGTGATGTAAATTTTATATTCAAAAAAATCAGTAACAAGATTTTTTCAGTGCAATTGCTCCATTGTATTTCGCCGTACACATTTTTTTTATATAAATACTGGAGCTTTCGAACAAACTGATAAACTTTTCAAAGACTAAATATTAGCCTTCTATAAGGAAATGTATTAGGTTTCTTCCTAGTTTATTTATAATATTTACATGAGACGAAACAATTGCTTTTTTTCTACTATTGTTTTCAGAAAATATTCTAAACATTGCTTTCATCGACTATCTACTTTCTTATTATAAAGATACGGCGCTAATGTGCACATTTGGAGAATAAAACGGATAATACTGTTAAAACAATACGTGACTTTTCTTAATATTTATTAAAAAATTTCACTGATAATTAAATTATTATTTTTAAATGTTCGTTTTTCTTGTAAAATACACACCTTTCTTCAATAAGAATATTTTGTCACTAATTTTCTCGCAATTTCATTGGAAATAATTTTTTTAATTTAATAAAAAATTGAACACATATTGAGGAAGATTTTTTTAAAACAATTTTTACATTTTTTACAGCAAAAACAATTTTTTCATTACCTCTACTGTATTTTACTACAAGAATCTACGTTCCTAAAGTTTTGAACGTTCAAGTAAATGATTTTTTCTTTAAATTCAAATTTTGTTATAGTTTAAATATTTGAATTTAAATTTAAAATTAGAGTCAAACGTCTTTTTAAAAAATATAATAATATTAATTTCAAATCAGTGTTAAATTTACATTATTCATTTCTAAAATATTTGGTCTTATTATTTAACGAAAAAATTCCTTTTTTGAACGTTCAGAATGTTTTGAACTTAGAATCTCAAATTTTTCGCATAATTCCTTTTTAATTATTTCGAAAAAATTTTTGTTTAACTTAAACTTAAAAAATATTTTAATTAGTTAATTATTACTTGTTACTGTATCATCCTTTTTTCAATATGATATACAAGAATTTCATACTTTTGTGCGCTCTATTTTCACATTTTTCATTTTTCTATTATGTTTGTAAAATTCATTTTTCTTATATTTACAAAATAAGAAAATTAATTTTTCTGTTAGATAAATAGATTTAAAAAATATATAATTTACTTATTAATCAGTGAAAAATTCACTGAAATATAGTTATTCTTTATTTCCTAAAGCTTCTAAAATTAAGCCTGAGGACTATTTCCTATCATCTTTTATGATTTTTCTTTTTAATCTATCAAGGCAACTAATTCAAGACACATATAGACTTAAATCAGTTTTACGGTTGATTTTTTTTTATTCCTTCTAAGTTTTTCAAATTTTGATATGATTTACATTGATTTCCTTTTTTAAAACTTGATCGACTTTTTAAATTTGTCCGATTTTTTAAAAATTGTTATTGCAAGCTAAATTCTAACTAACTAGGAGCTTTCAGGTTTTTAAATGATTTTGAAATATCGGCCTTTTAAATATTAGGGTGTCATGTAAAAAACAAGTTGCCTTAATAATAATTTTTTAAATTTACAACTAAACAAATAAATAAAATTACAATTTTTTTTGCTAATTGAATTTAACAATATTTCAATTCTCATTGCCACTTGCATACTTAAAATTGGAAATCGTATAACTATCTACTTTAAAAAGTCTTCGCTTCTTGGCAAGAATTTTTTAAAATTAATTTTGCGAAAAAATTTTAATTTTTCGAATTCATTTTTTAAAATTAATTTTTCGTATTATTTTTTTAATAACTTTTATGAATTTAATTAATTTCTTTAAATTCATTTTTTAATGTTAATTTTTTAAACATTATTTTTAAATATTTAAAATTTTATATATAAATTATTAAAATTATTTCTTTAATTTCATTCTAATATTAATAAAAATTAAATCTGCTTTGCATTTCTAACCAGATTTTGATATAATAAAAAAATGAATATTTGGAATTGTAAAAACAATTGTCAACGTGGATTTTTGCAATGAATAAAAAACTTACACAATGAAGACTCGGACAATTTTCGATAAGAACAGCATAAATCTTGGAAAGTTTTCTTGACACGATATTTTGCTTGATGCTTTCTTATCTCAGCATTCTCAAGTAGGAATGCCATTAAACAGTCTTTATTCTTTCAGAATAAAATGCTTCCTATTCGAATTTACTCCAAAATCGGAAGCACCTGAAATGAGAAATTTAATATTAATTAATTATACGGACAATGCCTATTCGTTTATTAGTTTATAAACCCATTTATTAATTAATAATTGGAAATATTAAATAATATGAATTGAAACGAAAATACATTACACTTGCTCATTAAGGCTCCAAGGCGTCATCAAATTCTTGATCTCCAACAAGGTACAAAAATTGGAATGCAATTGCAAGGAGGCTGATTCCCAAAAGATCGCCCATTGCAGTCAAGTACGGAATAGCCGAATTATCAGGATCAATTTTTCTCTTCCACATCCAGTGAATCATAATGTAGGCGATATATAAAAGAGCTGCAACTTGCAAAACGGCTGCACATAAATAAACGAAGACAAAGAGAGGAGTTAAAGATGTGTTGCCATCTTTCATGTAATTAATCAAGTAAATGAAAATGATATGTCCTGGTATAACCATTGTCATTAGAACCCTAGTAGTCCTTGCATGCAAACCTGCAATTCAAAAAGTACTATTAATTATTAGTAATTAATTTATTATTATACTTAATAATTCTTAATTAAGAGATTAACTCTTTCTTATAGGAGATTTTCTTCCTTGAATTCTTCCAATTCTTTAAACATTTTTTTAAATTTTATTTGAAATTCTTTTTCAAATCAATTCTTAGTTTGTTATGGAAATTTCGTATTTGAATTCAATTATTTAAATACAAAAATAAGTAAAAAAAGAATTGATTTTTATTTAATATAATTCAAATAGAAAAGTATTAAACAAATTTCATCATTATGGACTTGAATTTCATAAAAGTAAATTTAAAGTTCCATTACCTTTCCCAAAAAAATTCGCAATTGGCGTAATAAAAATAACCGGATGCGTATGTCCCGGTGGAATTAAAAGTGTTCCGAAATCAGCTTGCTTATGAAGTGCCGTGGAAATTCTGCTGGCTTGTACTGCCACCAAATTTCCTCCAACTCCATTGATAACTGGTTGAAAGACAGTCAAATTTTCAAATCGAGAAACCATAAATTCTAAAATTAATCCGCCGCAACTGTAAAAGAGAAAAAAAATCATCAATTATTAAAATTTATAAAGTAGTGTGTATTTTTGATAATTGAGAACTGATCTTATCATTTTTTTCTTTACAAACTGTGTGTGTGTAAAAACATTCGTTCAATATTTTCCTATCTCTTAAGTTTTATATTAGATACCCATCATAATTTATCTTTATCGCGTAAACCAATATTTATTCTTTCAAGGTTTATAAATACTTATGTATGAGCTACTGTCAATCTCTATTCACTTCGATAAAAAATCAAATGAATCAGTAAAATCAAGAATGAAATGAAAATATTTACAAATTATTTAGATGTATACGGGAAAAAAGCTCCTTGTAAAATTAAATCAACTATCTTGTAAAATCTTTTATGATTTTCTCTTGATCTATTGTTATTTTGTATTTTTATTGTTTCATTTTCCAGGGTGTCTACTATTTTTGTTCAACAAAATTCCTGGTTATTTCCCTGTTTTGTCCTAATTTTTCCCGGTTTTTTTCTTATTAAATTTAAATTTATTTGATTTCGAAAATAAATAAATCTACAAATAGCTTCCAAAATGTTTATTAGAATTTTTATGAATAATTAAATTCTTTTGACAAGTTTCTTTAAATTTTTTTGAAAATAATGTTTATTTTAATAATTTTAATTAAAAATTTAGAAAATAATTGAATTAAACAAACAATTTTCTCAATTTTTTAAAATAATCCTGTCTGTTCATAATTATAATTGAAAATTTAATTAACTGAATTTTATAAAAATGTATTGATACTAATTGAATTTCTGCAAAGAATTTTACTACTTATAAAAGTAATTGAATCCTTCAAAAGAATGTTATTATTTATGAAAATAATTAAACGTTTGCGTAAAATTTTATTAAATTTTTTAAAAATAATTGAATTGTGGTGAAAAATTTAATTATTTATAAAGATAATTGAAATTTTTAGGAGAATTTAAAAATATTTTTAAACATAATTGAATTTCTGCTGAGAATTTTATTACTTTTGAAAATAATTTAATTTGTTTTTTAGAATTTTATGAAAATTTATAAAAATAATTGAATTCTTGTGAAGAATTTTTTTTTTAAAATAATATTCAAAAGTCTTTAGTAAATCTGAAGTAAAGAAATTTATGAAATTTATGAATGTAAAGAAATTTTAATTATTTCAAAAATTTTCAATTATTTGTTTATAAAAATCCAATTATCTTGAAACAATAGAATTGAAAAATTTCAAAAATGTTATTTTTATAAATTTTCATAAAAACTTGTCGAAAATTCAATTGTATTAAAAAATTTTAAGTGTTTTGAATGTTTGAATTTGAATGTGACTCTTTATAAAATTCATTTATTTATCAATTTATTAAAATAAAATACTTTGAAAATTCGATTTGTTAAAAAATTTCTTATTAAATTCTTTAAAAAATTTAATTATTTTCAGTTGAATTTCATAAAATTTCTAACAATTAGATAATTTTGTTAAAGATTATTTTCAACATAATTTTAATAAATTTTTTTTTTGAAGAATTGAATTATTTTCGAATTTTGAAGGAATTTTTTATGAGAATTCAATTATTTTCAATACAATTACAATCAAATTTCTCGAAAAATATGATTATTTTTAAGAAATTTATTAAATTTCGTCAAAAGAATTTAATTATTTAAAAATTTGTTGATAAAATTCTTCTTGAGAATTCAATTTCAAGAAACAAGCAATTATTCAAAAAATTATTTTTTTTGTATTTAAATAATTGAATTCTCGTAGAATTTTCTATTAATAATTCATTTAAACATTAATAGCTGGAATTTTTAGAAATAAATTGAATTTTGAGAAGGTTTCACATTAAAATCTTTGAAAATTTGAAATTTTCATACTTTTATCGAACAATTTTGTAGAATTAATTTAGAAAGTTGATAAAATTCTTTATGAGAATTAAATTATAAGAAACGTTTAATTATTTAATAAATTATTTATTTTTGTATTTAAATAATTGAATTCTCGTAAAATGAATTTTAGTTGAAAATTTAGATAATATTAGAATATTCTTAAAAATTTGATTAAAATTCGTCAAAAGAATTCAATTTTAAGGAACATTTAATTATTTAATAAAGATTTATTTTAGAAAATAATAATTGAACTGAAATGAAAATAATTTTGAAGAAGTTACAGTAACAATATTCTTATAATATAAAATAATGATTTTATCACTCGTTCATCTTTAATTATTATAAGTTATTGAATTTCATAAAATTTCTATTAATTAGATACTTTTTTTTTAAATATGTTCCCAAAAATTACAGATTGAAATAGGTAATAAGTATTTTTTTTTACATATTAAGCGCAAAATTATAAAACAAAATTCAAATTTAAGAAGAAATGAATAAATTTCGTTGATATTTGAATTTTTTTAGTAGGAACGTATTTGAAATGATTGAAGAATTAGAGAATTTCAGTAAGTGATAAAAGTTAAAATATGAATATAACCTTGTTTCACTTTTTTTCAAGGATCTCTTTATAATCAGAAAGTTTCTCTTCACTGAAACATTGTATTGCTCATAAACTTGGGTATCAACGGTTTGAAGAAAATGGTCCAACTCGTTTGAGTAATTGGTACCGTCAATAGAGATCGTTTAAGACTTCAAGGTCGTTTATCTAATTTTGGCTACCACGTGCACTACATATGAGAGGAAGGTTTCGTTTAGAAGCAAAATTTATAGGAGAATATCTAAACAAATATTGTAATTGCACTTTTATTGAACAATTACCATGAATTAAAATGATTGGACTCGAAAACATGGATCTGAAATTTTGATAATTGAGTTTTAAGTGTTCCGGAATATTGAGACTCAATTCTTTACACTTGACAATATTGAATGTTTTCAACTTGGCATTTCATCTTATTCCAGAATGAAATCCTAAAAAGAAAAATACGATTTTCTTCGGTTAGAACAATATTGTAAATCAAATTTAAATTTGATTTTGAATTCTACAAAAGAGGGTAAAAATTTGTAGAATGTTCGAAGTACATACCTACTGATTAACATTGCAACCATGACGGGTGTCCAACCAGTGTAGAGAACGTCGTTTGTGTATTCGTTCTTTTTGGCGATCCATACCCAGAGTGGAGTGACGAGGATGTAACAGGCAATGATGAGAGGGCCAAGCCAAACTTGCTTATCGATCGCCTCATAGAGGATTGTCGAGATCCAAGAAAGCAAGGCGAGAGATGTTATATCGCCTAGACTGGCTGCTATTGGAGTGGCCACATTGTCCGGATTTATGTGACAATGTCGAGACAAGACGATGACACCAGCTGTAATTAGTCCAAGGACGAAGGATGCTAGTGACGCTGTTACTAAACTGCTGGCGATGAGGAGGTAGGCGTGATCTAATGAAACTGCACTATTACGTATGGCTCCCATCACGATGGCCACTACTGATCCCAGAAAACCAACCACAATTGCTTGACACTGCAAATTTTACGAAACACATCAGAATAAAAAATTTTCTCACATTCAAATATCAACTTCAATTCTTAAATGATTTCAGACTCAAAATTAAAAAAGATCCACTTATTACACTGGAAAAAAATTTATTTGATTCAAATAACCGATAAATTGACTATTATCAATTAAATATTTACTTGAATCAAATAATATTTATTGGAGTCAATTAAATGGTATTTGAACCAATGATTTCAGTATTTAAAGTGAATACCATTTAATTGACTAATTTAAATAAAATAATTTAATTTAATTCACTCCGATAAATATTGTCTGATTTTTGAATTATTAATTTTAGAATTTGAAGCAAATGTGAACTGAACCATTTAATTGACTTCACTAAATATTATATGATTCAATTAAATATTAAATTGATAATAGTCAAGTAATCGGTTATTTGAATCAAATAAATTTTTCTTTAGTGTTTCTATTTATTATTTTCTAAAATTTTAATAAATTAATAAAATTGAGAAATAAAAACGATCGATTATATTATCATAATTATTTTTTAGTAAAATTCTTCTGAATAATTCAATTACTTTTATAAAGAATAAAATTCTTCTCAAGAATTCAATTATTTTTATAAAGAATAAAATTCTTCTGAGAAATTTAATTATTTTCAACATAATTTTAGTAAATTTTTTTGAAGAATTGAATTATTTTCAAATTTTGGTGGAATTTTAATTTAATAATAATTGATTTAAACATTAATTTTAGTTAAAAATTTGGATGATAATTGAATATTAAAAGCATGAACATGCAAAGGTTTCACATTAAAATCTTCGAAAATTTTGAAATTTTCATACTTTTATCGAACAATTTTGTAGAATTAATTTAGAAAATTGATAAAATTCTTTATGAGAATGAAATTATAAGAAACATTTGATTATTCAAGAAATTATTTATTTTTGTATCTAAATAATTGAATTCTCGTAGAATCTTTAATAAAAATTGATTTAAAAATTAATTTCAGTTGAAAATTTAGATAATTGAATATTCTTAAAAATTTGATTAAAATTCGTCAAAAGAATTAAATTTTAAGGAAAATTTAATTAATTAATAAAGATTTACTTTAGAAAGTAATAATTGAACTGAAATGAAAATTATTTTGAATAAGTTACAGTAACAATATTCTTATAATATAAAATAATGATTTTATCACTCGTTTATCTTTAATTATTATAGGTTATTGAATTTCAAAAGATTTAAGTTTGAAATTTTTGAAAATATTAATTTCTATGAAAAACTAATAATGATTAAATATTTATTTAAAAAAATAAGTTATTTATGTTTTCGATTCAATTCGAAAATTACAATAAAATTCTGCGCAGGAATTTTAATATTTTAAAAAATTGCAACAAAATTCTTCGGAGGAATTCAATTATTTTTAATACAATTTCAATAGAAGCTCTCAATAGAATTCAATTATTTTCAAAATTTAAAAAAAAATTCTTTAGTTGAAATCAGTTCAGTACAATTTTAATTAAATTTTTCAAAGAATCTAATTATTTTCACAAGTCCATAAATTTCATTAGAAAAGAATTTCTACATTAATGAGTCGAATTTCTCAAAAAAAAAAAATTGTTTACTTTTGCTCTAAATTATAATGAGCGATAAGAAATGATAAACTTCATAAATGTAAATATATAAATTTCGTTGGTTTCACAGTTTCCACAATTTGTGTGAAATATGACGTAGAAAAAAAATAACTGGTACATACTTGTTATTTGTCAAGAGTTTGTTCATTTATTCAAAAAAACAAGAGCAAATGCAAACAGTAGTTTGCTAATTTACGTGAAAAGACCAATAAAAATATCGTCACTAAATCATTATATAAAATGAAATCTTGGCGCCAAAGATAAGCTCTTTTTTTCACAAAAATATAGATGATTCATATACACAGTAGCGCATAAATTATTATTATCCTCATCTCATTTCAATCAAAAATCTAATTCGAGTGGAAATTTTCAGAAAATTGAACTTGAACCTGCTTTGCTGCATATTGGTGTTTTTGAATGTATTTTTAGAATATATGATAAAGATGATTGATAACAGGTTGTTAATTCTTGATATCGTGAAAATATTTAATGACAAAGAACTCGTGATTTCAAGAGTCTACTTTTACTATATATTTTATTAGCAATATGCGTAAAATTTCTATTTATATGTAATATTTAGTGCAATATTTTTATATTTGTGAGTCTATGAGGTAAAAAATATTTTCGGTTATGTTTACGATCGTTTTACCTCGATTAAGGGGTATTTTTTATTTTTTGTGAAACAACAAGTAATTTTTAGTGAATATTTTGGATAAGAAGATTTAAATAGCAATAGCAATAGTTTGCAGTGAGAATTAATTTTTTTTTGTGTATTTTCTATTTTCACTTTAAGACTGACAATCAAAGTGAAAAATTTTTTTCACCGTCACATATTTATTTACCTGAATTAATACCAGGTTTCCAACTATCATGTGCCACTGTTGTTTGGGTGTGTCCATGTGTCCAAGATTTGCTTGTGTAGAAAGTCTTGAGGCCAAAGTCATCTCCAAATTGCCTTTCAACCCTAAAAGTGCCGGCACTAATATCATCAATTCGTTCACTTTCTCAAAGACTACCCAATGCTGAAAAAAGGAAAAATAATGTAGAAATGTTCTTTTTTCATAAATCCTAAGATAAAATTTACCTAGACAGGGTGTCTACTATTTTCATTCAACAAAATTCCCGGCTTTGTCCTAATTTTTCCCGGTTTTTTTTTCTCATCAAATTTATTTGATTTCGAACATAAATAAATCTACAAATTGCTTACAAATTTTTTATTAGAGTTTTTATGAATAATAAAATTCTTTTGGCAAGTTTCTTTAAATTTTTTGAAAATAAAGTTTTTTTAATAATTTTATTTAACAATTTGGAAAATAATTGAATTAAACAAAGAATTTATTAAGTTTTTTAAAATAATCTTGTCTGTTTATAATTATAATTGAAAATTTAAATTATTCAATTTTATTAAAATTTAAAATGTATTGATACTAATTAAATTTCTGCAAAGAATTTTATTATTTATAAAAGTAATTAAATCCTTCCAAAGAATGTTATTACATATTTATGAAAATAATTAAATGTTTGCGTAGAATTTTATTAAAATTTTTGAAAATAATTGAATTGTGGAGAACATTTTCATTATTTACAAAAATAATTGAAATTTTGAGGAGAATTAAAAACAAATTTTGAAACATAATTGAATTTCTGCGAAGAATTTTATTACTTTTGAAAATAATTGAATTGTTTTTTTTTAGTATTTTATGAAAATTTATAAAAGTAATTGAATTCTTGCCAAGAATTTTTTTTAAAAATAATATAATTTTTTTACAATTTCTAGAAATAATTGAATTCTTTCAAGGAATTTTATAAAAAATTTTTAAAATAATGGAGTTTTTTGGAAAAATTTTATTAAAATTTAAAAAATAATTGAATTAAAAATTATCAAAAATTCAAAAAACCGAATTTCTTAAAATTCAACATTTTTTCATCTCTTTTATGGGATTTAGCTTCATTATTTTTGTGCTCTTGAAAAATACTTTACTTTCTTAATTGTCTCGACTCTTTGGTAAAAAATCTAAAATTGTCGAAAATTATCAGAAATTCAAAAATCTGAATTTCTTAAAATTCAACATTTTTTCCTCTCTTTTATGGGATTTAGCTTCATTATTTTTGTGCTCTTGGAAAATACTTTATTTTCTTAATTGTCTCGACTCTTTGGTAAAAAATCTAAAATTATCGAAAATTATCAGAATTCAAAAATCTGAATTTCTTAAAATTCAACATTTTTTCCTCTCTTTTATGGGATTTGGCTTCATTATTTTTGTGCTTTTGGAAAATACTTTACTTATTTAATAGTCTCGACTCTTTGGTAAAAAATCAAAAATTATCGAAAATTATCAAAAGTTCAAAAATCCGAATTTCTTCAAATTCAACATTTTTTCCTCTCTTTTATGGGATTTAGCTCCATTATTTTTGTGCTCTTGGAAAATACTTTATTTTCTTAATTGTCTCGACTCTTTGGTAAAAAATCTAAAATTATCGAAAATTATCAGAAATTCAAAAATCTGAATTTCTTAAAATTCAACATTTTTTCTTCTCTTTTATAGCATTTAGCTTCATTATTTTTGGGCTCTTCAAAAATCAATTTACTTATTTAATAGTCTCCACCCTTCACACTTTTAATTTTTGTATAAATTTTTAGAAATTTTCCTGACTTTCAATGAAATTCTCTGACATTCCCTGACTTTTTCCTGAATTCAATTCCCATAAAAAATTGTTATCAACAAATTCTTAAATAATTGAATTCTTTTGACGAATTTTAATAAATTTTTTAAGAATAATCACATTTTTTGAGCAATTTCTGTAAAATTGTATTGAAAATAATTGAAATCTCATACAAAATTCCATAAAAATTTGAAAGTAATTCAATTCTTTAAAAAAAAATTATTAAAATTATGTTGAAAATAATTAAATTTCACAGAAGAATTTTATTTTTTTTTTTAAATAATTGAATTCTTGAGAAGAATTTTACTGTAAATGATGATGATAATATACCTAATCCATAATTTTTATTTATCAATTTTATTAATTTATTAAAATTTAAAAAATATTTGCATTATCTTGAAGAATTTAATTTAAACTTTTAGAATTTTCTCATGAATTTTGAAAATTAAATTTTTTCGAGTTGGTACTTTCAATAAAAATCCCTAACTTTTCTCTGATTTCTCTGACTTTTCCCTGACTTTGCTGACCTGTGGCAATTTTTTCTAAGAAAAAAAAAAAGAAGTTGCTGAACTCACTTGAACCAAATCAAGGACCAACCCAGCTCCCACCATACCGAGTCCAGCAATGAGAAAAGGAATGAAGACTTGAATGGTAATTGCCAAATAAGATTCGGTGGGCTCCTCATTGACATCATAGAGTCGGCTCTCGGCGACGAGGTCCGGAAGTCGTCCACCGGCGTCGGCGGGATCCTCGAATAAAGTCACCTCGGCACAATCCTCATTTGAACTAAGGGCAGCTGCGGTCGCTCCCAGGTTCGAAACCGAACCAGTTCGCGATCGGCCGCCCGTTGGTGTCATCCTGTGGGTATGTTGCTTATTGTGCAACAGGGGCTCCTTACATCGCCCACTGAAACAAAATCATTCATTATTAAATAAATCATTTTTTAATAATTAAATCAATATTTAATTAACAATTAAATTCTGATATTATTTATAGTCGATTAGATCACTTTTCCATATTACTGCCTCTATAGGATAGCGACGCCATCCAGTGCAGAAAAGAAAGGTTATGTTAAGAACCGTTTTTGTTTCATTTCAGACATATTACAATTACCTAAAGTCACAAAACAATTTTTATTCATTATTTACCATGGGGAATAGTTATTAAAAATACTTTTTGACGCCGGGGGATTAAAAATTAATTTTTAATGGAGCAAAAACTTTGTTGAACATAACCTATAATTTTACAGGTGCCTGAAAAGTTAGCGTCGACGCTCAGTATCGAAAATAATCAAACAATTTTTTTAAAGGTTCCTAATTCCTAAAATGAATGAAAGAAGGGAAATTAGTGACATTTTCATCTCGAAAAAAAGAAAAAAAATAGTTTTTCTCCTGAGCATCGACGTTAATTTCAAGGACATAATTTTATTCTACACTGTTAGGTCCTTTTCGCACGGAAAAGCGTCACTTTTATATGAAATTCATAAAAATTAAGAATTTAGATAAAATCTTTTCTTCAAGTATTTTTTCAAATTCAATGAAAAGTATAAACACAATATAGACGGTAAATTGATAAGCAATATTAATGTTTCAACAAATAAAAATAGATCATCGGAAGAAAAATTATTTCTCTTTATCTCCTGCACATGGAAACTTTCCTAATTTGTAATAATTTTTCAAAATATTTACTTAATTCTTTCATTTAATTACTTAATTTATTAAATTATTATTTTTTTATTCATTTATTTAAATTTATAAGGAAAAAAGCACTTTTTCAATTAAATTCATTTCAATATTTTCGGACAAAAAATATACTTTTAATGATCTCAAATAATATTTACTTTAAATAAAATTTTCCTCCGGGTGCATTTTATTTAGTGAATTTAAAAAAAAACATTTAAACAGATAACAAAATTTCGTTCACATGAACGATCAGAACTTTGGGAAAATAAAAAAAAAAGATGTGTTATAAAAATTAAATTGTAATTCACTGCGAGAAAAGATTTATATTTGACTACTAAACTTTCTATTTGTTTCCAAAAATGTTTTAGTTGGTTCAAATAAATTTTCTTTGGTCCAAATAAATTTTATTTCCTTCAAATAAATTTCATTTCCTTGAAATAAATTTTATTTCCTTCAAATAAATTCTAGTTGATTAAAATAAATTTTATTTGCTTCAAACAATTTTTAGTTGGTTCAAATAAGTTTTATTTGGTTTGAATAAAAATTTCAATATAATAATAAAATAGTATATTTAAAAAATTTCATTAAAACAAATAAATTTTCTTTGGTTTAAATAAGTTTTATTTGGTTTAAATAAAAATTTCATTGGCAGAATAAAATTTTTATTTGTAACAATAAATAAATTATTTAGTAGGCTCTGCGACAATTACACTCTCATTTAACTCAAATAAATTATATTATGTTTAAATAAAATATTTTTTTTAGTGTAAAATAAGAATATGTATTCTTATTTTCAAAATGATTTTTTTATGGACGAATATACAGAAACTAAAATTATTTTGTCACAATAAAATAGAAAACGAACACATCACTTTTAACTGTAATTATTTTCACTAAATTTTTATTTACTTTATTTACTTTGATTATTTTATTTACTTTCTTTAGTTTATTTATTTTATTTAGTTTAGTTATTTTATTTAATTTATTTTTCAATTTTTTTTTTTTTTTGAAAATGAAGCGATAAACACGAAATAAAAAGAAAAGTACTTTTCGAATTTGACGGTGAGACAAATTTGTGAATTGTGAAGCTGTGTCTCCAAAGTTTCCAATATCTGTAGAGTGTGAAGAGTGTGTCGTCGATTCACCTGACCCTCTAGCATTGTACTAGTGGGTTCCCTCTATTGCTACTCTGACACAGTATTATATTCTTTTGAAATGATAAGATTCATCGGAGCTCATGATTTGTCTGCGTTTATTCAAGAACGCGGCGAGTGAAGAGAAAATTACGTAAGCCAAAAAGCTTAATTCGAATTTACCTGCTTGTTACGCTCCGCTAGTCTCAAGCATCATAAATCTTTCTAAAACAAGTCGTCTCTCAAAAACAAATATGTATCGCACGATTTCACGATTTCACGATATACACGCGTAAATTACTCTTGTTCAAATTATAAACGTAGGAAAGGAAAAAAAAATTATAACACTCACACTCTTGTGTGTATATTTTTTATAATTGCAAAATTATTCAAATTTTTCATCATAATTTTTTTTTTTCAAATTTCCAACGTGTTTCTATAAAGTTTCGATAACGAAGTTCAAAATTAATTCGATGTTTTTTCTACTTTATTTAAATTATAATTTTATTATTAGAAAACTATTCCGTATATTAAACAATTAATTAATATATTGCGTCAAGTATATTAAAAATAAATGTTTTTTTAATTAATTTAAAAATTAATTAATTCGAAAATGTTTTTTTCGAGTTTTTTATTTTTTATGCAATCAGTTTTTTTCAAACAACCAAATAAATTATTTCGATTTTTATATAGAGAAAATATTTTTTCCATTTACAAACCAATTACTGAAAAAAATATAATCAGAGAACATTTTACTTGAAACTATAAATTAAATTTTTTTCATAACTATAAAACATGAATAGATATCGATTACTCCGAGTCTTCGACTCGGTGTCATCAATTTCTTCATGTTTTATAATAATTAAAGATGGCTCAGTGACAAAAACATTATTTTATATTATAAGAATATTGTACTTCTTAAAAATTATTTTCATCATTTCAATTAAATTATTATTTTCAAGAATTTAAAACTAAAATTCTTCTTTAAATCAATTATTTTTAATAATTTTCGAAAAAGATCTTTGACAATTTTCAAATTCATTCGTTTACAATATTCAACTTTACGAAATTTCAATTATACGTAAATTCTTCAATTAAATAAATATTAGAAAATGAAAACTTTAAATAATACCTATTAAAAAAATTCAATTAAACTTTTTCAAAAAAATTAATTTCAAAATTCAATTATTTCTAAAAATTCACGCTAAATTGCTATTAATATTTAATTATTATCTAAAATTTTAACTGAAATTCATCTTTAAATCAATTTTTATTAGATACTAGATACTAGAATTCAATTATTTAAATACAAATAAAATGCAAATAAATAATTTATTGAATAATTGAATGTTTCATAAAATTGAATTCTCATTAAGAATTTTATTAACAAATTTTTAAATAATTGAATTCTATCAACGAAATTTAATAAAATTTTTAAGAATAATTACACTTTCGAGAATCGAGAAATTCGTTAAAAATTGTATTAAAAAGTTCTTCGAGAATTTTCAAACCCATTTCTTTACAAGTCAATTTTACAAAATTTCATCAATTATTCGGAAATTCTTCAATCAAATATATATATTAGAAAATAAACATTTCATAAAAATAATTTCAAGTAAAATTGAAAAAAACTTTTTCAAAAAATTAATTCTTCTACAGAATTGTTACTTAAAAGTGGGATAATTAGAAAATTAGGTATACTAAAATTCAATTATTTAAATAAATAAAATAATTTATTGAACAATTGTATTCTCATAAAGAATTTTATCAACAAATTTTTAAATAATTCAATTCTTTCGACGAATTTCAATAAAAGTTTTAAGAATAATTACACTTTTCGAGGAATTCAATTAAAATTGTACTAAAAATAATTGAAATTCTGCATTGAGTTTTATTATTTATGAAAATAATTTAATTTCTAAAAAGAATTTTGTTTACGAAAATAATTAAATTATTTAAAAGAAATTTATAAAAAATGTTGTAAATAATTGAATTCCTTCGAAATTTTTATTATTTATGAAAATAATGAAATGTTTGCGTAGAATTTTATTAAAAATTTTGTTTAAATAATTAAATTCTTTTGGAAAATTTGATTAAAATAGTATATAGATACTAAAAATCATTGAATTGAGGAAAATTTTTGAAAATAATTGAAATTTTGCCAAGAATTTTCTTAAAATTTTTGAAAATCATTGAATTTTGAAGAAGAATTTTATTATTTTATAAAAATCATTTAAATTTTGATGAGAAATTTAAAAAAATGTTTGAACAAAATTTTATTCGAAATAAATAATACTTTTATTTATGAACCAAATAAAATTATATTTAAATCAAATACAATTTTTTTGAAACAAATAAAAAATCTAGTTGACTTTGAGTTAAATATATCTTTTTTTCTGAGAGTCAATTTGAATTAATAAAAATGTTTACTTATTTCAATCAGTGACCGACTTTTTGCTTTTGAATTAGTAAATTTTACCAATAAATTAGTGGAAATTACTGTTTATTTAAATTACTGGCTGACGTTTTGCTTTTGAAATTTAAATTAGTAAATTTTTCCAATAAATTAGTATAGAAGTTACTTATTATTTAAGAAGCTGACTTTTTGCTTTTGAATTAGTAAATTTAAATAATATATAGTAATTTCTACTAATTTCTTACTAAAATTTACTAATTCAAAAGCAAAAATCAGATACTAATTCAAATTATTAAACATTTTTAGTAATTAAAAATTAAAATTTGGAGAGTGACATTTTATTTACTGACAATAATATAATAATAAAAGATAGAGATATAATGTGGAATTTGAAAGATATACATTGTGTGCTGTACTGAAACGCGTTACACCACTAGAAAGTTTCAGTAGTAAGAGTCAAGTCAAGTCAGACACTATAAATATTGAAAAAAAATTTCTTCTCTCACTTACGACGATATTTATAATTTATATCCATATATTCTAATTAGACCTGTATTTATTAGTCAATTTATGTACTTGGAATTTAAAACGACTATATGATTTTCTCTTCAACTAATCTTTTATGTGCTTATTAACATCAATTTCATGATACTTTGATAATAAATTCAATTCAAA